GGAAATGTGCATGCATGCACTTTACATGCATTTTGCATATTTTCCACGCTCTACTTATTAGTTTTGATATAAAATAGTGCCAAATACTTTCTGTGAATAACCGATATATCGAGCTTTGCTATACATTAATATTTACTCTCCGGGTCCACCGAATTTCAAACTTATTATCCTCAATTCTTTTAATTGCACGAACGCTAAACCGGAAACCAGGCAAATTGACGAACGCCGTTTCCAGCAACTCTAAAAATTCCGACCGATCGTCGGGAAAAAAGATCCGAAAAATAAGCGCTCTCTCCCGCATATAAACCGATTCTTTTGATTCGCAAAAGCATCAAAGCCTCCCGGAGTTTTCCAAAACGGCTCCAAATTGCCCGCCCTATCCGTAAATGACCGCAATGTTTACGGCGTGCGGCATTCGCGAGCCCTTTCCCAAATACACCCCGATTGCGAGCGCGCCCCCTCTATAATGCACGATCGCGAAATTTGCGGCATCGGTCGGGCGCTTTTCCCTCCACGGTCAAGACAATTTAATGTAAATTATAGATGTTTGGTAGTTTCCAAAAGCAATTCGAACACAATTTACATGCACATACCCTGTGACAAAAAAGTATCCGGAAATTATGATTTAAATTACTTGCACTTAATATTTTTAACTGTTTCAAGTTTATGTATGTAGATAACTTTGCTTTTAATTAGCATGCAAAAAATACAGAGATTTCTTAATCATTTTGGTCAGTGTTGTTAAGTATTTAAAAAAGTATTTGAACAGTAAATTAAAGTAATTGAACAGGTAATTAAATATATTTAACTTTTCTGTAATTGAAATGTATTTTAAATACATTTTTGTACAAATTCCAAATACAATATTTAAAATACATTCTATAATTACATGAAAGGTAACCATTATTATCCTTTCTATATGAATTAAATTTCTTTTTAAAGCAGAAATAAAGGGTGTCCAAAAACAAAGCTTTTTTTTATCAAAAATATTATTTTGACCACCTTGTATCCACAACTTGCTAATCCCATAGCCCTTTTTGCAATCATATTTCGCTGTGTAATTTGGTCGCAAGCCGTCATGCATAAAGGATCGGTCGCGTTGCTGCATAAATGCGGAAATAAGCAAAACCGTACGTATAGCATATACCCCTTGTCGATGGGAAAATACGGCCGATTCCCATACAATCGGACAACGCGTTCGGTTATCTAATCTAGCAGATATTAATTTCAACTTTTCGTATTGTTTTCGGACGATAAAATCGGGATTTTATGTTAAGCTTTCGAAATTCGGAGCACTTTGGGCGACGATGCCGTTTTCGTCCATTTATAGTTCGTGGAAATTTATGTGCGATGGAGGAGCACTTAAGAAAATAAAGTTTATTAAAGTAACCGGACGTCTTCCTATTTTGGAAATCTCGAATCTACCTGGTCATAAAATATGTATAGTGGATTCCTTTTAGCGGACTAAAATGGAAGAAAATGTAAGAAAAATGTGACGTCGGGATAAATCTAAAATGGAGTATTTTAGACTAACAGGAGTTATAATTAGATAATCTATTATACAATGCTTTGCAAATTGAATTTTTTGTTTCATAATGTATTGTAGGATATTAAATTCCAATTTTGCGAAAAACTTTATTTTTGCATGAACAACTGCGATATTTACAAATTGTTATTAAAATTCGAGGTAAAATGCATAGTTTATAAGTTGAGACTTTAAAATATGCATGGAACCTCCAGGAGGATATGTGAAAAGTTAGTTTGTGGCTCATAAAAGTAATCTCGCAGTTTTCTTTCAGACCAACACGGAAAACCAATTAATATTTAGTTCGCGGGGAATTATTCAATTTCATAAAAAGTCATTTCAAAGTTGTCCAATAACTGTAGCAAAAAATAGTTCCCGTGACAGTTTCTCCAAGATTTTAGGATTATAGCGAATTAAAGGAAGAGAAACTTTAATAATACAGTTCACGGGAGAATTGGAATCATATCCTTTGAGGAATTGGAATTTTCCCCTTTTCACCAGTTTCAAAATAATGAATCATTTATGATTCTTTATTTTCAATTTAATCTATATGATATTTATAAGACATCTTATGCATAATTGCGCAAAGTCCGCATGCAGAGTCGAGTAAATAAATAAATTACGAACCATGAAAATTAACTAAATTACAACATGGCCAAACTCTCGAGCACTGTACCTAGGAAATTACATCAGTGCATCCGGGGATTATATCTACCTGTCGCAAACACACCCCCGGAAAACTTATTGAATTATTTCGACCGCCGTGCACCCTTCGTGCCCGCGGGCAAAAACTCCAAGCGAAACGACAGAGAGCCTTTCTCAAATATTTAACAGTCAGCCGTATATATTCCGGAGATAAATCCGGAAAACGGGGTCAAGCGTGCAAAATATCGGTCCAATGGATCGCGAACGCCCGCGGACGTTCGTCAAAAATTAACTAAAAAGTCCATCGAATCGTTAAACGTTTATTTATCAATGCGATATTCCGATTTCGATGTTTCCTGCAAAAGATACATGTTTGTTCTAGTAACGTTGCCAGGTAGAAATTGTTTTGCATTATTTCAACGCCCTGAAAATATCCACAAAAAGTAAATGAATCATAAAATTACGTGATATTTAGAGACGTCCTGTATTTTAGTGATAAATTTATCTTCTTCTACCAACAAGTAGCGATTCCTATATGTGTTGCAATTCGATTTTCTTGCCCTTTATTCGAAATAAAAAAAAACTATAGGTTATGATTTATATTTTCATTTTAGGTCGCTGCGGAAGGGCCGCAATGAAACAAAAACCGTCCCCTTTCGGCGGAAATTAGGCCGTTTATCCGGAATTTCGGTAATTTTCCCCCAAGAAAAAACCAATTCCGAGTTGAAAAGTTTATTCTTTTTTCTCTAAGATCGTCGGGGTAATTTTTGTAAACGCATCCAGACTTTTATCTGGTAAATACGTAAATGTCTTTCTGCTTGATAGTGAAATTCAAATCTCGGTAATGCAGTTTTCATTAAAGAATTTTCCGGAGAGGAAATCTTTATGCTGCCTCGGCGAGAGAACGACTGGTATATAAACTCCATTAATAAAGTCGCTCTTTGTTTTGGAAATTCTGGAAATCTCGAAGAATGATGATTACGACCGGGGAAGATTCTTGGCATCACAAAAGCTTTGATAAACAGCCATCATCGAATGACGAATGGGCGGGTTTTCAAATAGTAAGTAGGTGAATATCATGCAAAAAAATTGAATATTTTCAAATTGACGGGACGCAGTAAATCAAACATAATCACGAAAGTCTTTTTCCGTATAGGGTGGAAAATTGTCGGCCTGACACACTTAGTGCGCTTCAATCATCAGCAAAATTTCCTGTTTCCTCTTTGGGACATTTACAATTCATTCTAGAACTGTCTAGGTCTAGAAAGAGGCTATTTAGAACGCTCCAGAAACATTTAGAATTATCTATAGAACCATTTAGAATGCTGCAGAAGCATTTAAAGAACCATTTAGTACGTTTCAGAACCATTTAGAACGCATTACACTAATTTAAAACTGCCTAGAACCATTTAGAACACACCACAATCATTTAAAACTGTCTAGAACCATTTAGAAGGCTCCTGAATCATATAAAACTGTGAGAACCATTTCTAGCACTCCAGAATCATTTAAAATTGTCTAGAACCATTTAGAACGCTTCAGAAGAATTTAAGACTGTCTAGAACCATTTAGAACGCACCAGAATCATTTAAAAATGTCTAGTAGCTACTATTTAGCACGCTCCAGAAGTATTTAATATTGTCTAAAACCATTAAGAACGTTCCAGAAGCATTTAAAATTGTCCAGAATCATTTAGTACGATTCAGAACCATTTATAATGCTCCAGAATCATTTAGAAGTGTCTAGAACCAAAGATTTTGACTTAATAAGGAGAATAATGTAACTTTTTAACTGAAAATCGCGATCATTCATTGTCAGGTCGAGAACTTGTATATAAGGTGACTATAAAACTTTTTAAATTGGCAATAAATATTATAAAAGAGCGTTAGAAATACTAATTTGTTGTATTATTAACGAACATTTTAAGAACTTCGCTAAGGGAATTAATGGTTTAGGGTTTTGTAAAATTGCCGGTGTAATTCGATACAAAAAATAGGGTTATTTATAAAATCATCATCAATTACACTTAATACGCCACCTGATGCCTCAGAGGCTCGTGGTACAACGCGCGCGTTTCCGATTCTGTGTATGTGATGTAGCCCAGATTGGAGAAACGCCACTTAATCAGTGTCACATTTCGGGACAAACAAAACCCGGCTAAATCAACCCTGGAACAAACAGCGTCGCGCTGAATTTTTCGGGCCGAGAACGCGCAATAAAGCCGATTTGCGAGGTAAACAACTCCGATACCCGGCCGGTAAATCATCGTTAATTGCATTTCGATCGTTCGAATTATATTTTTTCCTGGAAGACCGTAAGCCACTTCGGATAATCGGCTCGGTTTGCCGGTCCCGCTGCTGCTGACACCTTTATCGGAACCGCAAGGTTTGTTTACGTTGTCCCGGAACGGTATACGGGAATTAGCAATTCAACGGGTTAAAGCCGACTTATTTGCATTTTCCATCCATTTTCGTTATGATTCCGTGTCAAAAATCTAATGGAATCTCCGACACTAAATACCAGCTCTTATTCGAATATATGAAATTGATTCATCCGCTATTTGCATGTTAAATGCATCAAAATAATTTAGGTCGTATTCATAAAAAGAAGCATAATCTTTTGCTTTCAAAAAATGAAGGAATTGCTTCAAGGTATATGCATAAAAAAATGCAGGAAGAGAGGTTTTGATTAGAGCACCCTGCTGTTGCTTTAAAGCAGAAGGTTTTATGGTTTTAATACCTTTGTTAAAGCCGTTTTCTCTTATACCTTCTGCTTCTACCTTTTAGTTCAAAGAAAATGCGTCATTATAATAAATATGTACTATAATGTTAAAACAACGTACTTTTATTAATCATATAAAATATCTATTTAATATCTAAAATCACATTCTCTCTATCGCGGATCCGGGCCGGCTCCGTTCCGGTCCGCAGCAGGTCCGAAACGTTGTTGAACGCCTTCTGGTTCATCCCGGCGTTGTTCAGAATCGAAATAAACGCCACTTTCACGTTCTTGAACGTGCCCGGTTCGATCGCCGTCAGTTTGTTGTTGTCCAGATCGATCTTCTGGAAGCTCGAGTACTCGAACGCGCCCGGCTCGATCCGCTCGATGCGGTTGTTGTTCAACAGCAACTCGTCGACGTCGATCTTGGCGAACGTGCCGCTTCTGATCGACCTGATGGCGTTGCGATGCAGCAAAATCCGCCTCGTGCGTGTCGAATTGAACGCAGCCGGCGCTAATTTGCGGATTTTGTTGTCGTTCAGGCTCAATTCTGCAATTAAAACGTCGCTCTAGACACCCCCGAAAACTACAGGCTTACAACTACTACTACTAGTTCGCAGGCGAACCTTGACCGAGACAGTTCAAGCCAGGGTTCAGGCACTGACTGTGTCTTTCCTGCTAGTTATCTGCCTTAAAGAGGACTCCAAAGATTCGCCTGATACTCTAGAAGGACATGGTCCGATGGGCTATCGACTTACTTCTAATACTAGATCCGTTGAAAGCTCCTTCGGGCACTTCGGTGATGTCGTTGTAGCTCAAATCGAAATAGACCATGTTTAAACCGCGTTTGACGACTCCCTCTATGGTCGTGATGTCGTTGTGGCTGATGTTCACTTTGCTGATGCTCTTCAATCCATCTAACATGCCCATGTCTAATTTCTTGATGTTATTGTCGTGAACGAAGAGCACTTTCAAACTGTCGAGGTCCTTCAATGAGATCGTTTCGATAACGTTCGTTTCTAAGAGGAGCACGACCAGTAGCGGGAGATTTACTGAAAAATCGATTCGAATTGAAAAGATAAATGGGGCTCGCGGAGTTACGATTTATCGTTGTTGAGTCTACTTACCGAACGAATTAGAGTCGATTCTTTTAATACGATTATTATCCAAATCTAATCTATGCAGCTTGGGTAAATTCTCGAAAGCGGCCTCGTCGATGGTCTCGATTTTATTAAAATCCAATCGGAGCGACTGCAGCTCGGGCAAATCCTTGAACGTGCCCCGTTCCAGAATCTTAATCTCGTTGATGCTCAACACCAGCGTGGTGATCATCCTCATGCCGGCGAACGAGCCGCTCTCCACCACCTTGATGCTGTTGTCGTCCAAGTAGAGCTTCGCGATCGTCAGATTGGCGAAGACTCCCCTTCGTATCGATTGCAATCGATTCTCGCCGATAACCAACGAATCGATTCTCCTCATGCCGGCGAAAGCGCCGGGCTTGATCTCCTCCAAATCAGTATCGGAGATGGTGAGTTGCGCGAGATCGACGTTCCTGAACGCTCCCTCGTAGAGGACCGGCAGCGATTCCTCGTCGATTTTCACGATGTCGATGGCGTCGGCGTCGCGTGCGGCGAGCGCTTGCTGCAGGCTGTCGGAGTTCACCAGCACCTTTTCCGCTCTGTCGGGGAACTTCTTCGACGAGACGGTCACGCGGATGTTGTCGAAGGTGGGCCGGTGGGCGGCGAGCGCCGCCGCCGCCGAGAACGCGATCACGAACACCACCAACGCCGGTTTCGGAGGATTCAAAGGCATCGCAGCGAAAGAGGAGAGAAAAATTTTTCGGAAATTACGACGAGCGCATTCGAAACGAGAGGAAAATTCGTTGTGTTTGTGTTTGAGTTTCGTTCTATTGAGACATTCCGGTGACCTTTCGCCGATAACAGCGAGTCTGATTGCGAAAGTCACGACTATACAGAGCGATTTTTTTTATAAAAGTTTTATTTTCTTGACGAGCGTCAGTTGAAATTTCTTCACGTTTTTTAAACTTTTTATACTGTCTAATAAACTCAATTTCTTCACCTTCAAATTCAAGGAATACACACTTAACTAATAAAAATTAAACTTACCTGCACGGCCAGTATAAAAAAACAAATTCTTTAAAATAATTCATTAACTACCATCACTTTAGCGCTTTAATTATAGAAGACAATCTTTATATCACGTGTATATTAAATGATTAGCAATGAACACTTCGGAGTTCAAGCAGGTTCAAATTTCAACAATCGGTGTTATTATAAATAAAAATATTTTTAAATCATTCAAAGAAACTTTTAGTTAATCTAAATTCCTCGAATTATACTAGCATGCAAAAGAACCCAAATATTAAGTGGATATTTCATAACACACCTATTTGAATTTTCACAATTAATAAATCAAAAGTAAGACGTTTTAATAGTTTACCAACAACATACTCTGTACTTATCCAGGTTTAGTTTTCCCTTTTTTTTTGAGAAAATTGCTTTGACCTGACGTCGACGGACGCCGAGACGAAATTAGACATCGTTTTGCTTTCCTTTTGTTCATACTTTTGCCAACGAAAATGATATTGTAATCGTAAAACTCCCAATTGTGCTGAGAGCAGGAAAATCCCACTACGGTTTCTGTGATGTCCTAACAGCTTACATAGCGGGAATTCTCGGAGAAGTGCCCATTTTCAAATTATGAAAATGTATTTCTCAATTTGCGTTAACACGTAACGATGTGATTGTTGCAATGGGAAATCTTGTTTGCGCCTGTTTTTCTTCTGCACTCTTGCATATATCACACTGCATGCATTTTAAAAGCATATTTAGCATTTTTGTACCATTCATATTGGATATACAGCATGTATAAAAAGTCGATGTTACAACTGCTTGCGATAATGTAGAGCGAAAGGATCAAGGCCTATTTGAGCAGAGAGCTTTTTATATTACTTTGAGAAAATATAGGCAGAGAGGGGCGGTTGGATATTTATTGCAACGCTAAATTTCTCGGATATACAACCCCTAGAGAAAAGTATAGATGTTTATTAGAGAGTTCTTATTTATGCGGATGTTATTTTCAAAAAGGTCTGTTTAAATTTTAAAATACAAATTTAACTTTTCAAGATCACAAAAAATCTGTACTTAATTTTAATTACTTTTATGTCCCATTGAGAAGTTAAATTAAATTTCCAATTATCGAAGATCAACATTTTAAGCGGCTTTGCCAGTAAGAATCTCAGGATTTATTTTAGCAAACGATCATGAGATAAAAAGGGTTTTCTTTAGCAAGGATCACTGGAATTTAGATTGAATTAATTAGATTGAATTTAGCTAGTTTATTACTAGTAAATAAATAAATTAAGTAATTAATAAATTAATCATCACTTGATTACTGTGTAGGTGTATAAAAGATGTAACCAAACTTAATCGAAAAAAAACCAATAAAAACACTCATTTACCTATAAATATTTCCGTTAATTTTTCCACCCCCGTAATAAAATCTTGCCATACACCCAATTGAATGAACGAATGGGCTATAATCAACACCGAAAAAATTTAATAACGTTTATAAAAAAAAACGCCGACCAAAACGTTACACAATAAATTTGATCTGAAAAAAATTTAAAGTCGAATAAAATTTTAAATAAAAAATTTTAATTACGGCCCTATAAAACACGACCGTCAGTTGTATGTGATAAATTTAATACAATGGTTTAATAAATCTCTACTTGTCGTCCATTAAAAAATATACGCAGTGTGAGGGGCACTTTGATTTACGACAATATAACGACGATTCTTAAAAAAAAATGTAAAAGTATTTATAATTCGTCTCTACTATAAAATTCATCAATTTCATCGGCTCCATCGGTCCCATCCCACGCCGTAACGTTATGAATTTCCGGAAAATTATCTTCGAAGATGTATTGGAACTTCATTCTGCCGTCCATCAACTTACGCAAAAACTCGTAAATTTTATCGGCAGTGAACTCGGTTCTGTGCACGGCAAACACACCGTTTTTATAGTCAGCAGCAACCAATACAGGAAAATCATCTTCCTCTAATTTGAACACATTTTCCAAGTCGGGTTGATGGTTCGCTTCTGACCACACCCAACCCCACAGTTGCCCGCCAAATTCCCTCGAAGTTTCTTCTAACACGTCCAAGTACTCGTATCTGCAGGCCGATCTGCACTTCAAGCTGCTCGGCAGGAAAGCCAGCACGCAGTAGTTTTTGTTCTCGCAGGATTGCCTCAGGGAATTTTCGCCCAAGATTTGTGACAGTCCTCGATGGTTTTTCAGTTTTTTAGTGACCCACTCGACGATGTCCTCGCTTCTCCTACCGCCGTTGTAGTCTACGGTATCGAATACGTCGGGCATGAAGAGTTTGATGGTGGGGTACGCGGTGATGTCGTATTCGCTCACAATTTTCTTGTTAACGGAACCGTCCAGTTTCCCGAATCTGATTTTGCCAGATAGTTCGTTCGCAGCGGCGCTCCAATGCGGATCCAAAGCTTTGCAATGGCCGCACCAGTGCGCGTAGAATTCCACCATCCAAGCATCGTTGGACTCCGTCACCAGTCTTTCGAAATTCTGATCGGTCAGCTCCGCTACAAACGAACCGTCGACTTGCCCTTGCACCAGGGAATCTCTTTCTTTGGTGGTCAACCTATTGAGCACCAGGGCTTTGACGGCGGCCAAGCCGATTTCGATCAGCTGCTTGGAGTTCCTGGCAGTGTTCGCGTCCTCCGGTTGCATTTTATTCGCTCCGAACACCTTCAGCGTGGGCAGGCCTCGCACGCCGTACCTGCCCAGCAGCTCCTTGTGCACGTCGGCGTCGACGGCGCCGATCTTCACGACGCCTTTGAGCGCCTCCGAGGCTCGCGCGTACTCCTCGGCGAAGTTCTGGCAATAGATGCACCAAGACGCGTAGAATTCCACTATCCATACTTCGGCGCCTTTCAGCACTAGTTCTTCGAAGTTATCCGATGTTAATTCGATTACGTTGTTGTGGGGGGTGTACAGCGCTGCTCCGGAATGGTGGAATAGAAGGTACGGGATTAGAATGCGGTATAATTCCATTTTGTGGTTGATTTTTGAATGTGGTTGTTTGTCAGATTTGACAAAGATAATATTGATACGTTTGGTTTGTCTCAAGAATAGTACACATTAACTACACAAGTCTTTGTGGCCTCACAACATAAACACTATTTGAAAACAAATATTTTCAATGCCAGCTCATGAGAATAAACCTTATATGAAATCAAAGTATGTTTTATTAGAACACGATATATCGCTCAGTGTACTTAGAAAAAGTTGTTACTGCAAATCCCCAATGGAGTTTACATCGATTCAAATCCAATGAAACAATCCGATCAAACAGTGGGCTGTCGAAAAGTCTGTTTAATTCCCAACTATCGTCATTAATTCGACGAATTTCTGTAGTAGTAAAATTGAATCGAGTCGAATGTCAGTTGCCAATATGGCGGCTATAAATTACGTTCCCTTTCTCGAACGCGAAACTTTCCGAAACATTCGTGTTTAGTACACACGTGACTACAAATTCGGCATAATAGTAATTGCCTTTAGCTCTTCAAACCCCGGATGAATCTGACTCGAATAATGATTAAAGCGAGTCGACCAAACGTTCGATAGAATGGCACCTACATTGTCACTTTTCGTGATTTATTATTTGTTATTAAAAAAAAATAACCGTGGAAATAGTGTGTATAATGTAGTGATGGAAAACTGCGTCATTTAGAGCGTTGATAACAACGGTAAATAATATTTTCGAACGAATGTCGGTCGTATTGGAAATTTGTCTTCCTAAAAGGTGTCACCGGATTACTCCGGCATGCAAATTTATTCGACTAGCGACGACAATAGGGCGTATATTCCTGAATTTATAATAACGCAAAATTAGTCGAATTGATTTTTAGGCGGCGATTGGGGGATTTTAGCGCGATTGTAATATCATACAGGATGAATTTCTAATGAAAAACGCGAAATCTATATCGGAATTTAATACAAGTTAACGACGGTTCGCTTTCTAACCTAATTACCCTAAAAGCCGGAGCTTTTCGGAGCTTTTATCGACGGAAAATTACGCAGACTACAGACCGGGACTTGTACGTGCGAAATTTTAAAACTTTAATCTCTCGCCGGAAAACAGAAGAGACGTCCGAAGATAAACCGCGAACTAAGAACAGGAACGAACGAGTCGAAGAGATTTTATCGCTTTTATGGGGTTACGTGTACTCCAGAAATGATTAATCCCGTCTTATATCGGATGCAGCCGAGCTACTCACAAAAGAAGTCCATTTTTTTTAACATCGTTTTAATACCATGCCAGAATTTTATTAAATATTAGAAAAAAAAATTAAGAAAGAAGTTCTGTAGAAGAATTTCTACAGAACAAACTCAAAGTAAAAAATATCACGTAAATATTATACAGAAAATTCATTTGATACTGTTGAATTCTTGAAATCTTCTAATAGGATAAAGTTCGTACGTTTTAAAATGACAATTTTTAGTCATTTCCGCCCAGTTTAACATCTGCCTAGGGCCAATGTTAAGTCTGTCATTTGATTTTCCCAGATATTTTTGTCTTGTCTTTTTTTGGACCGTTCTAATTGATTCTAGACAGTTCTAAATGATTCTGGATCAATCTAATTGGTTATAAACAGTTCTAAATAATTCTTGATAGTTCTAAATGATTTTGGAGCGTTTTAGATTGATCTAGGCAGTTCTAAATGTTCTGAATAGGAGTTTATACGCCCTGTATAATCCCTTTTTGTTTATTGTAGAGGAAAAAAAAATAACTAGCAAATACGATTCGCCTATTTCGAATTTAGTGCAGATTCGAGCAATCTCTGAGGCATCGTTCTCAGTCGATTTGGGATTGTTACGATTGGACGGCATTCGAACGAAATTGAATTTCAAGGAAACGGTTAGTGATTTCCCGACGATGCCTACCGAACGATCGCTAAATGAAAGGCTCCACGGGAAGAAGGATGTGCCGCAAGGGGAGCAGATTTTGAATATCCGAATTTCCTCGTACGCACTAATGAACTGCCTTCTTTTAAAGTTCGCTTTTAAAGGCGCGGGTTTTCACGTCGATGATGAGTGAGTTGGATAATGCGAACGGCATTAAGAGCAAGATGGTATTAACTAATTAATTTATAACTGTTATGGTGGAAACATTAATAATCCCTAACTCCCGCGAAAATCATTTCTGCATGGAAATGCACTTGCTCAAAGAAACTCAATTATGAATCGTCTACGAAAAGTTAGCTTGTCGTCGTTGTAAATCCGCAATGGGATTTTGTTGTCGCTAAACTTAGACTGTATTATATCACTCGGAGGACTCGCGAAGACGACAAGAGACTCATAATATTCAAAAGGCAAAAAAAACGGTTAAGTCACTGGAAAAAGGAGTTCATAATCAAGTAGGGGTATCCGTTTTAAATTAATTATATATTAGATAATAAAATAACGCATTATTTGTTACTTGTACTAGCACATTTTTCCGTAAGTCGTAAAATTAAATTTACGATTACTGTTTTATTCAGCATTTTTATAGTGATAATGCAAATGTCATTTTTTTGATAAATGTATTTGTTATGCCATTCTTCTTGAATATCCCTGGAGACAGGTGATATAAAATATTAGGTTTAACTTCTCTGTAGGGAAATTTACAACTTTTCATTTGAGAAAATCATCGCAATATTTTATGTCTCCTGAAATTTTCACATTTCTGAACCACTCAAGAAGTAGCAAAGTCTATTTTTTTCTCTGCATAAAACATCATCAACGCAAAAAACTGAAAATTATCAAAAAAATATTTAAGCCGGCATAAATTAGACAAAAGTCCAGATAATCTTTTCAACAAAAATAGGCTTTAGTTAGTGTCACAATACCGATAACCCTCGTCATTCCTCGGTCGCCTGATAATTTATAATTGATATAATAAACCTCCTGCCTGCGGTAATTGCATTAATTCCCGCGTAGGTGTATTCCTAACGTTGTAACAATAGAAATAAAGAGGGTGGATAATTGCAAATCCACTGCGAAAGATGAACACAATGACTCGGCCGCAATTGTGTAAGAGGGAAACGCGAACTGGAAAGTGCGGATCCATTAATTTTATTTTATTGTGCTTCGCGAACAACGAAATAGAAAATCTTAAATGCGTTTCTATAAACCATTGAGAAACTGCTAAAGGAGAAGGCTAAATATTTCACCAGGACATCCTGTATACAGGGTGTTAATTAATTGAGTGCCGATACTTCAGGATGGTAGTATTTGGATGATTTTAAGAAGAAGAGTTTATATCAATGTATATCCTAAACCTATTAGTTTTCAAGCTACGCAGTAGGGTGTTACAGTTTTAGAAAAAAAAATTACTTCTCTATCATAATCCTTATTACTTATTATTGAAATTTTGTACCCACTTTTTATTTATTAAGGAGCATTTTTTGAGCATTTTTTTTATTTTTACCCCTACGGGGTTTGAACATGTATGAATATGTTTGAAGAAAAAATGGTACACCACTGTTTTTTTCTAAAAACCAATATTATTTTTAAAATCCTCATTTATTTTGGAACAAATTCCACGTCCGAAATTTCATAAAAAACATCTGGAGTAATAAGAAAATTATGATAGAAAATAATTTTTTTCTATAAAACTGTAACAAACACGCAGCTCGAAAACAATAAGAGGTTTAGGACACATTGATATAAACTTTATTTCTTCTTAAAATCATCCTAATATTACCATCATCCTGAAGTATTGGCACTCAATTAATTAACACCCTGTATATCTCGCGGTATTTTTGTAGATTGTGGGAATTTATACAATGATTCGTAACTTGTGGAAGTGATCCATCAATCAAGCGCGATTTTTATTCCGGCGAATCTTAATTATCCGGGCGTTTCGGGAATTTCGATACTTTCCCCATTGTCTTTAACGATCGGCCATAGAACGACCTGTAAAAGGAAGAAAGGGCAACTCTCAAAAAAGCGATGCGGAGCGCTTTTTACGATGCTAAATTTAAGCAATTTCTTCCCAAAAATAACGCGTAGCGTGTAACTCGGAAGCCTTCCTTGTTAATAATTTTCCGGATCGCTCTACCCTTATCTACAGCGAATATTTACGTCATGTCGTGCTTCAAAGCAATCCATAAAGAAGTTTATTTTATCGGCCTTTAACTTGTCAATCCGTCATTCACCCTGAAGACTCGATTTAGATACACGGAAAATTGACGGACGGATTTTTATTCAGACTTTTTTTTACCGAAAACTACCGACAAATCAAATAATCAAATTGCCTTCGAATATTTCCGCACGCAACGTAAAATCCCCCTTATAATACTAATTCGGTTTGGGTTATAAATAAAGCGAATAGAGTTGTTTTTTAGACAATTAATTACGTGAGATAATTAGTTGTTTGTTATTGTTAGATTAAGGGATGAACGTTTGACAGAAGGGTTGCTATGACTATTATTACTATTCTAATAGGATGTTTTGTCCCCGAAGGCTCTAGGAAGGTACACAATTAGGTATTATACATAATTCGGGTGTGCGGAGATTTGGTCGACGAACACTTGTTGGTTTAATTACTTATACAGGATGTCTTCTTGTTATGCAATATTTTGATCATATGAATAATTTAGTTATTTATGGTGTTAGAGATTAAATATTTTACATATTAGGCGTTTACCTTCCTGGAAACTCTGATATTATCTAGCTGATAAAGGTTGAAAAAGATTGCTAGTTCACACATATGATATTCTTTGCCAATTTATTTCGGCCTTTTTTAGGCGAAAAAAGGGGAAATGAAGTGGGCGATAGGTGAAATTCGACGGAAATAAAAGATGCTATCTTGGGTCATTACTTGTAACGTTTCGACGCGACAATGCAATTTTATCAAACTTTTTAGCAATAAACCAGTAGGTATATACAAACAATTTACAATATACGAGGGCGAATCAAAGGTTACTCACTAGGTGAAGTTAGTACCACATGATGTCTGAGCAAGAGGCTGCAATGGTCTTTTGAGCAACTGCACAGTTCAATGGAAATATGCTTTCAAGGATTCATATTCACGATTCGCAAAAAATTGGAAAAACCTGTGGAGAAGCAGGAATGGGATAAGCCGAGTTCCGTCTTTCTGCTGGAAAAGTTCTTGCAACGATTTTTTGGGATTGCGGGAGGCATATTGCTCATAGATTTTCTTTATGGATGACGTGTAGTTAATGGTGTATACTATTGCTAACTTTTTGGTGAAGTGGAGCTGGTGTATCGACGAAAAAGACGAAACTCAAGAAAACTTGGACAAAATGCATTGAAAAATACTCTAGAACAACCACCCTACAGTCCCAATTTATCGTCATGTAACCGTCACATGATTAGGCCACTCAAAGAAGAACTAGGAGGTCATCACTTCAACGACTAGGAAAGTGTGGAAACATTTGTGTGCAATTGGTTGCAGACACTACCAGAATTATTCTTTGATGACGAGATTAAAAAACTTCCGATTCGGTGGGAAAATTGTGCTAATAAAAGAGGAGATTACATAGAAAAATAATATGTAATCAATTTACTAAAAAAGTTTTTAAAGCAAAATTCCGGTTCATTTTAGATTCGCCCTAGTATATTCCATTATGCTCGCTCTCGTTCTTTTTTAATATTCGCCGAAACATCTAATCTTAGACAAATAAGTGCGGACTAGCAGCTTTTCTTTTCTTTTGCGCCGAAAAGAAAATTACTGCACATTACCAGGCATCTCGAGCGACCACGTTGAAAATTACCGAGCTCCTGCCGAAGATATGAAAGGATATTTCATCCTCGCGTTCGCGGCAGATGAATTAATGCGGCTTCGACTGCGGATCATTCTTTCGCCGGAGCCCGTCGATCGGATTACAAAAAAAAATTACAAAAAAAAATTCTACTAATCCAATGCTAATAAGTATTCGCTTTTAATGAGGTAGAAAAATGCCGTTACTACACCGGCAACGTTATAAAAGCCATTTCATCAACGAGTGAGAGTCGTGTAATCCCAACTTAAATAGGTAAGTCGGGGAAAAAATCGCCGCGGAGAAAAATGAATGCAATTTTTCCGCGTTACCGCGACGGTTTCAGTTCTAACCCGCCAGATAAATCCCCGGCCGCGCCCCGAACTCTTATTATTATAATTGAGTTGTTATTTTAAAAGTTCCGCCGAGCCTGCCCCGGTCGTTCCGCAAACGAATCGTTTCCGCTTTATAAAATTTTATTTCGCAACGATATAACACTAACAACAACTAAGATGGAATTTCTCCCCGCGGATTTCCGAAACGGCCCTGCGATCGTAAATTGAGTTTAAATGCGAGACAGGAGGACGTAAAATCAATGCAATATTTGTTGCAAAAATTATAAACTTTTGAATTGAATGTGGTGAGAAAGTTTCGAAACCAATAACCCGATTTTTATATTTTATTAACGCCGAAATCAATCATTTGCAAATCCTTTCCTTATCTTCGAAACTTTTTGTCAAATTCGGGATGCGGTGGTATTAAAGGCGGATTTCCCTCTTTTTTGAATTTACCCGCAGATTTGATTCATCAGTGTCAATTGTATCGATTTCCTTTCCCCCAAATTTATTTATAATAAAGAAGTTCAATGAAAATTAACCTTTTCCGAGCACATTTAAAAAGCGAATTGAAACTCGAACGCAAACTCTTTACTAAAACAAACCATATTTTCCTGCATATTTCTCTAAATTTCAGCAAACCTGCCGAACAGATAGTTATGCCCTGGGCCTTTGTATTCATTCGCATGAAACGTTTCAATTCGATTATCGGAAAAACCCGTCCCTTGAACATCCAGCACCGGAAAAATGATTAGTTTCTGGATGCAGCGCCGAATACACAAAAGTGTTACACACCACCTGGTTATCCTTATTCGATCGTCTCCGACCTGCCGAGGACCCGACACTAAATTTCGTTTTCCTGAGAAATTGCAGAAGACACGTAGTAAAAAAAACGAAAGCAAAGAAAAGGAAAATGAAGTCCTCCCGGGTAATTCGCATTCCGATTGCGTACCGACCGCAACAATATAACGTGTGTCGGGAGTTAAATATGGATTTGTTTGGTACATTTCGGCTTAATTAAAATTTAGTTGGTCCATTAATTTAAATTTAATAACGCGGCAGGTGTAATTTTCGAAAAACTACAAGCAAATGAAGAGAGGGACTTAGAATAATGGAATTTTAAATGAGGAAACTTTACCGGGGACATTTAAGAGGATTACTGGCGGCAAGCTGTATTTATTTCATTTATTAACGTTGAAAAAAAGGGGAAGAAACACACCGAGTACGGCCCTGTTCGGGCACGTAATCTTCGCGTATCCGGGCTTCAAATGAACCGGAATGATTGCAGTTTTGAAACAGAAACACGCGGAAAATCCGGTAAAGCCGTCGCTTTCTCAATAACAGCGGGGCGACTTCGCCGTTTTACAATAAATTACATACAGTCCATGTCCAATGGGCGTAACGATGATGCATGGGCATTTACCGGATAAAAGTCTGATACTGATCTGTAATACCCGGCGAAAAATTTATAGCGGCGTTTAATGTCGGGATTAATTTCTAAATTTCCAATAAAAAGTCGAATATTGTAGTTGACAGGTTTCCTCTACAATTTGTTGTTTTTGTGACTTTCCTAGCAGTTTTTGTCTTTTCTGCAGCGTTCTAAATGGTTCTGAAGCGTTCTAGATGTTTTTAGACAGTTCTTAATATTTCTGGACGTTCTAAACGATTCTTGAGGGTTCTAAATGATTCTGGAGGGTTATAAATAATTCTAAATGATTCTGGGGCGTTTTAAATGGTTATAGATAGTTCGAATAAATGATACTAGACATTTCTAAATGATTCTGGAGTGTTCTAAACGATTCTGGATTGTTCTAAATGATTCTAGAGCCTTTTAAATGACTCTAGACAGTTCTAAATGGTTCTTGAGCGTTCTAAACGATTCTGGGGCCTTCTAAATTATTATAGATAGTTTAAAATGGTTATAAGTAGACAGTTCCGAATAATTATGAATCGTTCTAAATGAATCTCAGCAATTTTGGTTTTCTTTTGTGCGGTTTCTGTACGCTTATCAGTTTCTTTCGCGTTTCTCTTTTCGAAGGTCATTTTTCGAAAGTAAACATAACATATTACATTTAGGTGTATCAGTCATATATTAAAGGATTTCTATTACAACCCGGCAACATCGCAACGAGCCGGCTCGTGACGCCATGTCATTTTAAAACGTACGAACTTTACTAAAATAAAACGAAAACATTGCAAAACTACCCGCTCAGAAAACACTCGAGGGTAGATTATTGCTAGTTTTATACCGCTAAAATATTCCTCACTTACCGGCCTGAATAGTCTAGCTGATACCCAGAGAGGATCTAGCTGGTGATCATCGACGTCTTCGGGTGATGTTCCTCCAGTCGAGTATCATTTGTAAAAGTAAATCACTTCTAAAACTACGACGTGGCTCCGCGCGTTATGAGCCCTAAGACGACGCGATAATTGATAGGGCCCTTAATGTTGAAAACAAGTTCATAATGTACTAGTGGCTTCATCGCCGCACAAAGACCCTTTCAAATGCAGTTTAAATTAGATTAATCGAGCCGCCGCGGTAGGGGGTTAACAATAACGAACCGAATTATTTTGTTAAGACAATTTGACGAGTTTTTATAACTGAAAAAATGGCGCGTAGAAAACAAATAAAAAATGACAGTTCGGAAATTTTAAAACCGTAACAAAAATGGCCTCTTACTTGTTAGGAAATAGTTTATCTAGTCAGTTGCCCCCCGAGTTAGACAACACACAATACATTATGCAGATTATAATACTCGTGTTGACAATGTTGCTAGTCTAAATATTGAATATTGATTACCAATAACCGAATAACCAAATTCGTCAGTAAAATTTGTAGAATAAATAGACTAAGCTTCTACCTACGCTATTTCGATTATTGATCAATTTTTCTATTCGACTTCTAATGCCAATCAAACCGATTGGCAGATTTCGATTATATCGAAATGCATTATATCTGACGCGTTTATTTTGGTTGTTTTTTTCCAATGTTGCTTTACTCAGCGCCGAAGAGGCGTCATGAATTATTCAGAGCATTCGATATTTCGATCACAGATCGCAAAATCCGTCTATCTATACCGTACCTTTCAAGGGATACACACACGACCGCGTTCTAAAATATTTATCCGGATAGAATGCCTTTGCTACCTGTATTATTTTCGAGATTTTATGGATCGTTATAGTTCATAAAGTGCCGATATCGTTAACTTCATAAATGTAAAAAAGTGATTAAGTACATACTTACACGTTTTCTGCCCACACCTTGAACTAGGTATCTAAGAATAATACGAGTAGCGATAAAAAAGTATCTAGAATTTCTGATTTAAATTACCTGCATGCACTAAACATTTTTAACTATTTCAATAGTTTATGTGTGTTGGTAACACTATTCTTAATTAGCATTCAAAAAATGAGAGAATTCTCAATCAGTTTGGTTGTAGCAGCTGATTGAATCAGTTCATCTCAATAGTGCTCTGCGAATTTTGTAAATGGACAAAAATAATTAATAATAAATACTTTGTCTCATATTTTGGGTTTTGAACGGAATTTATTTACCCAAAACGAAAACCCAAGTTTACGAATACAAAACTACAAAACGTTACAAGACTTTTAAACGGTACAAAACGCTACTAAACTTTTAAAGACAGTCGGGAGATCGCTAAAGATTTGTCTTGTTCCGGACGGTCTTCGACCACTTCGACCAATGATAACGGCGAGAAAATGAAGGAAATTAAGTTCGAAAATGATCAAGCTATAGTATTAGAGAAGTAGCACTTGACCTCAACATCTCCCGTTAAAGATCAATTTTCCGGGTACTTACTTTTTTGCCACTGTGTACATTTACAGTAGATTTTTTTTGTTGCAGAAAATTGGCATTCAATGACCTACTGTTGCAACGAGGACGGGTGCAATTCAGCTACGAAATCAGCATCGCATTTCCTGGTTCTAGCCGTTTCTGGAGCGCTGATAGCCGCATTCAATAACGCGGTGCACTGAGACAGGCAATTGAGAGAAGGGTAACGAAAACAGGGGGCAGCTTCGATAGTTCCGGCTTTCTTTTTGTTGTTTTTTTAGTTAAAATGCCCCGAATTTCGAAACGAAATCAAGCAGACACTTCGCTCAAATCTCTTGCCGTTTGGTTTTCTCAAAATTTTCTGAAATTTAAATGAATTTGGGGCATTTTTTCAGACCGTTCGAATTGTCGAAGAAGTGAACTTGCGACGTTTTTGAAAATTATAATTATCCATAAATTCAAGTATTTGCCTCCAGTGCGTCTCGAAGAAAAATACTTGGACGTGATTTTAAAATTATTCATTTATTCCCTTAAAACTGCACAATAAAAAACCAAAAGAAAAGGTATAATTTTCAAAAACACACCGCCATAATATCCAAATTACTACCGGTTTATTAATTATGTAAAGGTTTAAACCTCGAAAGATATTCTAAAACATTTTTTCTATATTAGTCTTCCTTGCACATAATAATATTATCATCTCGCTCATACATAGACACGATTATTTAGAGTTGTAAATTTTTAAAAAGTGAAAAATAAAATAAAAAAAAAATGTATAAGCGTAGTCACGCAATTTAAATTAATTTTAGACTAAGATAAAATTCAAATTTACCAGTTAATGCTCAAGTACGTTCTAGAAACTCAAAACTTTTTTGATTGTACAGGGTGTTTAAAAACATAGAACAAAGAGAGATGAAGGATCAAAAAAGAAAGAAAAATGAATTTGTAAAGTTCGTACGTTTTAAAATAACTGTCAACTACAAATAGCGGAATTTTGAGACGATGTGGCAACAACGCATCGTTATTTCAACTGGGACCCGCTAAATTCCTAGTAAAATAGCGGAATTAACATTGGCACTAGGGACATTTCAAATTGCGCGAAAATTACTAAAAATGACGTCATTGCCATTTTATTATGTACGAACTTTAGAACAAATTTTTGGTTCTCAGGCGAGCTTGTTTTCTTAGAATTCTATTTTAGAAACACCCTGTAGAATAGTATTAAAAAACTCTACTCAAACACTGTAAGCAATACACAATTACATAAATTTAGACACCTATGATATTCTAAAAATGTACTTCCTGATAATTTTGCTAATTTTCTAGATAGACACTAATTCTAACGAAAAATATATTTACACGAATTACCAAGTAACAATAGAATTTTTTCTCATTAGTTCATAGAAATAGTCGAAACGTAAATAAGGAGTTCACGATTACTATCAATCACCCTTATAGATTAGTAAAAACCGTATTTTTTGCAATGTGAAACGGAATTTATTATAATTAAAATTTGTAGTAACTGTAATGATAAATAGAATTACGATCCTAGTCTCATATAGTCTCAAAGCACTGCTTTCATTCAAACATATAAGTTTGTTCCAGCAAAAAATTAAGAAAGCTCCATATTCATTCCGGATTCAAAACATTTCAGTGTTTAAACAATTCCATTTTAAGTCCGTAGGCCATATTTATAAAAAGAAGCATAACCTTTTGCTTTAAAAAAATGAAGCAATTGCTTCAAGGTATATGCATAAAAAGAAGTGAAGGAAGAGTTGGATTTGCTTCGAGGACCCTGCTGTTGCTTTAAAGCAAAAGGTTTTATGTTTTCCGTATTTTTAAAAAGAAGCATTTACTTAAAAAGAAAAGGATTTGCTTGTCAAAATAAAATTTACAGACCGCTCCAAAGTAAACTGTCTTCAATAATTTAGAACTGTCTCGATCAATCTAGAACGCTCGAGAATCATTTAAAACTATCTAGAATCATTTAGAACGAACCAGAATCATTTAAAACTATCTAGAATCTAGAACGCTCCAGAATCATTTTACTTCAAAGCAAATGCTTCTTTTTTATATGGACTATATTAAGTTGAGAATCAAAAGTATGTAGGTAATGGTTTTAAATTTTGCTGAAACAAACCTAATACATAAAATAGGTGAATAATTTATTAAAGCGAGATTACTAAAGAATGGATTATTTAAATTTAGTGTTATAAAAAGATGTTTTATATTTAATTGAGTGAATACAGCCCGATGAAAACAGCTATTTTACTCAATTAAACGTAGAGCATCAAGAATATTTAATTATTGTTATTGATTTTAAAGTTCTAAAATTTCAGAAATTATTAATTCGTTTCTTACGATTGAAATATTCGAAGCGTTTTCCGAACTTGAACAGTTCGATCAATCACACACCTACTCAATTAGTCGCCAAGCTCGTTAATTAAAATCTATCGATTCCGAATCGAGCACTCGTGTCGATTGAACTTCCAGTTTTTTAATCGTAATTAATTACGCTGTATCGCATTTCACATCATTTATCCGTGTATATATTTGTACAAGTGTATAACGCACGAAACAAATGATCACTAGGCTTAAAGAATTAATTCTAAGGGCTTTTCGTACCAAATTAACGACGTTACATTTATCTATGTCGAGAACATTCACAGCGCTATGAACGAATATGTTATTTAATAAATTACTTGTCTGAAAAAGGATACTTATACCGAGTTTTATTTGTGTATTACGTAGACATTTCGCTGGGTTAAATATGAAAAATGCCAGTTATCGAGTTAAGAACTGTTTAGAACCATTTAAATGATTGCAGAATCATTGAGAATTATTTAGAATCATTTACTGTCTCGAATAATCTACTGGAACGCTCCAGAATCCGGAAGAGTTTAGAACAATTTAGAACTGTCCATAGAACCATTTACAACGCTCCAGAATCTTATAGAACTGTCTAGAAGAATTTAGAACTGCCTGGATCCATCTAGAACGCTCCGGAATCTTTTGGAACTGTCTAGAATGTTTTAGTACTGTCAAAATTATTCAAGAACGATCCAGAGTCATTTGGAACTGTTAGGAATCATTTGGAACGCTCCAGAATTATTTTGAACAGTCTATAACTATTTAGAAATGTCTAGAGCCCTTTAGAACGCTCCAGGAATCATCTAGAACTGTTCAAAAATATTTATTATGGGAATTTTAATTATGGATCAGAGCAAAACCTTTTCCTCGCACTTTTTGCTTCTTAGTACTTCAAAGTACATACTCCGTTTCAAACTTTAAAATGAAAAAAAAATGGTATCAACTCTGATGAGGCGCTAGGAAAAATCAATCCATCAATTACTAGAGTAAAATGCATTCGTAGAGCCGATTCGCATACAATTACCACTACCACAGTAATTGACATTGTCGATTTTAGAATCTGTACGCTTTGTTGTTAATTTAAAATCACGGAGCGTGCGGATTCTCGGATCGAAGTTGTCGTTGTACACACACAAACCCCAACGATACAGGATAAAATAATTTATTCTTACACATATTTATACACGAATGTTTCTCTAATGCGACGGCCCTCTATCCTATCCGATCACAGCCACGTTCTCCGAAGACTTCAACGTTTCCGGAAGGTTCGCCTCGCCTCTGAGTTGCGGCTAAAAAAACGAAAAATAATCAACTCGAATTCGTTGGATAATAATTATTTCGAAGCTCGAAGCTCACCATAACGTATACGTGAGTAGGTAACGTCCTGTATATCAGCGAATTCAGCTGGTCTTGTCTGATGACGGGCGGCCCGTTTTCACTGCTCTCCGATATTGTCAAACCCAATCGGGGAAGTACCACGCTGCCCGTATACAGAGGCGTCAGATTATATTGAAGAGTCCTCGTCGAAACAGGCAATAGAGAAATGGAAAACTGAAGAAATATTCCTTTGTATTAGTAATAAAGTTAAAGTACATTTTCGTGGGTAGATGCAGTAACTTGATAAGGCTGTTTTAATCTTAAATTACAGTAAAAATTCTGAAATTGCTCCAAATTTCTTCAGTAAGTACTTGTTTAGTGCCTCAACGTTAAATATTTATTGCTAGATTCTACCTTCTTAACAAGAGGAACCTGGTGGTAAAGTTTGTACGTTTTAATATGAAAATGACATCACGTTGCAACGTTGTCGGGTTGTAATCGAAATCATTTATATGACAGATATATTAAATTTAATGTAACGTTTACTTTCAAAACGCACGCACGAAAATTAAACGAAAAACACATAGAAAAACGCGAAAGAAACTGATAAACGTACAGAAACCGCACGAAAAAACAGGTCAAAGGCAAAAATGAGAATCATTTAGAACGTTCCATAATTATTTAAAACTGTCTTCAACCATTTTGAGTCTATAACCATCTTCAACTGTCTATAACCATTTAGAACTGTCTAGAATCGTTTAGAACTAAAACCATTTAGAATGCTCCAAAGTCATTTAGAACTTTTTGGAATCATTTAGAACTATTTAGAACGATTTAGAATGCTCTGCAATCATTTAGAACGCTCCAAAATCATTTAGAAAAGTCTAGAACCATTTACAATGCTCCAGAACCAGTTAAAATAGTCTATAACCATTTAGAACGGTCCAGAGTGATTTAGAACTGTCTACTATCATTTAGACCGCTCCAGAATCATTTAGAACTGTCTATATCCATTTAGAACACTGCAGAATCATTTAGAACAGTCTAGAACCATCTAAACTGTTTAGAACGCTCCAGAACCATTTAGGACAGTCTATAACGATTTAGAACGCTCTACAATCATTTAGAACGCTTTAGAAAAAGACAAAAATCGCTGGGAAAGTCACAAAAATAACAAATTGTAGCCAAACCCTGTCAAATAGAACCAGCGGAATTTTGAGACTAAACACATGGCAACAACGCATCGGCAACTCAACCGCACGCCGCTAAATTCCCCTAGTCAAATGGCGAAATTAACAATGGCACTAGGGACATTTGGAACTGCGCGGATATTACTAAAAACGACATCATTGTCATTTTAAAACGTACAAACTTTACTGATAACTCAACTTTGACATAAAAAATCGACTCATCGAGTTACGACATCTCTCCGCAGACGATCATAGGATTATTTTTACCTGTTTACGGCCGGAGAACATGAAAGATTCGCTCGCTTCCATCGAAAGATCCAATCGAATGAGTTCGTGCGATCGATTCTCGAATCGATATTCGACGATCATCGGAGTCCTGACGAAACCGTGGGCGGGCACGATGAGTTTCAATCCGACGGCGAGCCAGTCGCAGGTCAAACCGATCACGTTCAACGTCGTCGAAGCGCCGTGACCGCCTTCCCTTTAAATTAATAATTAATAAATCGATTGAAGAACGTATTTGTAGATTTTCTTGCGATCGAACCTTCTCCATTTTATCGTGTAGTTGCCAACGTTGGTTGATTTTATGTTGGCTTTGTTGCAATTGGCCAAGCGCAATTCGGCGGCGATTTCGTCCTTGTTGAACATTTTTCCCGCTATTTGACTAGATTGGTTTTTTTCGGCCGGAATCACCGGGAATAACTGCGAAATAAAAACGTTCGTGTCGTGCATCTGAGGGCGCCATTTCAGGGCATTTTAAATGGGAAAACATACAGTTGGTGCAAAATAAATATCAATGCATGTCACTATTGTCGTCATATTTGCGAAGCATTGTGCCCATCTTTTAAAAATCTATATTCTTTCTATATTACCCCACGAATTATGAATTATTTTATTGTGAGCTTACTTACGTAATCGAGCGAAGTATCTTCGATGATAATCGGCCAAGGGGAAGTGAATTTCACGTAGCTCATGATGCCGAATTCTTCGTCGACGTAGAACTTGTCGATTTCGTCCATGAGAATCGATAAGTATTTGGTGGATACTTCGAACGGTTCGACGACGACCAGAGGCAGTTTCTCGGTTTTTATGCTCAATATCCGCTTGTCGCCGTTCAATACGTACGTCAGTTTCGATTGGATGTTGCATTTGCACACCAAGTTCGATCTGACGAAGAAATTCGTAGCGATTTCTTCGCCGCTCTGCAATGTCTGCGAGTTGTTCAACACCAGGTTCAGTTTCTTCTCCTTGTCGGACGGTTGCAGAGACAATTCCACTAAAAATATAATATGCATTATAATATAAATTATTATATAAAATATATTATATCCTTTTTGGGCAGTGCAAGACAAACTCACCGTTGGCAATTTCTTCTTCGATCCAAACTTCAATTTTCAAATCGACGATATCGTGGAGTTCCTCGTTGGTGACGATCGCCTCGATTTCGTACCATTCTCCCAACAAAGCGGGATTGTTGTGGCGAAATTCGACTTTCAATTTCGATTCTCTGGGCACTACCGTAGCTTGAGTGATCAATTGTACGTTATCGAAATCCAATACGTCGCTGTTCAATTTGAAATGGCACAGTTCCGGATGGTTCCTGTTCACTTCCACGAACGGCGGGTATTTTAAATTCAAATGGCAATCCTCCAGGTTGCCCATGAATATGTTTACGGAATGAATCTGAAATTTACAATTTAAATTCGTATGTTTGTAAAAGTGATAGCAATAACTAGAGCTTGGGAAATATATGTACCAAAAAAATTGCAAAATAAGCTCGATGAAAAAAATCTGAAACAACCAGATTTACCTCTTTTAGAACTGTTTAAAACCATTTAGAGCGCTCCAGAATCATTTAGAGCTGTCTAGAGCCATTTAGAGCGCTCCAGAATTATTTAGATGTGTGTAGAATTATTTAGAACGCTCCAGAATTAATTAGAACTGTCTAAAACCATTTAGAACTGTCTACAATCATTTAGAACTGTCTTGAACCATTTAGAACTGTCTAGAAGCATTTAGAACGTTCCATAATCTATCTTGAACTGCCTAGAACCATTTAGAACGCTCTAGATTCATTTATAACTGTTTACAACCATTTAGAACGCTCCAGAATCTTTTAGAACTGTCTAGAACCACTTAGAACGCACCGGAATCATTTAAAACTGTCTAGAACTATTTAGAACGCTCCAGAATCATTTTGAACTGTCAAAACCATTTAGAATGCTCTAAAACCGTTCAGAACACCATATTTAAGAGTTCTCAGAATGAGCATTGGGCGTTTTATTTTATTATTAGTTATTAAGTGTAACGTATTTTAATTATTCATCGGCAAAATATATCGAAAAATGCAAAATTCCATTTAGCATATGCATTTTGAATTTTTTGGTGAAATAGGCAAGTATGCACTTTACATGCATATATTGCATATTTTCCAGGCTTTAGTAATAACTTACATGGATGTCTTTGTTAATATCCTTGCAATCGGCCAAAAATTCTATAACGTATTTTTTAACTTCGTCTTTATGAAAATTGAATGAGTATTCGTCCAAATCCGGTACGGTGTATTCCAAATTTTGATTCTGTAGAGTTAATGTAACAGATACCTTCGTTAGAGTTAAAGGAAACGGACACGTGGATCTGTAAATAAATAAAATTAGATTTAACATTATTATCACCTTCATACCGTTTAACAAAAGTTTTACCTAATAAATATTTCTAGAATAACGTTCTGGTTCACTTCGTAGGTTTTTTTAGTGAATCTGGCTTTAACCGAAACGCTCGCAATCATATTGTACATGTCTAATGTGAGATTGAAGCGTTTATCGGTGAACACCGGTTGCCAATGAATAATGGCGTTTTGTAAGATTTCTTGAGATAATTTGGGATCCCCGAACGGAATCAGTTTCTGTAAATACGTAAAAAATATTTAGAGACATATCTACAGTGCTTTTCAAGGAAACCGTCCAATAAAACTTATAGGAGTTCCTGAAGAGTTACAAATCTGAGAATTTAGGAGTAAAGAATAGTCAAAGTTGTGAGTTTTTGGTTTTTTGGTGAGCAAGAAGGGTATTATAAAAATATAATTAATAAAAATTCGATTATTTCCAAAACCACCTAGATTTGGGTATAGGGAATGCCTATATGGAGCGAAAGGGTTTAAATATTTCTATATATAGTCCAATGTTTAAAAATACAGGGTGATCCATTTGAAATAATGAAGTTACAGTCAATTTAAGTTAGCCAGTTTAAGTTCAGCCAATTTAAGTTAACAAAGTGGCGCATTTTTGGCATATGGTGCTATTGTCAAAGTCTGGTTAAAAAGGGCCACAGGAACCAAAAATTAAGTCAAAAATGGTACTTTCCATTTGAAATAACAAAATTGACATCTACTTCCGGTATAACTGGATGTCACATATGGTTGAAAATATATTAGAAAAACTCGCAACGTTGATTATACTCCTAAATTTTCAGATTTGTAACTCTTTAGGAAGTTCTAATGGACGGTTTCCTTGAAAAGCCCTGTAGAGTATAACGTAAGTATTACTTTCAATATGCGCATCAAGTTTTCATATATCCTCCTTTTTTCGTTTAAAGGGGTTTTAATGTTAGCCCCTAAAATTTCCAGAGCCAAAGCCACGTAATCTTGCACATTCGCCGTTAGATAAGCGCAAAGTATGGCCTTTTCCAGGATTCTCGACAGGATATCCCACCATTGCTCGTTACGGAAATCCGTTAACATATGAGTATACAAACTACAACGAATATTATTGGAGAAATACAAATAATCAAAAACTAATAGTAGCTTACGTTAAGGCTTTACCGTAATCGTTAGAATCGTAATACTCATCAGCCATTTGCAGCACTAAATACCTTCTGGTTCTCGGACACCTGTACATTTTATATTGCGATATCGCCAGACCGTAAAGTGTTATTATCAATGACTATTAGGGTGAAAAAAATAAGCGAAAATTATTCAAATTGAATAGCATTTTATAAAGCGTACTGACCGAATGATTGACTTGTTTTTCCAAATACTGCAACGCTTGTATACCGCTGGATTCCAAATGGGGATCGGGAGGATCAGCAGTCAATTTGCCAGGTCTCCAAGGCCTTTGCCCATAGAATTCCATATTATTCGCGCCTTGCAAAGGATCAGGTTGAGGATAAGTGGCGACAGTCTGAAAATATCCGCGCAATATAAATTATAATAAAAGAAAAATGGGTTACAAAACGTACAGTGCACAACTCGTGGCATAATTTCTTTCTTTGTGTACAATACTGAGCCGCTTGCTGGTAATAAATACCTGGGTGTTGGGTTTGTACGGCCGGCAGGCCTAATTTAACTGCTTCGTCAAATATATCACCAAAAACGGAATATCTAAAATTTTATAGCTAATAAACTGTTTCAATTCATGTACAGGGTGTTAATTAATTGAATGCCGATACGTCAGGATGTGAATATTTGGATGATTTTATGAAGAAAAGTTTATATCAATATATGTCCTAAACCTCTTAGTTTTCGGGCTACAGGGAGTTGCAGTTTTAGAAAAAAATGTAACTTTTCTATCATAATTTTCTTATTACTCCTGAAATTTTTATGAAATTTCGGACGTGGAGGTCACTGGTAATAGAAGAAAATTAATTTTTGTCCCAAAAAAAGTGTTTACATGCATCGTGCGCGCCTAAAAATTTCAACAAAATATCAAAAGCAGTCTCAATGAACTTCACTGGTAATTTTTTTAAAGTCTTGCCTCAAAATATGCTCCTTAATAATTAAGAAGTGTGTACAAAATTTCATAAAAATATCTGGAGTAATAAGAAAATTATGATAGAAAAATTATAGAGGTTTCGGAAATATATTGATACAAACTTTTCTTCTTAAAATCACCCAAATATTCACATCCTGAAGTATCGGCACTCAATTAATTAACACCCTGTAATATCCTTACTGTTTAGACAGCCAGGCGTAGTGTTCGAATGTTAGCTCATGGAAACCGATCCTGGCTTTGAATCTCTCTATGTGGGATTTGAATTGAGATATAGCATCACGGGGTAAATTTAAGACAAACAAAAGTCTGCACAGTTTGTAGTTGATGAAACCTGCTATCGTCCTAATTTCTAAAGCATTCGTATCGACAATCCTGATGTCTAGCAAATTATTATAAGCGTTGGTGTAATGTCTTAAAAAATAGTTTAATTAAATTGAGAATTTAATTATATGTTAAATCGACTCACTTGTGTGCCGTATGATTATCCTGTCTCATTTCGGACAAAAACGCTATTTTGAACTGATGCCTAACGAATAGATACTGGTGGGAGTTTTTGTTCAAATGTTCTTTATGCGATTTGATATGCTTAGCTTCGTTTTGGTAGTAAACTTGGGCGTACTCGTAGAATGCATTTTCTAATCTCACTGCATAGCCCTGAAATAACGACATTACAATAGTCCGTATTTATAAAAATGAAGCATTTACTTTGAAGTAAGAAGTAAGAGGAAAAGGTTTTGCTCTGATCCATATTCATAATCTTCGCCTTTTCCTTGCAAGGAAACGCTTCTGATAAATAAGCAGGTAAATGGTACAGAGATTTCGTCAAAACTAGTCGAAAGGAGTCTAAATGGTTCTAAACAGTTCTAAATGATATTGGAGCGTTCTATATTGATCTAGACAGTTCTAACAGATTTTGGACAGTTCTAACAGATTTTGGACAGTTCTAAATGATTCTGGAGCGTTCTTAATGATTACAAATAGTTCTACATGATTTTGGAGCATTCTAGATTGATTTATAGTGTTTAAATGTTTTTGGAGCATTCCACATTCTTGTAGACAGTTCTAATTGATTCTAAACAGTTCTAAATAATTCTGGAGCGTTCTAAATGATTCTAAATGATTCAAGGCAGTTATAGATGACTCTGGAGAGTTTTAAATGATTCTAAACAGTTCTAAATGATTCTGAAGCGTTCTAGATTAATCTAGACAGTTCTAAAAGACTTTGGACAGTTCTAAATGATTCTGGAGCATTCTAAATGGTTCTAGACAGTTCTAACGTGAATGCACTTTGTCAGCTATAACAAACTGTGGAAACTCAGTCAAAATTGACAAAAATTTTACGTAACAAGCTGTTTGGTGGCTGAGTAACTACTGAAAAGATTGTGAAAACTTGCTATGAACCTGTGATTTTATTTTGACAAGCAAATCCTTTTGTTTTTAAGCAAATGCTTCCTTTTATAAATATCGAAAACATAAAACCTTTTGCTTTAAAGCAACAGCAGCTAGCAACAGCAGCTTAATTAGCTAAATACTTGCTTACTTGTAAGTGATCCCCATGTGGCAATACGAACAGTGATTGTGAATGTATATCACAGCTAGAGCACAGAGCGGCGGCTTTCTCGGCTGCTAACGAATCCTCCCCTTGTGGTAAAGGTGGTGAATTTTGCATTAAAACTATCGTCAATCTCGTATTCCTGCCTTCTAAAGCAGCTCTACAATATCAAAATATGAATAAATATTAAATACATACTTGTATATTAGGTAATAGAAAAATACCTCATCGACTGTACTCTGGAAGCACACTCCATCATTTTCTCATTCCATTGTGGATCATTCCAATCTAAATCGTAAAATATCACAATAACGGCGGGTATTTCGTACAAATGCTTGTTCATCCAGTTTTTCTTCAAAATCCCTTTAGGAATGTACCAGTCGTAAGAAGTCCTTCTCGGTTTCACGATCGGAAACTCTTGGGCGTTACCTAATATCTTAAACAGCACCGGTGCCCTTTCTATCCGCCTGTTACCACTGAACGTCTCCCAAATAGACTTGTGCACAGCATTGTTTACAACATCTAAGCCTGATACACCCACCAAAGCTAAGGGCTTGACGCAAAGTTCTTGAGGAATGTCGCTATCACTTTGCACAGTACTTGCCTGCATTGCGGTTAATGAGAGTATGTTACAATATGTTAGATACGATTTTTATTAGTATTGTAAATTTGAGAATGTTTGATTTTTTAGGTTACAAAACATAATATAACCTCTTTAACCTATAAAATTTACGTGTCAATGTCAAATTTGTCAAAAGAAACGTCAAAAAAATCAACTCATTATTAGGTTGAATAGCGTGTGTTACTCAGGCCTCCAAATAACAGAAGAATTTCCAATTACAATTTATTGAAAAGCTGGAATTGCCTGGGACAACGTAAAATTTTCCGTTCTCTAAAATATTCTCATAAATGTTTACAACATAGACAAAACGTAATATCTTTCTTTCTCAATTTCGAATAAAATTTACGTGTCAGTGTCAAACGTTTGTCATAAGAAACGTCAAAAAATTTTTGTTATAATAAAGGACCGAATAGCCTGAGTAGTTCAGGCCTCAAAATTACAAGAAAAATTTCCAATTAGAATTTATTGAAAAGCTGCGACAACGTAATATTTTCCTTTTTGCTGAAAAATTCTCATAAATGCTTACAATTTCGAAAAGAAAATGATAGAATCATGTCCAAAGAAACGTATGGTGTTAGGCATAACAATATTAGGAATGTAAGTAAGTCGCAATTAACTTCAATTCCACGAGAACTAAATTATTTTTCTTTCCACACAGTTTAACTCTATTAGTCTTATTCATTGAATCGCATTGGACCGAGCCGAATAAACTAAGCAGAAAATCGAACTTCATCGTCGAGCAAAACTCGACTTGCTGGGAATTGGGAAACTACGAAGTACTGAAAGAGTGCGAACCTTGTTCAGGTAATCTAACCTAACTTTCTTATTCCTACTATTTCTCACGAATCCGTTTTAGAATTCGAAATACGCAGTAGAAATATCGGCGTCTGCATTCACACCAAATACAAGGAAGTACTCAAATGCTCGAACGGCGAAATCGTAATCAGATCTTGCGATCGGGCTGCGTACATTGACGAACAGCAGTTTTGGAGATTCGAAGGCTTCATGTTCGCAATAAGCTTAATCTCAACGGTTTGCGTAGTATCGAGAAGGAAGGTTTTAACCAAGCGGATATTACAGAGGGTTCAAAGACAAATCGCAAACTGCGTTTAAAAAAAAACGTAAGAATTACTCTACTTAGTAAACGAGTACTAATTCTAATTCTTTCAGATGGACCTTTACGTCGAAGCCTACAGGGATCCTTCTGGGGAAATTTGCGTTGACCTGGAAACCTTAGTAGTGCTTTTTATATACAAATTGATAGAAAAAGATAGGGTTAATTTGCATGTGAAATTCCTCATCGAACAGCCTTCAGAACCGCTTATAAAAATATATTTGGGAGACGATGACTTTATCGACGCAAATTCTCTACCTCAAATAACTAATTTAGCCAGCACTCCTATTATCGTTTCGGAAAAACAAGTAACTGCCGGATTATGCTCAGTAGCTAGAGGCCTGCTCAAGACAAGTTCACTTCCGAACCTCAAGAAACTGCTGGGTTTTAAGGAAGCTTGCCTGTTAGCGTGCTCTGGAAATTCCATCTGGACTCGATTTTGCGAAGTCGACATAATAGAAACTACAAAAAACATTCTACGTAACAAATATTTCAACGATAAGGAATTCACATTGCCCTCCGATATGGCGAGATTCGAATATCATTTATCGACGCCTATAAGAATACATAACGTATACAAGGAAGCTAGGGTTAGAAATAACAATAAAGATATAAAATCCGGCGTGCCGATTAGCGAATTGAATCTAGAACACACATTCAGCGAAGGGCCTATAATGACCTTATCGGATGTTATTTTGTATCAGTGTTACGAGGTACTGCTAAAAAATTGTCCAGGCGACGCAATGAAAAGCAGGTTACCGTTGACAATAAATTGGTTCGATCGAATGGAAGATTCTTTTGTAGCATCCTCAAAGTTTGGAGTACCCGAAAAGCCCATACAAATAACGCGAGTGATAGAAGAGAACTTTCAAAAACAGAGTTTATACAAAACTGATCCTATAAGATACAAACCGGAGAAGCGCATTTTCACCAAACAAGCCGACATCGAAGGAGCTATTAACTTAACGAAAGATATCAAATGGCATATAATAAACGAAAACCGACCTTTCGGAGCCGACGCTCCCTTTAGCTGGTCAACAGTTCCACTAGAAGCGAATCCCAACGGTGGAGCCTTGCCGAAGAAGAGGGCCCATCGAAAGAGCCAGCAACTGGAAAACATGGCCAAAGCCGTTCTGCAAATAACGAACACTCGCAATTACAGAATCGTGGACTTTTGCAGCGGCAGCGGACACCTCGGCATTCTACTAGCAACCCTACTGCCCGACTGCGAAATCGTGCTGGTCGAGAACAAGGAAAAATCCCTCGCCAGAGCCAAAGAGAGGATCGAAAAGCTGTCTTTAACTAACGTCGTGATAGTGCAAAGTAATTTGGATTATTTTCGAGGGGGTTTCGATCTGGGAGTGGCGTTGCACGCGTGCGGAGTCGCCACTGATCTGGTAGTGCAACGTTGCATTCGAGCCGGAGCCCATCTGGTCGTGTGCCCTTGTTGTTACGGGGGACTAAGGGATTCCTACGATTTGGTGTATCCTTTAAGCGAGCAGTATAGAAACACCCAGCTGGATTACAAGGGTTACTTGAACGTTGCTCATGCGGCGGATCAGACGCACGATGAGGAGAACGCGAAGACACAGCAGGGGTTTCATTGCATGGATGTCATCGACACGGATAGGAGGTTGTATATAGAAAGTTTCGGTTATAAAGTGCATTTGGGGAAGTTGTCTCCTGTCACTTGTACGAATAAGAACAATTTAATTGTAGGGTTACTTGAAAGATAGGGTTGGTTATAATTGTAAGATATAATTGTGTTGTTGTCTAGAAGACTTGATTTTTTAAGGATGATTTTAGTGTGATTAAATATGTTGGGATTTTTATGAAGACTTTTTTATTTTTGTTAGAACTAAATCGATTTCTTTAAGAGATCTAAACTCGAATGAATGAAAAGAGGAAAAAAATGTCTGTAGTAATTTACGTTTTTATCGCCCATATTCACCAATTTCGGAACTCGTAACAACAAATTACTAAATTAGTACAAATATCAAATTTGTATATTTGAAGAAGTAAATAACTATAATAACCGTCATAGACAAAATAAAAGACATCTTTCTTTCTCTATGGTAAGCGTTCATATTTCTCGCTCTCATATTTCAGCGTTTATTCCATCTAACCGAATCTCTTCAATCCTATTTCGGAATATTTCTGTCTATTTAATATCTAATTCTAACACTATCTTCGGAAGACGAATTGGACAATTCGTGAAACTCTATCTATTCTACTTGACTGCTCCATTAGGTATAAAATTAAAATGTTATATGTCACTGTTAAATAGTCGTAAAAACTTTGAAAATATCGACATTTTGATTGAAGGTATCAATGTTATGAAGTCTGTTACTCCTTTTATCTGACTGTTAAGTATTAACTGACATTGGTGAATGCCAAAATTTGAAGTTAACAAATTGATAAGAACTTATCTCTCTGTTAGCGATTTAACAGGCATTGGTGAATATGGCCGTATTTCATTAGAGGTTCATTAAAATCGCAAGAGCGCTTTGAAACCATTAATCTTCTAGACGTTTCGAAAATTAGAATATGATAAAAATAGATTTCGCATTTACAATTTATTTTGGTAAACGTGGAAGTGGAATCGCTAGAACCGCTAGTCTATTAGAGTATTTTATCCGAAAATGTGCACCGGCCAAGAAATTTTATAATATTCAACTCGATTAAAACATTCCGTATGCCAGTTAAACGCGCTACAAAGACCTTCAAAGCAAAGGTTAACGATTCAATTTTTCAAGATTATGCATTCACCGTAGCCTACATAATTTAATTCTATATTATACAAGTACAAACAATTTTTCAAACAAAAAAACATTAAATATTTAAGCAGCCGGTTATCTCGTTCGCGTATTATTTTTCCGACGTGATTCAAATCGAGCGACTTTACGATCAATTCAACGACCATAAGTTAATTCGCGCGATCGCTTCGAGCGCGTCGCATTGAACGATCGCCTTTACTTTAGTTTAGTAATCTTTAGAAAGTGACGAAACTCGACGAGCTCTCGCAGACCGTCCATATAAGTAAAAGATTTAACCGAAAACGTGGGAGCATTCGCGGCGTGACGTAGCCTAGCGGTCACCAGTATAACCTGTTAGCTGGTACGCGGTTTCACCTTCTTCACTTTCAAAAATACCGCGAGTGCGCCAACACGCGTCCGTTCCCAAGTTCTTACCACGACCGGTCAAAATGACAGTGAACAAAAGCGAGACGGCCGTCAAAACCAAAAAGAAACAAAAACAAACCGCCGCGACGTCGTCTACATCGAAAAGTACCACCGCCGCGACGTCGTCCTCATCGAAAAGCACGGCCGTCGCGACGTCTTCGACGTCCAAAAGCACCGCGACGTCTAAAACGGTCGAGAAAAAAACCACCGGCGACGTATCGAAATCCTCGTCCTCGTCGAGTTTACAAATCTCCGACATATCTCACCTGCCGGTGAACACGAAAATCGTCTCGTACAAAGTGACCGAGCCGCTGCCGACGGGGGTGGGCGAGAAAATCACCACGTACGCGGAATCCGGCGCCGTTTCCACCGAATTCAGGCACTTCGTGGTGCAGGATACGGCGACGTCTCAGCATTCGATGCGCATCGAACAGATCAGCTCGAATCTGCACGATTCGGCTTCGAATATATCGCAGATATCCGACTCCACTTACACCGTCACCGAGCCCATGGAGGAGCTCAAGCTGACCTACAACAAAAACGACTCCAATTGGAACGGGAAATTCGTGCAGGAAACGCCGACGAAACACGGGAGGAAAACCGTACACAAAGAATCGTCGAGTAGTTATTCGATGGAAACGAAAAAATCTACAGGTAAAGATAAGATAAGTAAAGAAATGATTCAAGATAGAAGCGACGAAACGTCTCAGAAATCCGGATCTACTTACACGGTAAACGAAGCCAGCGAGGAATTGAAATTGTCGTACAACAAAAACGATTCCGGCTGGAACGGGAAGTTCGTCTACGAATCCCCTACCACATCGAAAACCGAATATTTGGAAAAAGTTTCCGAAAATTTCATCGAAACGGAAAAGTCCAGCGCCGCCTCGAACAGATCCAAAGACTACCAAATCACCAGCGTGAGCGAAACGATCGAGAACATCGTAGGCGGCAAGTCCAGAGGGAAAATCGACAAATCCCGGACCACATCCACGGACTTTTACGGTCACGGCGTCGATTCTAGAGACACCATGGTGAGCAACGTGTACGATTCCAAGGCCGTGCAGAACACGATCGGTTCCAAAGGCACCGTCAAAATGGATCAAAACATCGATAAGACTGACGTTATTTATTCCAACGAACGAACGTACGGAAAAACCGGCTGGAACGGGAAATTCACCTACGAAACGCCGCGAACGTCGACCGAGAAAACGGAGGATTTCCTCGTTAAAGAAAGAGCGGAAAACATCCATCAAAAATTCGACAAAGACTACCAAATCACCACCGCGTCCGAAACGATAGTCGACGTTAAAGACTCGATCAGAAAAGGCGAACATTCCAATGTTAAAAAAGACTCATCCAGAACTGACCAAACTGCCACCACCTCTTACGAAACCTCGTCCAAACAAACTGGACCCGACAAACATTCCATCGTCAAAAAAGACTTATCCAAAACTTATCCAACAAGCGAAACTCTCGTATCGGAAACTCTAGTGGATACTAAAGGCTCAACTTCCAAGAAATCCACACGCACGGAATCCAAAAAAGACGAAACCTTCACCACCACCCAGAAAACTTCTTCCAAACAAACCGCATCCGATAAACAACAAAAACATTCCACCATCAAAAAAGACTCGTCGAAAATTCATCCCACCGCCTCACAAACGCTAGTGGATATTAAAAAAGACTCTTCAACCAAGAAAATAGACAAACGCAAGGATTCATCCACAACGCAACTTCGCCCAACAGACGAAACTTTTATCATTTCCTCGTCTCAAACAGTAGATGTCACAGATAACACACAAATTATCGATGAATCGATAGTCAATCAATCAACCCTAATCGAGCATTACGTGGTCGTCGACGACAAAATCGTTAATGATCGAACTGTAACTGATCGAATTATTAATGATCGAATCGTGCAGTCGGATTTGAGGCCGGTGAGCGAATTTTCCACGACGACCGTCGAAAAATCCGAGGATATTTCGGAGACGAACAAAACGTTTATAATAAACGATACGAATGTGATTACTGATCGTATCATTACCGATAAATACGTAACGGTGCAAAAAGACCAAATTGTCGAACAACTCGTAGATAATAAGGAAATTATCGATATACAAACGTCCACTCGTGAAGGTACTTCTGATATTAGCAAAACGTTCGTAAAGGAGGATATTTACGATATTAAAAATATAGTAAGTATCAGATTTATCTATGATATCTAGTGATTTTCTTATGAATGTTTTTGGTATTATCTGTTTGTTTAATGTAATCTTGTTTGGTTAATATCAACAAAAAGAAATTGATGATATTGCAAGTTTATTCGTATGTACTTACATACATATGTACATACTAGTTTATTATTATTTTGATCATAAATATGTTTGTTAGATAAAAATTGGCACCCAAAATAGTCTTTAGAATCCAATAAATTTTAACAAAATAATCGTGTAAGGAGAAATTCCACTTTTTGGATGTTTTTTATTTTTGTTGATTTTTCTTGTAATTTTAGAAGTTTTTAGAAGTTTCCGTTTTCCATTTTTAGAGCATTTTCACAAAGTGCAATATATTGCAGCAATTTGTAATTCCAACTTTAAATTGCATTGCAGTAAAATACAAATATTCAAATGCAAATTTTACATTGCAACGGTGCAGCAATTTATTGCACCGTGTAAAAACGCTCTATCGCTTTTGTAAAAACTTTAATACAATATTGCATCAATATATTGCACCGTGTGAAAACGCTCTAAGTCTAAGTGATGATTCTATTAAAAAGTACTCGAATAAAGATCATCATTTTTACCCTCGTGCGATCATTTCTATTTTAGTTCAATCTTGAAAATGACAAACAAACGATAAATTCATCGAATTCGATCTTCTGCAATTTTAATAAACACCTAATCCCGACCGCAAAACAAGGTCCCGACCAGGGGCGTAACGCAATCACAATACCCGAATATTTCTGATGAATTTTGAATTTCTATTTCAGGAAGAAGTCGAAAACAAAACGAACATAAAGAAAGTTAAAGACGACAAAGTGATATTCATCGAGAAAATAATCAAAGAAGTGCCGCCGCCGCCGGTCAAGAGACCCATGAAAGAGCAATGCATATGCGAACTGTGCACTTGCGGGTGAGTTGCTAATTTTCAATCGATATTTCCTTCGCTAAAAAAACCGAAACCCGATCAATTTACGGCGAAAATATCCCCAAAATAATTAACAGTTCTGTTGCTAAGCGAAATCGAACGATTAGGTATTAAAAGTGCCACACAATTGTGAATAATTCATGTTCGCTTGGTGCAAATAAAAAAAACAACGAAACTAGAACACATTGCCATTTTCACCGAAACCGAGTAAATTATTTTTTTACCGAGAAATTGTCTCATGATACGCTACAAATTGGCGAAATAAAAAGAACTCTGATGTAATATTTTCGTGTGCTGCGCTCTCTTTAAGTGACCCCTGCTAAATTGGATTAAATTAATAAATAAACTGCTAATAGATATCGCAATTTTGTGTGTACCAATTTCGAGACAGAATATTTATCAAAATTATTATTGTTAATCAGTTGAACAAACTAAATTTATATAAACACCTTATGATTAATTCGTAAAAATAATTTTTTTATAATAAAATAATTTTTTGTTATTATTTTGAATATTTTATGTAGTTTTACTGAGACAAAAACAGCAGGTTTCATTAGTTTTTGTATAGCAATTTTACTGATACATAAGTAACCATAATGAATTATCAGTGCAAAATTTCGATAAAAATTCCAATTTTCATAATAACGTACTTACATAACATTACTATTATTATTATTATTAATGACATAAGGTTATAAATAATTAAATTTACCGCTCTGAGTTCGTTTTGTATTCATAATTTTTCAACTTTTGCGCTCATTTCCGACCGAGTAAACAATGATTTCATGGATAAAAAGACGCGTTTTCTCATCGAAGCATCCGGTCGTCGATTTTACAATGAAAAATAATTTTAACACTCGAATGAATTCGGAATTATAATTATCCCTTCGTGAATTTAGAACAAAATTAATGCGCTTCGGATTTGGGGAATTTTTCAACAACAAAATCGTTAAGGGCGGGTTGTTCTTAAGGGTCATTGGCTAATATTCGACTGGATACCCTAAGAAGGAAACTGGTCGTTTGAGGTCGAAACCCACATAAAAATTGCAAATTTTACTGACTCAGTAATTGACCTAATAATAATAACACCCACTGATTCGCTGCTCATTCAATTTCCACAAAACAAATCCCACGCTCAATCTTCGGTATTGTTTATTTGGGAAATTAACAGAGAGAGTGATTAACGAAAATCGTTTTCCAATAAAAGCGATCGTAAATGAAACTGGAAAAAATGCAACGGTTTCGTTCGAAACGCCTTGTAGAAGATATTTAGCACAGCAACAGCATTAATGAATTTACTGGTTTTTTTTATTGTCGAACTTGGGTATTACGTACAAGTATATTGAGTACGTGTAGGCTTTCTGTCTTGTGTCACTTCTATAAATAGATATATAGAAATATTGAGATTCATGGTCAAGCGAGAATTAAAAAAAAAGAGAATAATTATTTAACGTCTGCTACAGAAATTGTGTATTAGAAATCAATTTATTGATCTCACACTAACAGGTCACAATTAGAGTTGATTAATCAATCGTTGTTTGTGTTTTGGAAAATTTATTTATTCGTGTTAATTACGTAACATAAAAAAAACCGCTTTCTCTTTCGACTACATAATTTTAGCGCTATATAAAACCAAAATTTGGGCTACTAAAGTGCATTAAAAATATTGGTTTTGAATCGCATCGAGGCGAGTAAAGCCGAGGCGAGCCAAGCCGAGCAACGCGCTAAAATTTATTACGAAACGCGTAGGAAAATCCATTTAAACCCTTTTATTTGCGGAGTATCGCATTTCCGATGGGTTTTCAACTAATAATAAAGCCATCGAAACGAAATGGCCCGTTTGTGTACTTACATGTTCTTGACATATTTAAATATGTGCAAATACGGAGGACGAGAGAGATGACTCAACGAGCGCAATTATTCGACGAAAAAAAATAAAATAATCGTGGGTCTAATTCGATCGGTCTCGCATTCATTTGGTAATTAATTCGAGTTCGTTTTAATTATATTCTGTATGTCGAATGGAAGGCTATTGAACGTGCAACGTGCCGAAACAATTTACGTGCTCGGAATACGAAAAAATGCATTGAAATCGAGATGCATGTAAATTTAAATGGTATAGAAGTATGTATACTAAGTTGTGATGGTCTATTTTCGACATTTTTTTAGATTACGAAAAACCGTGCGTTGATAAAACTATTTTAATCTCTACCAATTCAGGATGGGAAGTACCTATGTAAAATAGCGGAAGATGCTAATTAAATTAATAAAATAGGTTACGATATGTTTTTAGGCTAATCAGTTGATTCTGTTGAATTTTAAATTTAAAAATGATGCAATACTTTAAGCGAATAATTCATTAATAACCTTAGCATTTCTAGAATGATATTTTTGAATAAAATTAAAAATAAACCTCGTATGTGTATACAAATGCAATTTTCACAAATTGTTATCCATTTGTTCGAATTTTACGATGCCATTTTCTACAAAATGCTTCATACAAAATACACCCATAAATCAGATAAGGATATATCCTTGAATTCGATTATTTTCGTAACGCTTGCCCGTACATGGCGATTGAAAAAAAAACCAATCGCTAAAAGAACCATCGAATATTTAGACTTACCCTCGTATACACCGCGAATCCAGAAGTAGAGCAGCCATCGATAATTCGGCGTATCGAAAATATCCAGAGAATAGGACCAACCGGTACCTGTAACATAAAGAAATTCAATTAAAGTAAAATCCCCATATTTGTCTTAGATTATTAGGTTTTAGGTTGCTTCCACTGGCAGGACGACCTACAAACGGAGCAATCGATTGCTTTTTCTACGTGCATCACAATCGCCAGAAATTTCATTATCGTAATACGAACGCGATGTGCTCGGTGCCGGTGGTAAAACAATGTTGTTATGGTTAAAAAATGGTACATAAAATTATCTGAAAAATTCGTACAAATTTCCGATCGCCCCTGTACATACAGGGTGGCCCAGAACTCACGCCCTACCGGGAAATGCCTTGTGGAAACGACAATGGAGATGCCAAAACTGCTGTCGAAAACATGAAAAAGTTGTTCCTTTGGTAAATAAAGAGGTTTAAAATTGGGAAAAATCACGTGAATTAGCTGTACACCAATTTGACATCGAAAGATTCTATGTCCTTTTCACTTTCCAGGTTAACAGAAGCTGTCAAAATCAGCTGTGACTACTGATCAAAGATTTGCTTCTAAATCGATCATTTAGGAGCTCCGTCGTGCTGATACCAAACCTACAGAATTTTTTACTGCTTCAAAAGTGGTTCGAATCGAATGATCCATTTTTTGATCAATTTGGAAGCAAATCTTTAATCAATAGTCGCAGCTGATTTTGGCAGCTTTTGTTAACCTTGAAAGTGAAAAGGACATAAAATCTTTCAATAATATCAAATTGGTGTATAGCTATTTCACGTCATTTTCGTGGATTTGAACACCTACTGGGATTGGTCGATTCTAAACCTATTTATTTACCAAAAGAAAAACTTTTTCCTGTTTTCGGCGGCAGTTTTGCCATCTTTATTGTCGATTTCATAAGACCTTTCGCGGCGGGGCGTTAGTTCTGGACCACCCTGTATAATTAATTTACTTCCAGGCGTCACTCATGTCCGCACAATCCGGACAACTACAACGACCACCTGCACCCGGAAGGTCCGTTCTTCGGCAGGCCCAAGGACGAGTACAACGCCGTCCACGGCGACCGCTTCCCGGTGGTCATCCCGCAGGATCACCTCAAACCCGAAGGGAAATTCGAGACGCCCGTGAAGCCGGAATGGCAACCGGCCGAGAGACCTACGCAGAAGAGGCCCCAGGACAATCTGAGGCCCGAGGGAGAGTTCGAGAAGAGGACGCCGGAGAAATGGAGACCTGGTGAACGGCCGGATGTTAAGAGACCCCAGGATAATCTGAGACCCGAAGGCGATTTCGAACGACCAGATAAACCAACCTGGAGTCCCAGTGAAAGACCTACTCCTAAAATACCTTTGGACAACTTGAGACCCGAAGGAGATTTCGAAAAGAGGACACCGGAGAAGTGGAGACCTGGTGATCGGCCGGATGTTAAGAGACCCCAGGATAATCTGAGACCCGAAGGCGATTTCGAACGACCAGATAAACCAACCTGGAGTCCCAGTGAAAGACCTACTCCTAAAATACCTTTGGACAACTTGAGACCCGAAGGAGATTTCGAAAAGAGGACACCGGAGAAGTGGAGACCTGGTGATCGGCCGGATGTTAAGAGACCCCAGGATAATCTGAGACCCGAAGGCGATTTCGAACGACCAGATAAACCAACATGGAGTCCTAGTGAAAGACCTACTCCTAAAATACCTTTGGACAACTTAAAACCTGAAGGAGATTTCGAGAAAAGGACGCCGGAGAAATGGAGACCTGGTGAACGTCCTGACGCCATCAGACCTCAAGATAACCTCAAACCAGAGGGCGACTTCGAAAAAAGAACTCCCGAACATTGGAAACCAGGAGATCGTGCTCCAGTTAAGAGACCTCAGGACAACCTGAGACCCGAAGGCGACTTCGTCGGCACGACGACCATCCACGAAGACTACAAGGTCGTTAGGGGCGAGAAGGTCGAAATAATTCGCCGGGAAGACAACCTCAAAATAGAGGGAGAATTCGCAGGTATCTATCACCATCAAACTTACCACCTTTATTTATCTAATCCACAATTTACTTATTCCAGACACTACCACCAGCAAAACAGACTTCACTGGCGAATTGGTGGAACGACCGAGCCCAGTTCGACGAAACACCTTCACCAAAATCGAAGGGGACTTCACCGAAGACACCACCAGCAGAACGGATTTCAGGGACTTCAGCACGACTATCGAGCGATCCTCCACGACCACTCGCTTGGACAATCTGCGAGTCGAAGGCGACATGACCTTCGACACCTCCACGTCCTTGGAATACACGGAGAAGACGCCCGTCGTTCAGCGACGCAGGCGCACTTGGACCAAGGACGACGTGAGGAAGTTCTATTCGGAGGAGAACGAGGAAATCACCACCACTTCCAGGGAGGTATTCAAGAATTACGATACAACCGATTTCACCAGGACGGTAGTAATTCACCAGGATAACCTCAGAAGTGAAGGCGTGTTCGAGGGCACGCCCAAATCTCGAGAGGATTACGTGCCGAAGCAGGTCGAACGAGCCGTTGTTAAGAAGCCCAAGGACCACTTGAAGCCGGAAGGTGACTTCGAACGGCCCGAGAAGCCTGAGTATCGACCGGCCGAAAGGCCGAAGCCTAAGCGACCCGAGGATAATCTCCGTCCTGAGGGAGAATTCGAAAGACCGACTCCCGTGAAAATGGGACCGACCGAACGCAGAACGCCCATCAAACACGATGATAATTTAAGACCTGAAGGAGAATTCGAACGGCCGGAGAAACCTAAGTACAGACCGGCTGAAAGGCCTGTACAAAAACGCCCTGAAGATAATCTCCATCCTGAAGGTCAATTCGAACGACCCGAGAAACCTGGATACATTCCAGCTGAGAGACCTAAGCAGAAACGACCAGAAGACCATCTTCGTCCAGAAGGAGAATTCGAACGACCGACTCCCACGAAAATAGGTCCAGCGGAACGAAGAACTCCTATTAAACATGATGACAATCTTCGTCCTGAAGGTGATTTTGAGCGACCTGATAAGCCTAAATACAGACCAGGAGAAAGACCAAGTCCTATTCGTCCCGAAGATAATCTTCACCCTGAAGGTAAATTCGAACGTCCTGAAAAGCCCGGGTACATTCCAGCGGAAAGGCCTGTGCAAAAACGTCCCGAAGACAATCTTCATCCAGAAGGCCAGTTTGAACGCCCCGAAAAACCTGGATATATTCCAGCAGAAAGGCCGAAACAGAAGCGTCCGGAAGATCACCTCAGACCAGAAGGGGAATTCGAACGACCTACACCAACGAAAATAGGTCCTGCAGAACGTAGAACTCCTATTAAACACGATGATAATTTACGTCCCGAAGGAGATTTCGAAAGGCCTGATAAGCCTAAGTACAGACCAGGAGAGCGACCAAGTCCCATACGCCACGAGGACAATCTATATCCTGAAGGAGAGTTTCAACGTCCCGAAAAGCCTGGATACATTCCTGCCGAAAGACCTAAACAAAAACGACCGGAGGATCATCTTCGTCCCGAAGGAGAATTCGAAAGGCCTACTCCTACGAAAGTAGGTCCAGCGGAACGACGAACTCCGATTAAACACGACGATAATTTAAGACCGGAGGGAGACTTTGAACGTCCAGAAAAACCTAAATACAGACCAGCTGAAAGACCTGTTCAGAAACGACCGGAAGACCATCTCAGACCTGAAGGAGAATTCGAAAGACCTACTCCTACCAAAGTAGGTCCTGCTGAACGTAGGACACCAATTAAACATGATGACAACTTGCGCCCTGAAGGAGATTTCGAAAGGCCTGATAAGCCTAAATACAGACCAGCAGAAAGACCAAGTCCTATTCGTCCCGAAGATAATCTTCACCCTGAAGGTAAATTCGAACGTCCTGAAAAGCCTGGGTACATTCCAGCGGAGAGGCCTGTGCAAAAACGTCCCGAAGACAATCTTTATCCAGAAGGTCAATTTGAACGTCCTGAGAAACCTGGATATGTTCCAGCAGAAAGACCCAAACAAAAGCGACCAGAAGACCACCTTAGACCCGAAGGTGAATTTGAAAGACCTACTCCTACTAAAGTTGGTCCAGCAGAACGTAGAACGCCTATTAAACATGATGACAATTTACGTCCTGAAGGAGATTTTGAAAGGCCTGACAAGCCTAAATACAGACCAGCAGAAAGACCGAGTCCTATTCGTCCTGAAGATAATTTGCATCCAGAAGGCGAATTCCAACGCCCCGAGAAACCTGGATATGTTCCTGCAGAAAGACCCAAACAAAAACGACCAGAAGACCACCTTAGACCCGAAGGTGAATTTGAAAGACCTACTCCCACTAAAGTTGGTCCAGCAGAACGTAGGACACCAATTAAACATGATGACAACTTACGTCCTGAAGGAGATTTTGAAAGGCCTGATAAACCTAAATACAGACCAGCAGAAAGACCGAGTCCTATTCGCCCTGAAGATAATTTGCATCCAGAAGGCGAATTCCAACGCCCCGAGAAACCTGGATATGTTCCTGCAGAAAGACCCAAACAAAAACGACCAGAAGATCATCTCAGACCTGAAGGAGAATTCGAGAGACCTACTCCTACCAAAGTAGGTCCAGCTGAACGTAGGACACCAATTAAACATGATGACAATTTACGTCCCGAAGGAGATTTCGAACGACCTGATAAACCTAAGTACAGACCAGCGGAGAGACCAAGTCCTATTCGTCCAGAAGATAATCTTCACCCTGAAGGCAAATTCGAACGTCCTGAAAAGCCTGGATATATTCCAGCAGAAATACCTAAACAGAAACGACCTGAAGATCATCTTCGCCCTGAGGGAGAATTCGAAAGACCCACTCCAACTAAAGTTGGTCCAGCTGAGCGAAGGACTCCCATCAAACATGGTGATAATTTAAGACCTGAAGGAGAATTCGAAAGACCCGAAAAACCTAAATATCGTCCTGCCGAGCGGCCAAGTCCCATCCGCCCTGAAGATAATCTACATCCTGAAGGTAAATTCGAACGTCCTGAAAAACCTGGATATATTCCAGCTGAAATCCCCAAGCAAAAGCGTCCGGAAGATCACCTTCGCCCTGAAGGAGAATTCGAAAGACCCACTCACACTAAAGTGGGTCCAGCTGAGCGAAGAACTCCCATCAAACATGGCGATAACTTGAGACCTGAAGGAGAATTCGAACGTCCTGACAAGCCCAAATACAGACCAGCCGAAAGACCTAGTCCCATTCGTCCGGAAGATAATCTACATCCTGAAGGTCAGTTTGAACGTCCAGAAAGACCTGGATATATTCCAGCTGAAAGACCCAAACAAAAACGACCAGAAGACCACCTTAGACCCGAAGGTGAGTTTGAGAGACCTACTCCTACTAAAGTTGGTCCAGCAGAACGTAGAACGCCTATTAAACATGATGACAATTTACGTCCTGAAGGAGATTTCGAAAGGCCTGACAAGCCTAAATACAGACCAGCAGAAAGACCGAGTCCTATTCGTCCTGAAGATAATTTGCATCCAGAAGGCGAATTCCAACGCCCCGAAAAAACTGGATATATTCCAGCAGAAAGACCCAAGCAAAAACGACCAGAGGACCACCTTAGACCTGAAGGAGACTTCGAAAGACCTACTCCTACCAAAGTAGGCCCTGCTGAACGTAGGACACCAATTAAACATGATGACAACCTACGTCCTGAAGGAGACTTTGAAAGACCCGACAAACCCAAATACAAACCAGCGGAAAGGCCGAAGCAAACACGCCCCGAAGACAACCTGAAGCCCGAAGGTGAGTTCGAGAGACCCGAAATCATCGAAGTAGGACCCGCCGAAATACGGAAACCCATCAGACACCAGGACAATTTGAAGCTGGAAGGCACCATGGTGGTCACCAAGAAGCAGGACTACGACGTGGTCAAAGGAGAACGAGCCAGCGTCGTTAAGCACGAGGACAATTTGAAAATGGAGGGCGAATGGAACATGAGGCGTCGCGACGATTATTCAACCCTAACCGTCGTAGAAAGGAACGAAATCAAGAAGCACGAAGACAATTTGAAAATGGAAGGAGAATGGGACATACGCAGAAGGGACGATTACAGTCGAACTGATAGAATCGAGAAAGTCCAAGTGATCAAACACGAGGATAATTTGAAGATAGAAGGACACTTCACCGATATTCGCACCAGAGACGATTACCAATCAGTGATCGGTGAGCGAAGAGAAATCGTCAAACACACTGATAATTTAAAAATGACCGGAGAATTCGAACGGCCGGAAAAGCCTGGATACGTCCCAGCCGAAAGGCCTAAGCAAAAGCGACCGGAGGATAATCTAAGACCCGAAGGCGATTTCGAAAGACCTACACCTAGCAAAGTTGGTCCTGCAGAACGACGAACTCCCATTAAACACGGCGATAATCTTCGTCCTGAAGGGGAATTCGAGCGTCCCGACAAACCTAAGTACAGACCGGGAGAAAGGCCGAGTCCTATTCGTCCTGAAGATAATCTACACCCTGAGGGTAAATTCGAACGACCCGAGAAACCGGGCTACATACCAGCTGAAATCCCCAAGCAGAAGCGTCCAGAAGATCACCTTCGTCCCGAAGGAGAATTCGAAAGACCCACTCCAACTAAAGTGGGTCCAGGTGAGCGAAGGACTCCCATTAGGCATGGAGATAATTTGAGACCTGAAGGGGAATTCGAACGTCCTGACAAACCTAAGTATAGACCGGGAGAAAGACCGAGTCCTATTCGTCCTGAGGATAATCTCCACCCCGAGGGTAAATTCGAACGTCCTGAAAAACCAGGCTACATTCCAGCTGAAATCCCTAAGCAAAAGCGTCCCGAAGACCACCTTCGTCCCGAAGGAACCTTCGAAAGACCATCGCCTACTAAGGTCGGACCAGGTGAACGCAGAACACCCATCAAACACGGTGATAATCTAAGACCAGAAGGAGAATTCGAACGACCAGATAAACCCACGTACCGACCAGGAGAAAGACCCAGTCCTATTCGTCCTGAAGACAACCTTCACCCTGAAGGTAAATTCGAACGTCCCGAAAAACCTGGATACATTCCAGCCGAAATCCCCAAGCAGAAGCGCCCTGAAGATCATCTCAGACCTGAAGGAGATTTCGAAAGACCGTCTCCTACCAAAGTAGGTCCTGCCGAGCGCAGAACTCCCATTAAACACGGCGATAATCTCAGACCAGAAGGAGAGTTCGACCGTCCGCAAAAGCCAGGGTACACACCAGCCGAAAGGCCAACGCCAAAGCGCCCGGAAGACCATTTGAGGCCAGAAGGAGACTTCCAGAGACCTTCTCAAACGAAAGTCCTTCCAGCCGAAAGAAGAACGCCCATCAGGCACTCGGACAACCTTCGGCTCGAAGGCGAATTCCAAGCCACCACAGAATCCCAGTCCACCACTATTGTGAGAGGAGAACGAGCGGAGATCAAGAGAAGAAAAGACAATCTCTCGATTGGTACGGGTAAAATCGAAACCGTCACCACCAGCAACGGCGCCTACAACAAATCCACCGTCGTGACTCCTTCAAGACAATCCATTAACAAATCCAGGCATATGGAATCTCATATAGTACTAGGAAGTGATACCAGTAACATGCAAACAACCAATCAATCTAATTACAAAACATACACCAGATCCGTCGAGAGGAAAGTAATCGACAGTAAAGTAAATGGACAATCGACGAACGAACTGAATAAAACGATCGTAGATAGAAAAGTGAAAATAGATGATTCTACTGCAGTACAGAACGTGTCCAAGCAAGTTAAAATAGATGATTCTACTGTAGTGCAGAAGACGTCCAAGCAAGTAAAAATAGATGATTCTACTGTAGTACAGAAGGCGTCCAAACAAGTAAAAATGGAAGATTCCAATGCACTGCAAAGCTCGACGCACGTGTCCAAACAAATAACCACCGGCAGCGAAATCAAAAAATCGTCCTCCTACACCCAAGTGCACCGGGAACTCCACAAGAGCGAGCAAAGCACCCACCACAAGAAGAGCACGCTCACCTCCGAAGAGGACATCAGCAACCAGATCCTGCACAGGAAGGGCGTGCACACCTCCAGCGAGGCCTTGCACGCCACCAGCTCATCGGCGCTGGACATGCGCAAGTCCGTTTGCAACATCCACGACCAGGGCCGGTCGCACGTCAACGTCAACTCGGAGCGGCACAGCCTGAGCTCGATGCACCGCTCCAACGTGGAGAGCAGCGCCTCGGCCAAGCGCGCCCACCACCAGCACCAGCACCAGGTGCAGGTTATCGAGAGGCCGCAGAAGATCGTCCGAAGGGACAATCTGACGGTGGGCGGGCACTTCTACGGGCAGTCCGAGTCGAAATCCTACGGGGAATTCACCAAGCAGGAGAACGTGCACAGGATCGAGAAGGTCACCAGGAGGTCCAACGTGTCGAATATAACTTTGGGGGAGAGCAATTTGCACATTGTCACATCGTATAAGAAGGAGTTTGCGCCGAGGAACGTGGGGCCTTGTCCGGCGGTGTTGGTGGACGTGCCCAAAGGGCCTTTCAAGCACACCAGGGACACCAAGTCCCACAAGTTCTACCTGCCCGTTTCCACCAAATAAACTCCGGCATTTACGCTTATTCGCAACGGTTTTTAATCGGATTTCGTACGAGCGGCGCTCGGTAATTAATCGAGGTTAATTATTGGGCGATCCTTGTAGTAACGTAAAAAGCTTTAGGTGCGCGGGACATTAACAAAACATATATATCGCATTTATTTTTTTTATTTAATACAAATTATGTATCTCTACTATATATTTTTTTTGTTCAATTTATTAATTGTATTTATTGTGACGTTCGTTGAATTTACAAAATAAATTTGCAATTATTTTTATAGTTTTGTTTTTGTTTGATTTATGATTAAATAAGAAAGTTTGAATTGGAAATGGGCAATTCCAACAATAGTTTTAAAGTTCTACAGTACGAAAAAACAGAAAGAATAACATCAGAATACCAATTAAATATTCTCTTCACAAATATTCGATGGGCTGTTATAAAACACCTACGTAACACTTGTGATGTCGGTACTTTCACTTTTTACTGCTTAAACACAGATCTTGCGTTTAGTTCGAGAGCTGCTTTACAAAATCAAGAATGATTAAAAAAGTAAGTACACAAAAGTTATTTTTATCTTCCTAATCCTATATAACTTAGTGGATGCTAAATAACTGTAAATGGGGGCTCGAAATTGGTTAGGAATCTTTGTGGAACGATCCAAAAATTAGTAAAAGATATGTAAAAATAAATAAGAAGTAGAACAAATATTAGTAATTGTTACTATTTTAAGCAGTTCTTCAATGTTTCACAAAGTTCTTCTTCTTCATTAGCTTAAGTTGATGATTTCCAAAAAAATAACCTTTCTGCTTCTTTACTTCAGTTGCTAATTCCCATCAAATTTAACCTTCTTCTTGTTTAACTCCAGTTGCTATTTCCCATCAAATTTAACCTTCTTATTTAACTCCAGTTGCAAATTCCCATCAAATTTAACATACTTCCTCTATTACTTCAGTTGATGATTTCCATAAAATTAACCTTTCTGCTTCTTTACTTCAGTTGCTAATTCCCATCAAATTCAACCTTCTTATTTAACTCCAGTTACTAAATCCCATAAAATTTAACCTTCTTCTTCTTTAACTCCAGTTGCAAATTCCCATCAAATTTAACATACTTCCTCTATTACTTCAGTTGATGATTTCCATAAAATTTACCCAACTTTTTCTTTAACTCCAATTGCTAATTCCCTTCAAATTTAACCTTCTTCTTCTTTTACTTCAGTTGGTGATTTCCATAAAATTTAACCTCTTTCTTCTTTAACTCTAGTTGATAAATCCTATCAAATTGAACCTTCTTCTTATTTAACTCCAGATGTTAATTCGCATTAAACTTATCCATCTTCTTTTAACTCTAGTTGTTAATTCTCATCAAATTTAACCTTCTTCTTAATCCCAGTTGCTAATTTCCATCAAATTTAACCTTCTTCATATTTTACTTCAATTGATTATTTCCATAAAATATACCCTTCTCCTTCTTTAACTCCAGTTGCTAATTCCTATCAAATTTAACCTTCTTTTTACTTAACACTAGTTGCTAATTACCATAAAATGTATCCTTCTCCTTCTTTAACTCCAGTTGCTAACTCCTATTCGAATTAACCTATACTTTTCCTTTAACTCCATTTGATAATTCCCATCAAATTTAACGTTATACATATATTACTCACCAACCAATCTTCCTAACATTTTTCTTCTTCATTAACTTCGTCTGATAATTTTCATCAAATTTTTCCTTCTTCTTATTTAACTCCAATAGCTAATTCCCATCAAACTTAACATTCTTTTTCTTTAGGTTAAGTTGATAATTCCCATAAAATTTAACCTCCTTTTTCTCTAACTCCAGTTGATGAGTCCCATTAAATTTAACGTTCTATACGCTTACCAACCAATCTTCCTCACCTGCTTCTCCATTATTACCTCCGTCTGATAATTCCTATCCAATTTAACCATGTTCTGCATCCTCTTTACAACACCTCAAGGAACTTGACCATCTTCTTGTCTTCCAGCTGATAATCTTAGCAGCGCTGTTGGAAGGCTGCTTCTCGTCCTTAGGCTTCGTACGCGACCTGGTCGAGTTCAACGTCGCCGGGCATCCGGTTTTGCACAAAGACCAAAATTGGCCGTTCGACCCCGACGTGGGCAAGCGCCGCTCCAGGCAGTACCAGGAACTAAACGGCCGCTTCGGCGAAAAGGCCATAGAACGATTAGGTCTAGGCTTGGACGGGTACGACAGAGAGAGGCTGCAAGAGCAACGCCTGAGAGACGCCGGGCATTTGGGCGGCGTGGATTATTTGACGCCCTGAATAAATTGTACACAAGAATTATTCCACGTTATTAACATCCTTATTAATCCTTTGGTAGTGTTCTTCTTTGATCGATCCCACAATAATTCGTTAAGTTAGGGCCAACTGGCGATGGAATTAGCGATTAACTTCGACGCCGCTTGACCTCCGTGCAAAAAGAAGCAGAAGAATCGAAGAGAAAACGGAAGGCGCGGAGAGGCATCGGTGCGGCAAAGTAAATTTAGAGTAAAGGCATTTTATTTGATTCTAGCGAGCGTTCGGACGGGCACGATGCGCGATATTCGGCATTATAAACCGTTAAATGAGTTACATCCTGTTGTCGGGAGTTTCTGCCTTTCTCGCTTCGAATGCGCTTCTTCCACTCAGTCGATTCGACACGAAAACGTCGCGATAATGGCGAATTTCCAGCGCGTTGTTACCAAGAGGTTTCCTTCGATCGCATTCGTCTAGGGATTCGAAAGAAAGGGCGAACGCCGGGAACGATGTAATGTGACTGTATGACAATTCGGCGGCTGTTACAGTGATTGTGAACGAAAATTACTAAGCAATGTATGTTACTTAAATGGCGATGAATGCGCTATAGACGAGTTTTGGTAAGTATATTACTGTTAGAATCGAATCGAATTCAATTTGTACTTTATAGATTCTATTAGGTTAACTACGAGGCGAGGCGAGCCGAATATTCGTTTAATTGCGAGTAAAATAGGTCACGTGAACTGTGAATATGTCATATGAATTAATAGTAAAACTCGAGGCGAGCCAAGTCGAGCCGAGCCGAGTCGAACAATTGGTTAAGTACAAATGATGAAAATCCATAAATTAGCGCAATTGTACGCTCATTTTCATTCATCTACTATCTAGATTAAATCGTTTGGTTATTTCCATTTAAAGGCTCGTTTTAATTAGAAAAAATAATCTTTAATTTCGTTACAATTACAGTCGAACGCTATAATTAAAAGGAATTGCACAACGTGATGCAAGAAAACAGGTGTACGCGCTCTATAATTGTGAGAGCTGTAATTATGAAATGAAATGGAATACAAAAAGGAATCAAAATCAACGCTGTATCGTAGATAAAAATGACCTTCGCGAGTTGGAAAATTAAAGCTAACCGGGTTTTTTCCCAATTAATTAAATCGCGAAAATTAGCAAAGCAAATCCGGAAAACTGAATAGATTTTTCACGGTTCGAAGCCCGCCTTCGGCAAAAAACGATTTTTATCGAATTTTCCGGAAATCCTCGACTGATCAATGCGGAATTTTTTGCTGATGATAATGATTGATGACAAAAAAATGTAAGAATGAGTGTGTAATGAATCCGTTATGACGTCGTTGGATTAAAGGAAATTTCCTGTGGATTTTTAGGTACCCAACTTTGATGAATTTAGGTGTTTATTTTTTTTAAATATTAGTGGCATATGTTTCTTAAATTTTTAATGATTTCCTGGAACGTTTTATAAGGAATAAACATAAGAGATTTAGTAATATTGGTTTTTCTAATCTTTAAATGAACGCAACACACTGTATACAGGATGTCCCGAAATTCACACTTCAAAATCCGGTCGCCTTAAGTATACAGTTGGTGCAAAACAAATATCAATGCACGTCAGAAATGATTTACTACGTCACAATTAGGCAGTGTTGCCGAACTATTATAGAGTTTATAATTTTCTAAAATTGTCAAATGGCAAAATGGCAAAAACAAATTTAATGACAAAATTAGGGGTACCTGTTTCACAAACGGCCTTTATTATCATTGAAATATATTTAACATCAGTGCGATAGTAAAAAATTTAGTGTACAATTGACCCTTAAATGAGTACATAGTGAAACTACTGAGAAACCTTCTGAATTTGAATTATTTAGAGCTCAAATTGTGTCATTTCTAATATGTGGAAAAGATAACTAAGCAAAAAATTCTTGTCTTGATTATTCGGCTGAATAGCCTTTCTAATAGCCTAACTTGACTGTCAGTACCTACCAACCTACTACAAGAAAATAATATTAATTTTATATACAAACGTTGAAATTTGACAATATACCTATATTTTTTTGGTTGATTTAATTCTGCTTTTTAACATTTTCTATCATCCCTTGTTAATATTAAATTAAATTCTGCAGGTATAAAGCTTAATCTATTTGGTGTATTTATTTTTATAAGTTGGGCACAATGTTTGGCAAATATGACGACAGTTGTGACGTGCATTCATATTTGTATTGCACCCACTGTATATGCCAATAATTCGTGGTTGTTCAGCTGAAACAACGAATTCGTAATTGCTTTGTAAACAGAAATTACATAGTAAATCAACATCCAGTTTTCGGGTGTGACGATCACACAATTTCGCTTTTGCGATAACACCAAAAAAAATAGGCGTTTATTGGTGTTCCGGTCAAGCAATCTTTCTCGGAAGTCGTTTCCGTATAATTTTACTATACCCTAATGCCGTAGAGTAATAATCAATTCTAATCAACCCAAAGCATATACAGAGAGAGCCAAATAAATAATTTTCTAGTATCTTGAGCTTATACACATCATCTCGCACGCCCTGTAATCGACAAGTGTTGGAACGTCATATCGTTACGCAGAAAATCGCCCGGAAAAAAAAGCCGTGCGATCGTACGAAAATAATCAAATGATCGATCAATCGGACCGGAAAAAAAGTGGAGGGGACCGGGATCGGAAGTACGAATAAAAGTGCGAGAGAGATGCGTTCCGTTCCCAAAGCGGTTGTTACGTTTAAAAACGCCGCATCTGCACCAGACTCGAGAGAGACGCAAGAAAGAACCACTCGAGAGAGCGGTGCCATTCGCGACTTAGAATTTTCCTTCGGTTTCGCCAATTCGCTTTATTTATTTAATTTATTTATTTATTCCGTGCGATTCTGTCCGGCTCCGATCGGACCGCGAGTTTCCGGCTGCTGGTGGTTTCTTCCGGGTTTAGCTTTTATTTTGCTCGAATTTCGTGGTGCACCTCCCGGGTTCCTCGACGTTTCCTGGCCGAAGGAGGAGAGATAATTACTCATTTCGTAAGGTTGTTACAAGTAAGTTACGAATGCGAATTCCCTATTATTTTTTTTGATATTCCCCCTGAAATATTATATAATCATTACTCTTAATTAGTATCTAATTAAAGCGGTTTGTGTACGTAATAACCGAAGCAAGAATATAACATAGCGAAAGAAATCATATACGTATAACCTTGTTCTTAATTTTTTTATATTAATAAAAATAACTTTAAACTTGTAGGTTATTAAAACAATCAAATTCTTTGGGAAATTGATTGGATTTGAAACGGAGTAAGCGGGAAAAAAATGGCATAACCGAGGTGAAATTCAACTATAAGTACGATAAGTTATTAAAAGTAGGTAGTATTGGTGACCCAGTGACCATGATATTACAATTTTAGCTAAATTCGAAACGCAATTTTCGAAAAATTGACTCCATGACGCAATTTTAGCGAATGTGAAGTAGCCGCGATTTTTCGCCATTTTCCCGTTCATTGCGAAATATTCTTCCTCTTCAACACCTTCTTTCTTTTTACTTTTATCGACTTTCTCGCTTGGTCCCGATAGCGCTCTTCCTTTCTCTCTTTTACGGGTATTCTCCCAGCCATTGGTGACTTTCTCCCGAGTCTTAATCCAAAATACACCCACCCTGTAGCGTTCGGTCTAATAAATTTCTATTGATGTGGAAAGTGCGCTACCGAAAAAAATGGCGAGTGCAAATTTATACACACGAAGCTGTAGTAGAGCATCAGTTCAATTTACGACACATTCATATGATCAAGGAGGCACCGCAAATTACCGAGTGCTTGATATCTATGATTTAATAAATGAACTCGTTAAGAGGATATAAAAAACTGCTCCATTTTGCAAATTTGAGTTAGCGCTAACGATGAAATAAGACTTATAATTGTTCCAATGAAGGCGAGTAGGAATTATTCCGATGCAGATTTCGCACTATGTTGCGATAATTCTTCGTTTTTTCGTAAAGCAGTCCGATAAATCTGTTGAAAAAGGCCGAACATTCGGCATTTACATACGGTAGAGGTCGATTAGTAAGGTTCGACTGTCTACGCCTTCTCAGAGACGGGTTTTTTTTTATTTCATCCACATCCATACGCGGTCCGGTTTCACTCGAAAAGGAAGGAAAACGTTTTTATTTATAAATAAACCTTTTTTTTATTTTAATTGCCTCGCGACTACGAACACGAAAATCGAATATCGCGCTTACTTTGGCGAGTTTTTTTTTTAATCGAGCCGATAGGAAAATTGTACGTTGTATAAGCGAATTAATTTTTAAATTGCACTACGCGATTGTTGAAATTACAATGACGCAAAACCAGCCTATACTTATTGCTCAGAAAATTACGTATTACCCGTTACTTCCACCTCTAATACCTGTTAATAACTCGTGTTAGATAGGGAGAATTGCATTGGAATAGAGGTGGGAATTTACAAAAATAACGCAACTGTTACTTTAAAAACTGGGTTGTTTTTGGTGCGATTTCAGCTATTCTTGTCGGTCTGTAAATGCTTGGAAAGGAACCATTCAAATTGAGAAATAAATTTGTTATTGGTCGAAAAAATATATTTTTTTCTTCGATATTAGGCACTGCAAAATTTGCGATTTCGAAAAATAATGGTCACGCTTGGTAGATGACCGTTTAAAATTATTTCAAATGGCAGAAATATAATTGTTCGCTTACCTATACCGTGTCTAAAATATGGTATATTCTTCGAATTCTACTTTGTTATTCGTTTCTCATCCGGTACTCGATGTCCTAATGGAAATTTCGACAGATAATCACAGGTAGAAAACACTATTCCATTATCGAACTCATTTCTTGTGAAGAAAGTAAATTATTTCGTTTATCTCTCACTTACACCGAGTGGATGAGTTTTTATCGTTTTTAAAGTTTATTAGCTCCTGGGATTTTTTAATAATACAGTTTCCATGAAACCACCGAATCTGTCAAAGTCAATCGACATCACAAGTGCACAGAAAATAATTACAGTATTTAAAAATTATCTGTTTACACGAAATTGCCGTAATGAAACAAAAAATTACGAAAGCGACCTTGAAGCGACATTTTCGTTTATATTAGTATTGTTCTTTCGAATTAGATTGTCGTCACAAATGGGATTCGCTAATAAAAAAGAAATAATCCCGATACGAAGCGAACGCGCAATTACACATAAAAGCCGTCTTCTAATTTTCAACGGAACATATCTTTCGTCGATTGTAGAAACAATACCAATAATATCTGATGCGATAAAATTTTTCTCCCGCGGAGAGCCCGACCGATTTATTTCCACATAATAAAAACTGGGAGTTTTTTTCCAACTAGCAAACAAAAACCAATACCAATTCGAGCAGTATGAGCACTGAGTCATTATTATTATATCTTTATCAAAAAAAAATATTGATGTTGGTGAAAATTGGATTGAGTTGTCTCTCGGTTTATTGTAAAGGACCTTTTCCTGGATGACTCGGAAGACTAGTAAAGTTTTGATGCCATAATTAACAAAAAAATTTTAAAGCATTAAATAAATAGTAAGAAGAAATGCAATGATAAATTAGGTCCTGCAAATGGATGCATATCGGCCATTTTTAACTCTTGTTATATCGCTATTTTATGAATGTAAACCAAACAGCTATCTTGTCTCTTCTCATTAAACAAAATAAATATTTAAAAAATAGTGCAGTATTTTTTTATAATTAATAGGAATATAAAATAAGTAAATTATTCATTTTAATATTAATCAACTTAATTGTATTTTATAAAGTTATGTATTAGGAATATTAACAAGTAGGTTATTAATATTAATTAATTAACTGATTGTATTTTATTAAATGTGCATTGACGAGCTGTTATTACGTAAGTTCATTTAACGTCAATTTTGTGTTTCAAGGAGAGTGACATTGACAAATAAATGACAGATTCCTGATATTCTTAATCCACAAAAGCTCCACAAAAGTTAAGGAAGTTCACAAATATTGAGATTAATTTAAAAGTTGCAGGTTTTTTGATCGCCAAATTTAGCATGAATTGTAGAGGTAGGGGCAAAAAATCTACTCAGATATGAAAGAAAACATTTAATTTCGCATATTTGAAAATTTGGTGATCAAAAAGATTGTAACTTTTAAAATAATCGAAAAATTTGCGAACTTCCCTAACTTTTGTGGAGCAATTTATTTAGATTTAGCATAATATAACGACCATATTCACCGATTTCGGCTTATCAACCTGATAATGATAATTGTCAGTCTGATAAATTTAACAGTCAGTTAACAATATTTGATACTGATGATACTATAACTGATGCCTACTAAACAGACAGTTTTCTTAAAAATAACCAATATCACGTTGGAATGTGTACTTGTAACCACATATTACTAAATTAGTATACTATAATAAATATCAAATTTGTTCATTTGAAGAAGTAAATTACTGTAATAACCATATTCCAACGGTTATTCCATCTATATGACCGAATCTTTCTTCAACCTAAACCTATTTTTAAATTCTATTTCGGAATATTTCTATCTATTTAATATCTAATTCAATCACTATCTTCGAAAGATGAATTAAACAATTCGTGAAACTCTATTTTCTTTAACTCTTTCATTAGTCCATATTTATAAAAATAAAGCATTTAAAGCTAAAGGTAGAAGCAAAAGATAAGAGAAAAAGGCTTTAAACCCCATAACAGAGGTATTAAAACCATAAAACCTTTTGCTTTAAAGCCACAGCAGGGTCCTCGAAGCAAAACCTCTCTTCCTTCACTGCTTTTTAAGCATATACCTTGAAACAATTCCTTCATTTTTTGAAAGCAAAGGTTATGCTTCTTTTATAAATACAGTCTATTATATTAGGTATAAAATTAAAATGTTATATGTCATTGTTAAATAGTCGTAAAAACATTGAAAATATCGACATTTTGATTGAAGTTATCAATGTTATGAAGTCTGTTACTTCTTTTATCTGACTGTTAAGTATTAACTGACATTGGTGAATGCCAAAATATGACGTTAACAGATTGATAACAACTTATCTCTCTGGTAGCGATTAAACAGACATTGGTGAATATGGCCGTATAAGCTTGTTCTTTGTTCTTACTATTTATTCAATAAATAATGCCCAGATTATGGAAAAGAAACTGGTCAAAGAATTAAAAAAATGTTACTTAAAACGAAAATAAAATAGAAAGCGAAACTGTATACACCATTTACACGGTCGCCGGTTATTCCGTTTGTTATCACCGGCTAATGAAAGAAAAAAAAAACCATCAACTTATTGTTCCGTTTTTCCCGCATTTAATTTATACAGAAAGTATCGTAACCCATGCAGCAATGATCCTATCTCGCGTAATGTAATGGTGTAACGACCGTTTCATCAAGCTATTTATAGATATCAACTAATTTTGAAACAAAAAGCGTTCGCCATTGTTCTCCGCTCCACAATACGTATATGCAGAATAAAATCCACCTTAAAACGCCATCCGACGTCATTTGTATGCGAAGCCAGTTTCACGAATGCGCCAGGTCAAAGTTTCGCTAAATGAATCGAATTCTCTCGATCGGATGTAACCGTTTCAATTTTCAAACGGGGGCCCTTCTTTTCCAGATGAATCACAGATCGTCGCAGAGTGTAAGATACACTCGAGTCGGCTGGGTGTGCGTGGCCTTCGGATTTTGGCTGCAACTGATCTCCGGCAATTTGATCGACAAATCGTCGAGCCTGCTCAACAGGCACAGCGTCACCAAACGGTCCTTCTACGATTTGCAGTGCAAGGGCGTCTACGATAAGAGCATCTTCGCCAGATTGGACCAGATCTGCGAGGATTGCTACAATTTGTTCCGCGAACCGTCGATCTATTCCCTCTGCAGGTCAGTAATAATCACCAACATCACCAATACCCCGAGAAATTCTACATTTTACAGTTGATCGGTTCAACTGGACGATTCGTTCAGCTTCGTTTAGTTCTTGCACCAAAGCCTCCTCGATGGGTCGCATTGCAAGGACTCGGGACGAAGTATCTTATAAGTAGGAATTATTTAATTTGCAGGGACGACTGTTTTTCCACGAAATACTTTGGCGGTTGTTGCGAAACGCTCCTTTGCGAGGACGTTGCCGAAATTCAGGATATGATAAAACAATTGAACGGGGGAAGGCTCGTTTAGGTACAGAATCGTAATAGAAACCTACATAAGAGAATATCTAACATTGTACATATGGAATCTACTTACTGTCATCTCGAATGTCGAACCTTTAATCTTACTAATTCTACTGAATGTCATGTATGATGGTCGGCGGATCTATCGCTCAACTTGTATTCTCGCTCATTTTCTAATACACCGCTCCACTCGTATAGATAGTAAAGGAGCGAGAGTTCGGTGTGAGCGATAGGTCCCGTGGACTATGGTACGTACGGAAGATGGTAATTCATACAGGGTGTCTCTGAAAGGTTGGGATATGGCTTAACTACAGACTTCTGAGGCGAAAATAAGATGATTTAACCTAACACACATATATCCAAAAGTGCATAGCAAAGAAGTTATAGGATGTTAAAGTTGAAAATAAGAAGTTTTTTTGATATTGGGCCAGAATGGCTGAAGGCCTTTTCATGAAAATTTGTATAGAATATCTTTGTTTAATGACCTATTATTGTGTGAAAAATTTTTAAACTTTAACACACTATAACTTCTTTACTACGCACTTTTGGATATAGGTTAAATCATATTATTTTTGCTTCAGGAGTATGCTTTTAAGCCATGTCCCAACTTTTCTAAGTATAGACCCTGTATAATAATTACCCGCTTTCATACCTACGTGATATTTGGGAATACCCTGTACATTTCTGAAGCATTTTGCATGGTTTCTCTCCTTCATCGGTCGATTATCCAAATATGCGACTAATATCGACGACTAACAAATTTTTTAAACTAAAATGCATGACGATGGTGATGATAATACTCACTTTATTTTATCTGTTCATTACCTTATTAATCAATGGACGATTCTAACAGAAGGGAAGTCACGGAAACGTAGATAGCATGACTAAAAAAATTGATCAACAATTCCTCATTTATCCGAAAGTTTTAAATATTTCGGAGTTTGTTCGGGGCTTCAGTGAAAATTGTTGAAAACTACCAGTTTTTTCCGGTATAATACATTCATAACTTACCTTATATTGAAATTTTCGGTATTTTCAAGGCTTTTTTCGTTTCTTTCGACGTTATTTTAACATTTTCGATAGTTTCCACTGAAGTAATTAATGCGTTGCATTGTCAATTTGCGTAATAAGCAGTAACAATTACTTGTAAATACTGTAGTACAAACGTTTAACGGCCATATTTACCAATGTGAAATTAAATCGCTAACAGAGAGTTAAGTTCTTATCAATCTGTAAGGTCATATTTTGGCATTCACCAATGTTACTTGTCAGTTAATATACTTAACAGTCACATAAAATTAACAAAACTGATAAAAGAAGTAATGACAGACTGATAATTTCAATCCAAATGTCCTATTTGAAATTTGACAGTGACATAATATAACACTTTAAACAGTTTAAATAAATATTTAAAAATAGGTTCAGATTGAAGAAAGATTTGGTTAGATGGAATAACCGCTGGAATATGGTTATTACAGTTATTTACTTCTTCAAACATTCAAATATGACATTTATACTAATTTGTGGTTATGAGTTCCGGATGAAGTTAGGAACTATATCATAATACCAACTTAATCTTGGTTATTTTTAAGAAAACTGTCTGTTTACTATCAATTACTTCAAATATATCGTGGTGAATAGCTGTTAACCGACTGTTAAATTTTATCAGACTGACAATTATCAGGTTGATAAGCCGAAATTGATGAATATGGTCGTAATGCGTTTGGTAAAAACATTTTTACCGTGGAATTAATCGGTGTTTTTTTCTCTGTTTGTTTAGGGTAAATTGTTTCTCGGAACAATACTTTAAGGGTTGCGTCGAGAGTTTGCTAATGGAGGAAGAGTGGCAAAAATTGGAAAAAATGATCGAATTTGTCGGAAAGTGAGCCCGCCGTTCTCAGCGTCCTATCAGTCTAGTCGATGAAAATAGGAAATTAATATATATATTTTTTTACAGAATTTGTGAATTTGTGTCTCCGATTTGCCGGTTTCATTGTTATTTATTTATGTTTATTTAAAATATATTGTTATTGTATGCTAATACTTAGTAACTAATAAATGTTTCTATTTGAATTTCAGCATTTTAATGCCCCGACGCTTTCCAGGGTTCGTTTGGATTCGTCGAAAATGTCGTGTAGATTTTCGAAAAACTCCAAATCCCTGGAAAAGCGGAAAATTCAATTTTAATTATTTTGAGCTAGAAACAGCAGTATTTTGCGGATGGCTTTTTCATATACAATAACAATACTTTACACACGAAATCCGCAAGAATGTAAGCGGTCGTATTACAAAAAAAATTAGTTAGCGTATACAATTGTTGTTTATTCCCGTTCACAGTATTATATCGTATCTAACATTAGTGTCCAATTTATTTGAAAAATTCGTTTGGTTTTTGTAATTTATTTGTATATATACATATTTGTTTCCGAGAGTGTATGACAGCTTGATACAAATGAACGACTAGTCATTTTATTAAAATATTTTTAAACCTATAATTTGACGTTTTAATATTAAATAACCCTTCTCGTAATATCTGCGAGTTTATTATTGCTTTAAATTGTATACCTAACACAATACTATATAAAAATACAATTTAGAAAAAAAAATAATATAAATAAATTCATTTGATTATACAGGGTGTTCGTAAAATAGTTGGCTATATTTTAGAGGGTTAAAAAATATAAAAATAAAGTTTCTATAAACATGTTAAAGGATGTTAAATTAAAAAAAAATGATTAACTTCTTAAAAAATATTTACTAGATTCTGTCGAAATTTTGCAATAGTATTTTGTTGTATTAACGGCCATAATCACCAATGTTAGTTAATAATTAACAGTAAGATAAAAGTAACAAAGCAAAATCGAACTGATAAAAGAGGTAACAGACTGATAACCTCAATAAAAAGGTTTCAAAATTTTATTTATACCTAATAAATTTATACCTAATATAATGGACCAGTTAAATATAATAGAGTTTCACGAATTGTTCCATTCATCTTCCGAAGATAGTGATAGAAATAGATGTTAAACAGATAGAAATATTTCGAAATAGAATTTAAAAATAGGTTCGGATCGAAGAGAAAGATTCGGTTAGATGGTATAACCGCTGCAATATGATTATAACGGTTATTTCTATTACTTCTTCAAATTCTTCAAAGATTGCTTCAATTCAAACCGCAACATGGTCGTTTCTATGAGTTGAACAAAGAAATATTGATAAAATAACAGTTGTCAGAATGAAAAGTTGCAATGACACAAATGTCAATCTTTCTTTTCCTTTTATAAGTGTCTAATGGAAGTTGTCTTTATCGCACCTGTAGCCTATATAACCTATGTTGCCATCTTGAATGAAGCACAGTGTATACAATTGAACATTGAAATTTATCATTTATACAAATTTAGTAATTTGTGATTGTGAATTCCGCATGAAGTTGAGAACTATATCATAATACCAACATAATCTTGGTTATTTTTAAGAAAACTGTCGGTTTACTATCAATTAACTCAAAGTACTTCAAACATATCATGGTGAATAACAAATTTAATATTGTTAACCGACTGTTAAATTTTATCAGATTGACAGTTATCAGGTTAACAAGCCGAAATTGGTGAATATGGGCGTTAACAAGGACCCACCCTCTAAAATATCTTCGTCTATTTTATGAACACCATGTAGAACTTACGAACGTATAAAAAACATAATAATCATCCGGTAAATCCGCGTTGATTACGAAACGACGCAGCCCGTACTCGTCGGGCTCTGCTTCGCTTCGATGGCAGTTTCTTCCTCTTCGACGGATTTGTTCTCGTTGGGACTCTCGCTCGGCACCAACGATTCCTTAACGCCTAAATGAGTACTGTTGCATTCCTGATTCGAGCTCGATTTCCGCGACCGGCTCGGCTGCGGCGATTGCACTTTGATCGATTGATGCTGGAGCTGTTGCTGTTGCACCTTCGCTTCGATTATCCTAGTCAGGACGGATATTTGTTTGTATATTGCTAGCATAAAAGCCGAGTAACCCAAGCTGAAAACCAACGCGTTAGTTAACAACGAATCGTCTCGAACGTTTGTTACCAGAGCTTGGAAAATATGCAAAATGCGTGCATATTTCGCCCAAAAATTCGAAATGCATGTGCAAAACGAAATTTTGCATTTTTCATTATACCGAGAGGTAATTAAAATACGTTAAATTTAATAACGAATAGTAACATAAAAACGTTAACGATTGCTAGTTCTAATTGGTTCTGGAGCATTCTAAATGGTTCTAGGCAGTTTTATATGATTCTGGAGCGTTCTAAACGGTTTTAGACAGTTCCAAATGATTCTGGAGCATTCTAAATGGTTTTAGACAGTTCCAAATGATTCTGGAGCGTTCTAAATGGTTCTAGATATTTCTAAATAAATCTGGAGCGTTCTAAATGATACTGGAGCATTCTAAACGATTCTAGACAGCTCTAAATGATTCTGGATCGTTCTTGCGTAAATGGTTCTTAAAATCTCTACATGATTCTGAAGAGTTGTTATTGATTCTGGAGCGTTCTAAATGGTTCTACAGTTCTAAATGAATCTGGAGCGTTCTAAATGGTTCTACAGTTCTAAATGAATCTGGAGCGTTTTAAATGCTTCTAGATAGTTCTAAATGATTCTGGATCGTTCTTGCGTAAATGGTTCTTAAAATCTCTACATGATTCTGAAGAGTTGTTATTGATTCTGGAGCGTTCTAAATGGTTCTACAGTTCTAAATGAATTTGGAGCGTTTTAAATGCTTCTAGATAGTTCTAAATGATTCTGGAGCGTTTTAAATGGTTCTAGATAATTCTGGAACGTTCTAATTGGTTCTAGACAGTTCTAAATGATTCTGGAGAGTTTTAAATGGTTCTGAAGGGTTCTAAACAGTTCAAAATGAATCTGGAGCGTTCTAAATGATTCCATCCCATCCTTTTAATGTTCTAATAAGTAATATAGTCTGATAGTCGGCATTATACGTCTTATCTTTTTCTTTTTAAAAAAATTATTTCATATCCGGTTATTTCTGATTTTTTCATCGAGCACAAACGCATATAAAAGAGCACATTTTGAAGGTTTTCAGTGCATATTTTGCCATTTTTAGTACATATTTTCCAAGCACTATTCATTACCATTCAGTGTTAGTCCAATAATTGATAATCAACAGGCCCTGTCTCAATCTCGACACCGTTTCGGCGGGATGATCGTGGGATTTGGCAGCGTTGATGAGCCGTACGACAGCCATGGCGTCTCTGAGCAGAATCGAAAGAACCAACGACCATTCCAAACAATTCGCTTCCATAAACAGCTGTAGCAAATACCTAGAACAAAAAAAAACCTCGATCAAAACCGGGTAATCGGGTAAATCGTAAATACTACTACCTCAATTGAATCTCCGATCGCTGGGAACCTTTATTCGAATTGGAGAACTGCTCTAATATTTTACTGGACGGAATTTCCCAATTATCGGTACCAATCGAAGACAACTCCCTGTCTTCGTCCCATTGCGAACTGATCGTGCTCATGGCGAACTCGTCCCTAGCGGCGTTCAGTATGGTCGATTTCATTGCCATGTTGAAGTTGTTATCGAAGCTGCTAATGGATACTTTTTTGGCCGATTGACGATCGATAACGTCGCATTTTCGTTCGATGGGCTCGACGGCGCTGCGCCCGTCCAATTCGCTCTCGGCCAGCTGGCTCGTCTGATCGAGGGGCCCGACGGGCAGCCCCTGGCCCCCGTACGGGAAGTCCTTCAGCGACATGTAACCGCTGTCGCCGATGTGACTGAACGTCGGATTCGCTATTAGGCTCTTCAGTTGATCCTCTAGATTAACGAATCCGTCCAGAGGCGATTGCGAACCTGCAACGTACACGCTTAAATACCATGCCAGAATTTTATTGAATATTAGAAAAAAATAAGGAAAATTAACAACTTTCTAATGAAATTTTAAAATCTTCTAATAGGATAAAGTTCGTACGTTTTAAAATGGCACAATGACGTAATTTTTAGTAATTTCCACGCAGTTCGAAATGTCCCTAGAGCCAATGTTAAATCTGCCATTTGACTAGGGGAATTTTACCTAGCGCGGTTGAAATCTAAATGATTCTAGATAGTTCTTAATGATTCTGGAGCGTTCTAAATAATTTTGGAGGGTTCCAAATGGTTATAGGCAGTTCTAAATGGTTGTGGAGCATTCTAAATGGGTTAAGATATTCTAAATGATACTGGAGCGTTCTAAATGATTCTAAACAGTTAAAATTTGGTTCTGGAGCGTTCTGGAGCGTTCTAAATGATTCCGAGCGATATATTTGCCTTTGTTCTGCTGTTTTGTTTTCAAGTTTACGAGTAATTTTTATGTTTTTCGTCCGTTTTAGATAGTTTTTCGTGCGGTTTCTGTAATTTTATCAGTTTTTCCCGCTCGTTTCGTAAGTTTTACGTGTAATTATCGTACGTGTTTATTATAATATTTAATCAAATTAATACTCGCGAGTTCGTATCTCCTCCCAATGTTCTTTTTTCACGTTTAAATTTTACCAATTTTGACTTTTTTAATTTGTAAACATTGAAAGTAAACAAACACCTAAATCTGTGATATAAAGGATTTTAATTACAACCCGGCAACGTTGCAATATTCTGGCTCGTGACGTCATTGTCATTTTAAAATCGTACAAACTTTAGTAAGAGATAAACTGGAAATTAGCTGAAAAGCTTCAATTGTTGCGACCTCGAAAACGTGTCATACCTGTTTGTTTTTTCAAATTTGGTATATTTGAGGTAGGATAAGGCCAATCGAAGTCCTCGTGGACCTGTTTCAACGTTTTAACGAAATCGTCGATTCTAGCGGCCCGATCTCGTTCTTTGATCAGCCAAGAAACCAAGTGGAAATCGAGGTGGGCCGCGAAATAACCCAAATCGGTCAATCTGCGGGCGGACAGAAGCCGTCGCGCGTGCTTCTGCAATATATCGTCTATGAAAAACACCTCCGAACTGGCACTCTTTTGCAACCTGCAAAAATTAATTCCATTAAATAGCCTGACATTGACGTATGTCAATTGTGACAGCCAAAGCTAACTACGAGGGATGTGTCCAATGTTCCCTGACAGAGAAATCTCGGCACGTTTATGCAACTATCCAGTGCAAATATGTTCAGATTGATTCAATTCATATCTCTCAAAGATAGTGATATAGAAAGAGATATTAAATAGATAGAAATATTCCTAAATATGATTTAAAAATAGGTTTAGGCTAATTTAGTAATTTGTGGTTATAAGTTTCGCATGAAGTTAGAAACTATACCGAAATACCAACTTAATATCGGGAATTTTTAAGGAAACTGTTTACTATCAGTTACTTCAAATCTAGTTGTGAATAACAAATATTGTTAACCAACTGTTAAATTTTATCACACTGACAGTTATCAGGTTGATAAGCCGAAATTGGTGAACATAAGCGTAAAGAAATAAAAAAACTATTCAACTAACTTGTCAGATTTGGGATTAGCGATGGAATTCGGCACGGATTTTTTCCTATCCGATTCCATCGAACTACTCGCGTTGCCCGGATTGCTGTTCGATCTCTCAACGAGTTTGGGCGATACGGTGGTGCTGTAGCTCCTCGCTCGAGGCCCTTGGACGTTTCCCAAAATGAGCGACAGGTCTTCGGCGTTGGGGCTCACCGAAGCGGTCGTTTGACCGATGCCCAACTTCGGGGTTAGAATAAAGGATGTTCGGGGCGATTCGGTTTCGTCGTTCGGATCTAAAACGTTTCATTTTTTATATATGATGTCCCAATGATAAGTAGTCCATTTAATCACAGTTTTCGCAGGTTTTTTGTATTTTATTTTGCTATAACTTTTTGTCACAGTGACAATTTTGTTTCACCTGTACAGGATATTTTATCAAAATTTCTTTTTTTCAATTTACATTTTAACAAATTTTATAAAATGAAACACCTTCTTTTGTAGAATAACATGTACAAATAATAAATTTTTGAAAAGTAGAAGAGTATGTCTTACAAAATACCTCTACACATACGAGGTATTCCATTTATAAAAAATTGGTTACTGGGAATTTATAAAAGGGGATTTTGATAAAAACAAATGAAGAATTTCTGTACCACTGTACAAAACTTATAAAAAAATAAAACATATCTGCGAAAACCGCATGTTTTTATGATTAAGCGTTTAAAAGTTATAAGCTGATTAAATGGGCTACTTTTCATTGGGGGCACCCTGTATAATAATTAATTAATTCATTAGTTTTAATACTAACCTATGGCTCTCAAAAATCGCACCAAATCTTTGGCTAACTTCCACTTGGACTTCTCCAATGCGGTGTTTAATAGTAAAGTTGCATATTCCCTGCTCACTGATGGTATTTCTAAATTCTGCAAAATAAAATCCATAGGTATTACCAATATTAAACACTTACGCCAATATTCTTCAATTTCGCTTGGCTTATCCAATTGGCTTATCAACGTAATAACTGTCAGTCTGTTAAAATTTAACAGTCGGTTAACAATATTAAATTTGTTATTCGCCATGATTATTTGAAGTAATTGATAGTAAACAGACAGTTTTCTAAAAATAACCAAGATTAAGTTGGTATTACGATATAGTTTCTAATTTCATGCGGAACTTATAACCACAAATGACTAAATTAATATAAATGTCAAATTTGCTTATTTGAAGAAGTAAATAAATGTAATAACCATATTTCAGCGTTTATTCCATCTAACCAAATCTTACTCTTCAATCCGAACCTATTTTTAAATTCTATTTCGAAATATTTCTGTCTATTTAATATCTATTTCTAACACTATCTTCAGAAGATGACGTGAACAATTCGTGAAACACTATTGTATTTAACTGGTCCATTATATTAGGTATAAAATTAAAATGTTATATGTACTTCTTTTATCTGACTGTTAAGTATTAACTGACATTAGTGAATGCCAAAATATGACGATAACAGAATGATAAGAACTTATCTCTCTGTTAGCGATTTAACAGTCATTGGTGAATATGGCCGGTTATACAGTTAAATTATTACTTGTAAGATGATTAAATAAGACGCGGCTGTTTCTAATTCCCCTTTGATCAAACACTCTTGAAACAGGTCCTTTGGCTTTCCCGCTACAGAAAAAAGGTAATGCCACAAGGCTATTTCGGTCTTCCGGGCGCACTGGACGACTGTTTGAAGATACACCGGATATTCCATGATGAATTCCAAAACACTGGGTAACTGAGCGTCGGGAATTGGCTCTTTACTAGTCGCTTCCTCTTCTAGAACCTTTAAAATCATGCAATAATTATCATCAATCAATATAAGTAGATTATGCAATATACCTCGTGCAATAATAATTCCAATGAATGCGGAAAATACGGTAAACCCATACAGCTTCTCGCTATTTCCCAGGCGTGGTACCCCAAATTCCTTCTAATGAGCTGTCTCAAAATTTGATGCAAATATACCTGACTCTGAAAATATACATATTCGATAAAATTAGGGTATTATTGTTCAAGAGTAAAGTGAAAAGATCTCGGCCTGACGACGAAAGACAACGATTTTCAGTTGAAAAATTACGTTATTCTTATTAAACCGAAATCTTCAATTCAAGGCAGATTCTGGAGCGTTCTAACTGGTTCTAAACAGTTCTAAATTATTGTGAAGGATTTTAAATGATTCTAGACAGTTCTAAATGGTTCTGAAGGATTCTAAATGATTCTAGACGTATGTTAAATTACTTACTGTTCTTTGTAAAATACACAAAGGTAAAGAAAACGGCGAATTGTAATCCGAGGAGTACAAAACTGTGTCGTTTTCTGCACCTAATATGATAGCATCCTCAAATAAAATAGCTGAAAAATACAGATTTTATAATACTTAACAACTTGTTAACTAATCATAAATTACCTAATGGGTATATTTTCAAATGAAACGGCAACATAATCCGTTTAGACATAAAAGTGTGGGTTTTATCTCCATCTCGCGGGTACAAAGGCAACCAGACTCTCATGCCGTGCGATCCACAAAACAGCCACAGCGCCTCAGTCAGGTGAGCCTATTAAATCCCAAAAAAATGTAACAGAATTACCACTTTTAGATTAACAAAACAAGAACCGTAATTTACCTTATCTAATCTCCGTTGCCTCGGCACCCAAACGTTTTCCACGCAACTCGCGAGGACCGTAGGTAACAAACAGGTATATTTCTCACCGTGCCTACAATCTCTTTGAACTAACAGTAGGCGACCGCTTACGTTCAATAAAATGCTTTCAAACGCGTTATGCTGACTCTTTACAGTCTCCGTACGTACGCAAGTCAGTGTCACTGAAGTTATACAAGCAGGATGGATCGCCAATGCAGAAATATCGACCACTTGCGTCTTCGTCACGTCTACATCTCCAACTAAAACGAACCGAAATTTATTCAATTAACAATATTAATAGATGTGCTAACCGTTATCGTTCGATTGTAATTGCCATATGCACACTTGAGCGTTCGATCCCAGCGTGATCAATTGATCGTGCAGGATGTTGATGAGCAAAATCGGCGCGGGCACCTTGACTATCCTGGCGAATTTATTGTCCAATTTCGATTCGCGCGGATAGAACCGAAACTCCTCGCCGTTGTCTAGTATGCTGTAACAGCCCATCACCATGTACTCCTTCCACCACAGCAAACCGCCGGCCACGATGAAATCCTTCTCTTGCGTTTCGTTGCCGAACAATTTCCATTTTCTGGTCGATATCGAGTAGTGAGCGATGCCCGTCCGGCCGGCTATGACTACGTTCAAACCCTCCGAGTCGATGGCGGAGTATCGGATGGGCCAATTGGTTGAATAGTAGGTCGAAGGAACTGATATCACGAGCCATTGTCGCCCTTCGGCGAGCATAGTCGACGTAGAAAAGGCATTTTCGCTGAATAAGTCTTCTTTTTTGGTTTTCTCGGAGAATACTCTTATGAAGGTCTTGGCTGAATTGACGTAGAGCTTATCCTCTCCTTGTAAATACAAATGGCTTTGGAGGCTCTACAATACAATATGCACATAAATACGTAAATATAATATGCTGTTGTTTAATTACCATGCATGGATTGACCGATAAGGCACTTTTTACTAATTCCAATTGAACTAAACTCGCGTTAAATTTATCAGAATCTTTCTGAAACTGTTTCCTGACCATCCACAATTGGTAGCCCTCTGTGGAAAATTCCATACAAGAAACATGGAGTGGATTACACTTTTCCAAGTCCATGTTCAAACCGTAATCCCAGCCTAATGAACACATAAGAAGCGCTCCGAATGTTGACCATAGGGCCACTCCACCTTTCGACCAAGCCACAGCCAATGCGCAACCATCGGGCGTCCATAACACTTTTTCAATACTCCCTACAAAACCATTTGATCAAGCAACCTCCACAAACCAAGCGAATATATCATTACCTGGATCTCCAGGATAATCCTTACTGCTTAAAATACAAGTATGAGACACTTCCAAACCGCCTGTCGTTTCATCAATAGTATATACTATGCACTCGGAATTTGTACGCCCATATGTAATTAAACGGAATTTATGATTGATGTTCGTACATGTTGCGTTATCGATGCCCTGCGCCCATATCCCTTGGACCTGATTAGGGTCGAATTTTAAGGTAGGCGCTGTCAAAAATGCGGCCCTGCCATCGTTTAGAACTATGGAAAAACCGCCTACCAACGGAGAGTATTCAATATCGATGATGAAAATGTTATCTTCGACTATAGGCACGGCTTTCGCGACCTGTTGGTTTATGCAAAAGGGAATTCTTCTCAAATCTAGAGTGTAATCTCGGTTTTGGGTACCGTCCCAACGGTACCTGAGTACATGATTGTTTGTCGTAGACAACATTATTTCCATCATCGTTATGCACACCACTCCTGTGATTCTTCCATCCCACAAAGCTATTTCTTCCACCTAAAATAAACGATATATAAACTCGGTAACATCAACTGATGAGTTAAAATTACCAAAATTAATGTTAATGGTGGAATGGATTCCTTTATAAATAATTCAGCGCTGTCTCTTCTAAGATTTAAATTTGGAGTGTCTGTTTGGTGGTATAAACCTTTGTGATCCTGTGCAACTTCAACCTTGTAGAACAACAAGTGCCCTTCAGATGTCTGAAAAATTTGAATCATATCAATAAATTGAATCGTATCGGGATAAAACAAAATAAACTTACTGCAATAACAATCATACTTGAATCTGGTTTCCATTCTGCAATAACATTTGTCCCATATTTTTCTATGGACGAAACAGAACGACGGTGGAACGTTATGGGTACACATGGCTGAAAATGAAATAAATTCCCACTTTACTATCCTATTGATTAAAGCTAAATGTAAACGAATGAAAATTGGAATTACTTAATTAGGTTAACAGCTATTGTTGTTTTGTGATTTATACGTACTCTGCAAAACCATACTCCTAAGCAATCGTCAGCAAGAATAGCAAACAAAATTCGGTCTCGATTTGATGTTATGTGCTTTATAACGGAGTTACCCAATTCGGGTAATTTTAAAACTTTGGGCCAACCAACGGGAAAATACATATTCCCATTACATATTACTTTGTTGTAATTTACGAATTGTGTATAATATCTAGGAGTCACTACAAATATCTATCATTGCGAACAAAAACATTTTCCACTAATATTTTAGACAAAATATAAATCATTACGTTACAATTATTTACAATAAGAATTGACAATTTTGACATATTAATTGAGGTGTCAATGACATTTAATTTCTTCTTGTTTTAAATGTGACTTTTCCTATACTAACAAACAAGCAACCGTAAAGAAAAATTTAACAAAAACGATGCAACTTGGTGGCTTGTTAGTTACTAATTTACCCATTTTTACATTTACGATCAAAATTATATTTCATAATGAGACGTGAAGGAAATTTATGGGATATTTCAATGAAATCTCATCGAAGTAGGCGATTGCACACGAAGCGTAACTGACAGAAATGTCATTTTTCACTGACACGAGAACATAAATGACGTGGAGGTTCAAAACTTGTGAGTAGTAGGTAAATATTTCATTTTAAATACTCCTTATTTCTGAAATTAAAAGCACAACAGATCTAAATAAACAAAAAGCTACCCTTCGTAAAACTTTACCAAGCGGTATGTACAATTTTAAAATCATTCTCGAACTGTAATCAACCGCAAATTTTAGATTCGAAAGATGACTACTTACGAGGAATATATCCAGCAAAATGAGGACCGAGATGGTATCCGTTTTACGTGGAACGTGTGGCCTTCCAGTAGGATCGAAGCCACTCGCTTGGTGGTACCATTAGCCTGTCTGTATCAGCCTCTCAAAGAAAGAGTAGATCTTCCTCCCATTCAATATGATCCTGTATTGTGCACAAGAAACAACTGCAGGGCTATTTTAAATCCACTGTGTCAAGTCGACTATCGAGCTAAATTATGGGTTTGCAACTTCTGCTTCCAAAGAAATCCAGTTAGTATATTTATTCTTTATTGATAGCTCATATATTAATGAGAATTTGTTTTAGTTTCCTCAACAATATGCAGCTATCTCCGAACAACATCAACCTGCTGAATTAATGCCTATGTTCTCGACTCTCGAGTACACGATTAACAGAGTTCAATGTTTACCTCCCATATTCTTGTACGTTGTGGATACTTGCATGGATGAGGAAGAATTGAGTTCGCTGAAGGACTCCTTGCAAATGTCGTTGAGTTTGTTACCTCAAAACGCTTTGATTGGCCTGATTACATTTGGAAAAATGGTTCAAGTTCACGAATTAGGTACAAACTACCAGTTTCTTTTCGTTATTTTGGTGTTTAACTGAATTATTCCAGGCACCGAAGGTGTCAGCAAATCTTACGTGTTCCGAGGCACTAAAGATCTTACGGCTAAACAAGTTCAGGAAATGTTGGGTATCGGTAAAGTCGCAATGACTCAACAACAACAACCTCAACAACCGGGGCAACCTATGAGACCTGGACAACCTCAATCTGCACCTGTCCCGCCTGGTAGCAGGTATGTAATTAATACATAATATTTAAAATAATTACTGAATGTACATTTTTAGATTCCTGCAACCTATTTCTAAATGTGATATGAATCTAACGGATTTAATTGGAGAACAACAAAAAGATCCTTGGCCTGTACATCAAGGTAAAAGGCCACTAAGATGCACTGGTGTTGCATTATCGATTGCTATCGGTTTATTGGAGTGCACTTATGCAAATACAGGGGCTAGGGTTATGCTTTTTGTTGGTGGCTCTTGTTCACAAGGTCCAGGTCAAGTTTTGAACGACGATTTGAAACAACCTATTAGGTAAATTGAAATATTTAATTGGTTTAGTGACATTTTAAAAGTTTATTTTTGCAGGTCCCATCATGATATACAAAAGGATAATGCAAAATATATGAAAAAAGCCATTAAGCATTACGATACTTTAGCGATGAGAGCAGCGACTAATGGTCACTGCATCGATATTTATTCCTGCGCACTCGATCAAACCGGTTTAATGGAAATGAAGCAATGTGCTAATTCTACAGGGTAATTGCATTATTGATAAATATTACATCTATTTTTACTATTTTTATTTTTAGTGGTCACATGGTGATGGGAGACTCGTTTAATTCATCGCTATTTAAACAAACATTCCAAAGGGTGTTCACTCGAGATCAGAAGAACGAATTGAAAATGGCTTTTAACGGAACATTAGAAGTGAAATGTTCCAGAGAATTAAAAGGTAAACACACTTATAAAATTATTTAAAATTTTATTAATTGAAATATTTACCTTTCAGTACAAGGAGGGATCGGATCCTGTGTATCACTAAACGTTAAAAGTCAACTGGTCTCCGACACGGAAATCGGAATGGGCAACACTGTGCAATGGAAAATGTGTACACTTACTCCAAGCACTACGATGGCCTTGTTCTTCGAAGTCGTCAATCAGCATTCTGCACCAATTCCGCAAGGAGGAAGAGGTTGCATACAATTCATTACGCAATATCAAGTAAGTACGATATAAGTTGTACAGGCCTTAACTTTAAACCTCTCCATATTTTTATTTTACCAGCACTCGAGTGGTCAAAGAAGAATTAGAGTGACAACGGTGGCTCGAAACTGGGCCGATGCCACTACTAATATTCACCACATCAGCGCTGGTTTTGATCAAGAAGCAGCAGCTGTAATTATGGCCAGAATGGCTGTTTATAGAGCTGAATCTGATGAGAGTCCCGACGTTCTGAGATGGGTCGATAGAATGCTGATTCGATTGGTAAATTACATTTATTGCCTGTTTATTACAGTTTGTATAAATACGAATTTTATTGTTTTAGTGTCAAAAATTCGGAGAATACAATAAAGACGATGCCGGTTCATTCAGGTTGGGCCAAAACTTCAGCCTCTATCCGCAATTCATGTATCACCTAAGGAGATCTCAGTTCCTGCAAGTTTTCAATAATTCTCCTGATGAAACATCCTTCTATCGGCATATGTTGATGAGAGAAGATCTTACTCAATCACTGATCATGATTCAACCAATTTTGTACAGTTACAGTTTCAACGGCCCCCCTGAGCCTGTACTATTAGATACGAGTTCCATACAGCCCGATAGAATATTGCTTATGGACACGTTTTTCCAAATTTTGATATTCCACGGGGAGGTGAGAGGGGTGTAGCAATTATTTCGAGCGCATTATTAATATTTTTTTTATTTAGACTATAGCTCAATGGAGGAATTTGAAATATCAAGACATGCCCGAATACGAGAACTTTAGGCAATTGTTGCAAGCTCCTATTGATGATGCACAAGAGATATTACAAACAAGGTTCCCCATGCCGAGATATATCGACACCGAACAAGGGGGATCCCAGGCTAGATTTTTATTGTCCAAAGTCAATCCGAGTCAGACTCACAATAACATGTACTCATATGGAGGGGTATGTTTGTTATAATTTTATGACTATGCGTTGTTAATTAATACGATTATTCGTTATAGGATGCCGGCGCTCCGGTTCTAACAGACGATGTATCACTTCAAGTATTTATGGATCATTTGAAAAAATTGGCAGTTTCGTCCACGGCTTAAGTGGTAATTGCTGATCAGACTAAAATAATTGTATGGATTTTAAGCTTAAATATTTTTTTATGTATTTATTTCATAGATTTTCAGATGTTGGTTGTTTGTGATAAGCTACATTCACTGTAAACATTTTAATTTATCCATGAAAGTGAATTATTTAGAAAATCATCAAGTAACAAAATATATTATTAAATGGAATAAGAATAAAAAGAAGTATAAACGGTTGATGTTTTCAAAACCTTTATCCTAAAAATGCATTAGATGTACATAGAACTTACAGCCTTAACCTTGAGGTAACTACCATTTCCCGAATAAACTTATATAATAAATAATTTATCTATCACAAAATATAGAGTATTGCCTAAAAATGTTTTTAAGCGTTTTATGTATCCCAAATGACACCACAATTAATTTAAAAATCTAATACTCATTTTCTGTTCCACATCAGTCCTTTGCAGCGCCTTGCAAAATTCTTCGAAAGAAATCATCTGATCACCGTCTTCATCCGCTTCTGTGATCGATCTCTCTGCAATACTGTTTAATTGTTCTTCGCTAATGTTTGTTCCCACCATCATGTGCAATATGGCCAACAGTTCATCCTTTGAAATCATATCATCATTGTCCAAATCGTACATTTTGAAGGCGACTGAAACGTATCGAGTTCGAAATATAACGAAATGGAGGTAAGACGAATACACTCACATCTTAGTTTCTCTTCTCGAGAATTCAGCTTGTTCTCCTTGTTCTTTTTAATGGGTATGAAATGAGCGAGGACTTGCATGAATTGCCTGAAATTTACTCTGTCGTTGAAATCGTCGTTTTGGAAGAACGAATTCACGATTCTTTCGCCCAGTGGATTAATAGCCAGTTCGGGTATTCGCAGGAAATCATCCCTGCTTAGCGTTCCGCAATCTCCTCTGTCGAGCGAGGTGAACCTCGAATACAGCCTTTCGATTTGATTTGGCGTGACTGAAAGTTTCTTTGTTAGAATAAATGTATTAAAGAAAAAAATACACTCACATCCAGTTTCAGTTTGAATTTGGGCAATTTCTTCTTCGCGAAGCAAAAGTGAAGACCTGTTACCCATTTTTTGCGTGTCTTCGCCAAATCAAAGCATGCAATACACTCGATTTTAACTCGTGATTTAAAATATTGTTGCTCCTTTAAAATAGATTAAATAAAAGTTATGTATAGTAAATACGTGATCACCTGCACTTTGACTTTTGACTTGTCTATCAAACATCAAAAACTGCGACAGCGCCACCTTTCACCGACGCGCCCGATGAACGTACTAAAAAGAATGACGTCACTACTCTGTTCAATAAACGCGGAGCAAAGAGCGTGAAATATATTTACAGGGCCGCACTCGGCCTGATGGTAACGAAACAAATTTTTATTTATTCTTTACATACGCAGCGAAGATGTTAGTTTATCGATAGACTGTTTGATGCAGTAGGCACAGAGTAGAAAACACTTGTTGTTTACTCTGTGCAGTAGGTTTGAATCGTAGATTCGGTGCTAACTTCGTTTGTATTAAAAGAAGAACTAACAGCAGAAAATAATTCCCATGTTGCCAAATTTATGAAAACTTCATTTTTTAATGCTTTTGTTTACTTAAATGAAAAAGTTGTAAGAAAAAAGGTTTCGAATATTTTGTTATGTTTATTTCACGATTTTTATTAAACTTACAAGTCCTTCGACGCATGACTCTAAATCAAGAACATCTGGGAAAATCGATATTTTCAACCATTTTCACAAACGAGTAAAATTTTCCCCAGCCAATTTTCTTCGAGTATACGAGGAAAACAATGTTTTTGAAGATCAGACCTACTCCAGAAAGCATTATAAAAACAGGTAAAGAAACTTTTCAGTCAAAATTTTGGTTGATATTAAAATTTACATGAAACAACCTTCAATAATTCTGTTTTAGAAATATGTGTAAAATTCTTATCAAATCAAGCGGCATCACTTAAAAATGTAATAGAAGAGGAGCCTTCTGGACCTTCCATGAAAACTTCAATCCCAGGACCAAACAGTTTAGAATTAATGAGTAAATTAAAGAATGTTTATGTAAGTTTGAAACATACCTACTAGGTAGACAACCACCATTACATAATTGTATTTGTTGCACTAGAATTTGGGAGCGATTCAATATATCGTCAACTACGAGAAATCTATTGGAAACTACATAATAGACGCCGATGATAATGTATTGTTGGATACCTTCACGCAAATTTCCACCCTACCAATTGGATACAATCACCCTGCTCTAATGGAGTCCTTTAAAAACCAATCAAATTTGGTAACAATTGCATTAAAATCTCGTTATTTTAAAACTATACATAATTAAATATTATTTTAGAGATCTATGATTAACCGACCTGCCCTAGGTGTTTATCCAGGAGTGGACTGGCCGAAGAGAATGGAAAACATCCTGAAACAGGTATAATAAAATTACTTTTAACTAAACATCATACAAAAGATGAATAAACTTTTTTGTAGGTGTCTCCCAAGCTATCAAAAATTACTCCTATGATGTGCGGCGCTTGCTCTAACGAAAACGCAATTAAATCGGCTTTCATGGCGTATAAAGCTAGAGAAAGAGGCGCTAGAGAATTTACTGAAGACGAAAAAAATTCCAGCATTATGAACCAACGTCCCGGATGCCCTGATTTGTCCATTTTGTCCTTTAAAGGCGCCTTTCATGGTAGAACTATCGCCACATTGTCTTGTACTCACTCGTTGGTATGGCTAAAAAAACTATTTTTCTCGCTATATGTCCGATTGAATTTTCTTTTTTTTTATAGTATATTCATAAAATGGATATTCCGAGCTTCCAAAATTGGCCTATTGCGACGTACCCGCTATATAAGTATCCTCTGGAAGAGAATGAAAGGGAAAATAAAGAAATAGACAAGAGTTGTTTAGAAGAAGTCGAATATTTAATTGAAAAAAACAAAAATATTTGTCCTGTCGCCGGCATCATAATCGAGCCCATTCAATCTGAAGGTAAAATTTTTTGATGTACAAAATGGTAAGATGTAAACTTCTCGGCCTGACAATAAAAAAGGTTCTAAAAATGGTTCTGGGCAGTTTTAAATGCTTTTGGAGCGTTCTACATAGTTCTAAATGGTTCTGAAGCGTTTTAAATGGTTTTTAGACAGTTCTATAATGCATTATAAATGTCCCAAAGAAGAAACAAGAAATTGCTGATTGGAGTGCAGCCACAGTGTATCAGGCCGAGACTTTTTCACCCTACCCTCGTACATTAAAAGTTCTGTAACAATAGTTGGTGTTTTCAGGCGGAGACAATCACGCTTCACCGGATTTCTTCAGAAATCTTCAAGCTATATGCAAGAAACACAGCGTCATCCTCATAATCGATGAAGTGCAAACTGGCTGCGGACCAACCGGCAAATTCTGGTGCCATGAACACTTCGATCTGCCGCATCCTCCCGATATTGTCACCTTCAGTAAGAAGATGCAAATGGCTGGATTCTTCCATTCCGAAGAAACAATGTTAGTTAACTTCTAATACATAATAACTCACTCGTTACTCACAAGATATTATAATTACAGGCCTGAACAACCCTCTCGAATTTTCAACACGTGGATGGGCGATCCGGGAAAGACTATACTGTTAGAAACGATTCTCGGGGTGATGAAGAGCGAAAATTTATTAGACCAAGTCCAACGATCTGGAAAACGGTTGTATTCGGGACTCGAAAAATTGCAAAACGAGTTTCCAGAGCTGCTTCACTCGTTAAGAGGTCGTGGGACGTTCATTGCTGTCAATGCTCACGGGCGTCCGCTTAGGGATACAATTATAAATAATTTAAAAAAGAATGGTGTGTATAAGTGGCCGCAGTAAATTTTATCAACAGAATATTGAATACATTTTGGCTTTATTTTTAGGGGTACAAAGTGGTGGTTGCGGACAAGAGGCGATCCGCCACAGACCAGCACTGATATTTCAAGAACGTCATGTCGATATTTATCTGGATATACTGAGAAAAATTCTTAAGGAAATCAGTGGACGCAATTAATAAGTTGAACTGTGCATTAAAAGTATAACTGTTTATAACTGGTATACGTAGGTAAAGTTCGTACGTTTTAAAATGACAATGACGTCATTTTTAGTAATTTCCAATGCGTTGTTGCCATATCGTTAGTCTCGAAATTCCGCTTGTGTTGACAGGTTTGTAGTTACAATTTGTTTTTTTTGTGACTTTCCCAGGCATGTTTTTCTTTTTCTGGAGCGTTGTAAATGATTCTAGACAGTTTTAAATGGCTCTAGAGTGTTCTAAATGATTTTAGACAGTTCTAAATGTTTCTAGAGCGCTTTTAATGACTCCCAGCGTTTCAGATGTCATTGTCATTTTAAAGCGTACGAAGTTTAGATGTAAAATTGTTTGCAATGTAGGCTATGGGTGCAACAAGGAACACTTCCATTACTTTTTTTAAAGGAAAAAGAAAGAGTGATATTTAAGAGATTCCAATTTTCTCACTCTGATAACTGTTATTTTATAATGTTTCTTTTTCAACTCGTAGAATTGACCAATTGATCGACCTTATTGCAAACAATTTTGCCTTAGATCATATATATGATCTAATAATTTTGCACTTTAATTATGTGTATGAATATAAAGTTTATTTGTAAATATTATTGAGCTAGATTCCATAATGTTTAGCATTAAGTTATATGGAGTTTTAATTAAGTTATTAAGCCATTAAGTTACATATATTGGATTTTGAGTTTGATACAAAATCTACATTGATTTGGTTTTCTAGAAACAGCTACTAATGTTGTTAGGATGTCTGTATTTGTCGGTTTATGAATGTTGTGATTAAGAGTCTTCCAATTGTTGTCTTCCAGTAGTAACGTATTAATAATTAAGATTTTGAAAGCAAAAATTTGATATTGTAATAACCAGCCAGCCCGCTCCTCTAATAAACTCAATAACTCCTTTGGCGGAGGCCAGTGACTAACTTAACTATGGTAGGTTCCGAATATTCAAACAAGTGCAAATTTTTAAATCGTCTTTTTAGCAAAATTTGAATACTTGCTGTAAGGAAATTATGTATTCTCTTCATTTTCTTATATTTTCATTAACTGACTTGTTTCATACTACATTGAAAAAACTATTAATAAAACAGAAGAATAAGTGACAATTAACAATGTCAAAATTGTCAGTTGAAAGGCTAATGGCAGACGAGATGTTTTGCAAAGCCTTTCTTCAACGTGCGAGTGTAAAAATAAAACCACAACAACCGCACTAACGTCGAGTGAACCAAAAGATAGACTCGTTTAACCGAAATAATAGACTACGAATTCCTCATTCTACGTAAATCATTTCAATCGGCTTTAACAAAAACAGTGATAATGACGTCTGTCAGATCAGGTGAAAACGAATGTGATTTATGACATGTGTACGACTTCAAACAATGTGTAATTTAATAAACCCTTAAATACCGTGTACATTGTTACTGCAACAGTGCGAGTTATGGGCGCCAAACCGAGCACCGCGAACGGAACCCAGAGCCCTCGAACGAGAGCCTTTTCAACAAGTAGCAGCAGCGAAGTGGTTGCTGCTCCCGGTTTTCGCTTCATGCGAGCCCTAGGTAGCGAATTGTCTAATGACAGGCAACGAGCGCGATCCTTATCCAGGTAAACCTTTAAAATGTTTACTGCAAATTATGAATAAAATGCATTGTAATATGTAAACCTTGGGAGCTAGATGTTGGAACATTCTACTTTATGCAAATATGATTCATAATTTAATTTAATAGAGCTATTGGATTCTTGGAAAACATTCGTCGACTCGTTTAAACGTGTTTTAACGAATCGTTATATTCTAATCGTTGGAATGAAAACATTATTAGAGTATACAGACATTTGAATTTATTATTATTGTAAGTGGAATTGATTGTTTGGTATGATTCCAGCGTGCCGGATCTACACGCTAGTCATGAAACTCTATCGATGCCTACGACGGGTGCCAGTTTCGATGTATCGACCGGTGCCAGTCCGGAAACCGACAGCAGTTCGGCCGAAGAGGCCAGCAGTGTCTTAGGCTCGGCGGCTGCTAATATAGCCTTAGGTAGAGTTTACGCCGCTCATTCTCTACCTTCGCACATTTGGTCCTTTAATGGTGAGTTAATGTAATGTCTAAAGGTCACACTACTATCCTGCCGATGCTAACAGTTAAATTTTAATGTACCGTCTTAATAACAACAAAAAGAGAGATTAAGCTCTAACTCTAATAAAGCTTCAATAGATCCACAAATTGGATATTAATGAAAATATTAACGCGCACGTAACCAATCATATTAAGTGGATACTTACTATATTTATATATAGAAACTGATAAGAGATTTTCACCGTGTCATCGTCAATATTATGGAAGTTGATGACGATTTAAATTGAGGTATTATAAATGCTAAATGAATCGTATCACGAGGTAAACGTAATAATTGCGGTTTGTATACAATATGGAACAATCGTTTGAAACATTTGTTGTTGTTTTGTATCGGAGAGTACAAAAAGTTGTATTTATTTGGGTTCACGGGTTATGCACAATAATTGTTGTTAAAACGGTCCGTCTAGTTTATTTTGTAGATCAGGAAACGATTATGCACAAAGGCATAAGATTGTCATGCTAATTTAAATTGCAGCATTGACCGTGATTTATGTAATACCGATTTGGTTTCCTGCGTTAGTGAGCAAATATACGAGGGCGAATCAAATATGAATGTTATGGATATTGCATGGATGTTGCATGGATATGTAAAGTATAGGTGAGTAAGTCAGTTTGGCTCGTTAGAGTTAGTACCATCATGTTTGAGCAAGAGGTGCACAGGTCTGAAACATGCTTGTGAATGATCCATGTCCTTGATCGGCAAAAAAATTGGGAAAACCTTTGGACGAGCAGAAATGGGACAAGCCGAGATTCGTCTTTCTACTGGGAAAGTTCTTGCAACGATTTCTTGGGATTGCAGCTGGCACACTGCTCATAGATTTTCTCACTCATAAATTTTCTCAGGATACTCATATTCGAAACGCGATTTTGCTGCATGCTGCTTTAGCTGCATTAACTCAAGAAAACATGGACAAAATGCATTGGAAAATACACTAGAACAACCACCCTACAGTCCCGATTTATCACCATGTAACCGTCACATGTTTAGGCTACTCAAAGAAGAATTAGGAGGTCATCACTTCAACGACTACGAAGGTGTGGAAAAGTTTGTGCGGAATTGGTTGCAGACATTACTAGATTCATTCTTTGATGATGGGGTTAAAAAACTTTGGGATTCAAAGAGGAGATTACTTAGAAAAATAAGATGTATTTCGGTTCGTATTTGATTCGCCCCCGTACATGAAATATGGTAACTTTGTTGCGCAAAAATGCATTTTTCGGAATTGGACTGTACCGATTAATTAAACAATGTTTTGTCTCGGTTTACTAATCTTTTCATCGCATCAAAAAGCTCTGTATAATCAACCTATTTACGTGAAGCACGTGTGGAAATCCTTTTAATCCTCAATATCCTCGATATATTTTTTCTTTTATCTTAAACAATATAAATAAATTCCACCGTTTTTATTGAACGTGTTAGTGAATCGTAATGTATATCAAAACACTTATATTATTTGCTATATAATGCGTTTTAGTAGGATTTCGTTTGAAGAAAACATTATTTCTGCAATCTATTTCGCCTTTCCTAATTAGACTTTAGGTAAACACTAATTAAAATATCAAAATATTTACCCAGGGTACATTTTCACAACAATGGAGCAATATAATCAACGTTTGATACTTAGTTGCATTATTTTAATAGGGTTCACCTTCAATTAGTAATAATAAAAATAGTCGATCAGTCACTCCAAGAATTTTTTATTGGTATATTAAATTCACTGGTAAGGTAACATTGTTACCAATACGAGGGTAGGGTAAAAAATTCTTGGCCTGATACAATGAGAGCGCTCCAGTTTTCTCTTTGGGACATTTATAATTCATTCTAGAACTCTCTAAAACCATTTAGAACGGTTTAGAACCAATTAGGACGCTCCCGAAACGTTTAGAACTGTCTTGAATCTAGAACCATAGAATGCTCCAGAACAATTAGAACTGTTTAGAACGCTCCAAAAGCATTTAAAACTATCTAGAACCATTTAGTACGCATCGGAACCATATAGAACGCACCAGAATCATTTAAAACTGTCTAGAACCAATTAGAACTCTCCAGAATCATTTGGAACTGTCTAAAACCAATTAGAAGGCTCCAGTATCATTTGAAACTGCCTAGAACCATTTAGTATTCTTCAGAACCATATAGTGCGCTTCAGAATCATTTAGAATTGTCTTGAAGTAAAGATTTTGACTTAATAAGAATAGAAATGTAATTTTTCAACTAAAAGTCGCGCTTTCATTGTCAGGCCGAGAACTTTTCACCTGTAAATTTTTTTAAGGCATCTCTATACTCGATAATTTGTTCCCATCTTTATAATATACATCAACATTCGAGCTGTCATTGATATTTTTGGATATGTCTAGTCAACCAAAGTTGTGTTGTGTATACTCAACCACCTAATTTTCGTCTCTTAAAAAAAGATTGGGTCTTTTATGGGTAAAAATGCATTTTTTTTACGTACGTGGAGACCTTCAAAGCAACAACTAATTAATTTCTCATCGAGTTTCATTCAGTACGAAAACATTTTAAAAACAAAGCAAACAATGCCGGTGTTTATCACAACTCGATGTCAGTCACATACCCGTTTCTCTGTAGAGATATTTAAACGTTCGTTTTATTTATCAGAAATTATATATATTTTTAGTCGAGAGTGGAGCGTTTTGTCATTCTCTATCTATCTTTAGATAGAGGATCGAAATCAAAATCGTATTTAAGCCGTCGTTGCGTCGCTACTCCCGGCATTTTTATCACGAACACGCCGCTTTACAGCGAATGCATCGCAGCGTTCTGTGTCAATTCGAATTTCGCCGATAAATTAAAAACGAAAAATACGGACAAATAGCCGGTTTGCGTCGTTAAAAAATAAAGAAAACCTTGGTGTAAAACTCGATATACTCGTATACAGTTCATTAACAACGTTACCGTTTTAACAGTTCGATTGACGTACGTGACTTAATTTGAATTTGTAATATATTGTAACTTTTTGTAAACAATTTCGGCTTTTTGTGGTTTTTTTGTGGACCTTTTGTATCGGGCGAGGATGGGACAAAGCGTGTCTTCGTATCCTTCGGGAGTATCCAGAAATAAACACAAAGGTTGGTGTGATTTTGTTGATTATAATATGCGATTGTCGTAAATTCGATGATGGCACTGTTTGAATTATTTATTAAGTGTAATATTTTGCGTGCGTATTTTTAATTAGTTACACTTTCATTGTTCTGCGACTAGAGGAAAATTATTATCTTCTGTAGTTGAAAAAAAGATTAATTACGTGACTTATTACGCAATACTTTACAAACAAATTAAATAGTTTTCGCTATTAATTTTGAATTTAATTTCTTCAGAAATTCTAGCTAGGTTTAAAAATTGATACAAAATAATATTAAACAAGTTTTTATCATCGTTAAACGATTTTATACCTATAATTGAAAACGGCAAATTACACTGAATTTGAGTAATTTTGTACAAATTTTCGTATGCTTGATATTTATGAAAACCTTGTATAATGTATCCCAATGTGTAGATCAAAGTCAATTACATTTACCTTTCCTTTTTCCATCGTGCATAATTTATCGGGCGTAATTTTGTTGCCATTGACAATCCCGTAGGAAAAATCGAGTCAATTCGTCGGCGCATGCATGTTGACCGGTCGTATTCCTAAACTATAAAGTATAGCGAAAATACACCCATTTCGATGGTTTCTTTTTGCCCGGAAACGCGCTCGAATTTTTCCGGCTTTTCGCGCAATGATCGGGCACTAACGAATTTGATAATTGTGGGTGATAGTAAGTAAAAATTAGTTCGGGAAGAATATATTATTGGTTCCTAAGAATCTATCTGTATTAATACATTGATGTTTATTGATTTTTAGTGTGTGGGGATAATCCCCGAAATTTCCCGAAATTCAATTTGGTATTGGTAGAGTAAGTAGGAAAAATTCTTTGTGTTTGAAACGCATACGTTTCCTTTGCGATTCGTATTCGTTTCCGAGCAGCATTTCCAATAGCTCGTCGCCTATTCAATGGATTCGATTATCTCTCGACTTTTTGTTCAAGGCTTTTCCTTAATCGATAGTAAATGTGTTATTATAAATGATTAAAACGCCAGTTTGTAAAAAGCGAATGATCGTTGAATAACTCGGCGAATATATTCTTACATTGCGATCGTTGAAACGGTTAAATTTCACTGCGGTTGAGGTGAAGAAAAATAATGCGAAAATCAAAATCGATTTCGATGAAATAATGGGCATTATAATCGGCTCGTGCGTACCCGAAGAGGAATCGGAAAACAACAATAGATTCCATCAAGTGGTTTATGGTAATTTCATTTTATGTGTATGTTTCGAACATTTTTATCTGGCTATTCATTTATGCACCCTATTCGATGAGGTAGAATGAATTTGAAGTAATAAATAAGACATTTTTATAGTCATTATTAAACACTTGAGAGTTTCTTTTAAAAATGACAGTTCTGACAGAAAGAATTATTGTGCATGTAAAAATACTATGAACTCAAAGAGGCTTGATTGTTTGGTTAGCCGAGTACTAAAATTGAGCAATATTTCGTTTTTATTTGACACATTTGACAGCCTCTTATTTATGTGTCATTCGTATACTATAATAAATTAATGACTAATTCGAAATTATGGTTTATTTTGCGGTTTCCTTTCGTTAGTAACCTTGATGAGTACTTGCAAATATAATAAAAAAAATGTATTTTCCTTTAAAAATACAAAAATTCTCTACCTATAACTACCTTATAAATCTAGGTACCTATAGTATTGACAATACGAGGGTAGGGTGAAAAATTCTCGTCCTGAAACACACTGAGTGCGCTCCAATCAGCAAAATTTCTTGTTTCCTCTTTGGGACATTTATAATTCATTTTAGAACCGTCTAGACTAGAATCATTAGAACGCTCCAGAGACATTTTTTTAGAATTATCTAGAACCAATTGGAACGCTCCAGAATCATTTATAACTGTCTAGAACCATTAAGTATGCTTCGGAACCATTGAGAACGCACCAGAATCGTTTAAAACTATCCAGAACCCTTTAGAAAGCTCTAGAATCATTTGGAACTGTGTAGAACCATTTAGTACTCTTCCGAACGCTTCAGAATCATTTAGAACTTTTTCGAACAAAAGATTTTTACTTATATAAGAAGAATAATGTAATTTTTCAAAATTCAAAATCGCGGTCTTTCATTGTCAGGCCGACAACTTTTCACCTTACCTTTGTAATTGGTAGGTTATTGATCTCTCGTAAATCATAGCCTCCATCGATCGAAACCACTTATGTATGTTATTTACGAGTATATGCGATAAATCAATTGAATATTAATTGTTTTATTCGTTTTGTTTTCAGGTATTAAATGTCCAGTATGCAGCAAATTTGTGATCCCTGACGATATAGAATGTCATTTGGTTATGTGCCTAACTAAACCTCGGCTATCTTACAACGGTAAGTTAAAAAGTACTAAACTTTTGTTAACAAATACAGCAAACAAAAGTATTTATTCTATTGTATTTGAAAACCTCTCTAAAAGGGAACTAATTGAATTGTATATTTCCTTTTAATTTATAATAAGAATTAGTAACGTCGTAGCAGAATAGTGTCCATGAAAAACTAGTTCTTTTCTTGTATTCAAATACGTTGACTCTTACTAAACAGTTACCCCGCAATTACAATAATATACGAGGGAATATTTAAATGGCATACTTACTGACAAAAAAGTATCCGGAATTTCTTATTTAAATTACCTGCACTTAATATTTTTAACTTTTTCAAGTTTATGTAGGTGACACTGTTCTTAATTAGCAAGCAAAAAAATAGAGAGATTTCTCAATTAGCTTGGTTGTAGCAGCTGATTTAATCACTTCATCTCAGTAGTGCTCCGCGATTTTTGCAATGGACAAAAATAATGAACAAAGAGTTTGCCTCATAATTTGGGATTTAAACGGAATTTTGTGCATGTTGCGCATTGAGGCTCGGCTCGTTCCGATAGAGCAGAATTTGCTTTAAAAACGATATAGTCAACTCTGGTCGATACAGACTTGCTGATTCATGTGAAGTACTATCGACCAGCCCCCTTACTCACCAGATATAGCCTAGGTACACATTTTTTTTGTTTCACAAACTCAAATTGTTACTTCGGGAATCTCGTTTTGACTCCATAAATGCCATCAAAGAAAATTCGCAAAAGCTAAAAGCGTTACCTAAAAGGGTCTATAAAAATGCTTCGATGATTGGAACAGGCGTCTGACTATGTGTATCGCTTCAAAAGGAGCATATTTTGAAAAAGATTCAAGAAAAAAATATTTATTTTCCAATTTTCCGGGTACTCTTGTCACTGTGTATTCTATTTGGAAACCTCTGTAAAAGGTAATTAATTGGATATTTCCTTTTAATTATAATAAGAATATTAATAGTAACGTCGTAGCAGAATCATAGTGTCCATGAAAAACTTGTTCTTTTCTTGTCTTCAAATACATCGACTATTACTAAACAGTTACCCCGCGATGATAATAATAATAACAATATTCGAGGGAATATGTAAATGGCATATACCTGTTTTCGAATAATGCGCGAGAGTTCGTTGTTTGGTAAAGAAATTAAAATTCCCATCGTTCGTATACTGGAAAACAGATAAACGACCTTAGGAAGTTATTTTAGACTCATCTGGTGCGTTGACTTTTAAATAAATATTAGTTCACTCGCTTTAGCGTTTATACGAAATAATAAAAATGTAGCGCCTATTTTGAACGCGCAGTAGGAGATTTGCTTGTTGATATTTTTTTTCCGTTCTCTCTTCGCATTGTGTTAATAAGATTATTCTCGGCGTTTTGCGCGATGAGAAGGAATAATAAACTATTGCGCGTTTGTTGCTTTACATCCTGTTTTTCGCCTATTTGTTACAATAAATTTACGTAGTACTTAAAAATTAAGTGTGTTATAGTCGAGCCGGTCGGGGGAAAAATGAATTAAATCGATTAGCTAATTAGAAACCGGATTGTCTAATATTTAATTTATTTGTTGTATGTATTTTGGTAGACTTGTTTTCGATACAAACATACATTAATCAGTATAATTTTGTTATATGTCGAGTTCTACACTACTTATTAAGATAGATAACAAAATTGTAGACGTAAATATTGTATATTTTATTAATTTTTTTTTTTAGAAAAATATTGTGTTTTTGGTGAAACATTAGTAGTGTTTTGTATAAAATTGTATATTCATCGTGTGGAAAGATTTACTCGAACGCTTCATAGTCATTTAGAACTGTCCAGAATAATTAAGAACTGTTTAGAATCATTCAGAACTGTCTAGAATCATTGAGAACTGTCTAAAATCATTTAGACCTGTCCAGAATCATTTAGAACTGTTTACAATCACACAGAACTGTCTAGAATTATTTAGAACGCTCCAGAATCTTTTAGAACTGTCTATAACTATTTAGAACGCTCCAGAACCACTTAGAACTGTCTATAACTCTTTAGAACGCTTCAAATCCATTTAGAATTATCTAGAATCATTTAGAAAGCTCCAGAAAAAGATAAAAATCGCTTGGAAAGCTTTTAGAACTGCTTGGAAATAACTAAAAATGACGTCATTGTCATTTAAAACCGTACGAACTTTACTATTATTTTGGAACTTTTGTATAAATATTATTCCACTTAATAATATTGCATTTGTTTTGACATAGATGTTTAGATTTTTTTATGATAATGAAGTCTAAAATTTGGGCATTCAAGGTAAAATTCCATTAATGAAATTCCCGAAATTACTTAATACACTCTCGGATATTAAATAAAATAAATGTGCATTAGCTTAGTAACAGTCAGACCCCGTTATCTATCGTTTACGTCCTAAACCGTATCAATGCCATTTTCGTTTACACAAAGTCTTGCCTGATAATTGAACGGTTTTTTTCACTGTTTAATTTTAATATTATAATAACGATAGTAAATACACGCAGATAACCGCCAGAAGAAAAAAACGAAAATTGCGATAATAAACAACACAAAAGTTAATAAATAAGTAATAAGTAACGGCTTTTATTATTGAATCTAGCAATATTTTATTACACAAGTCGATAAATGTAGTCTACATTTTATTTATTTTACATTATTAAACTTTAATGTTATGCTCAAAAATTTGTTATTTTTGTAAACGCTCACCTCTAGTATAGTGCAATTTTCCCTATACATGTTAATTCATTTTAGTTTGCAATATGTTATATAGACTATGAGTGTCATAATGACAACTTCTATTAGATACTTATAACGGAAAAAGATAGTGACATTGTGTCATTGCAACTTTTTACTCTGACAACTGTCATTTTAGTAATCTTTCTTTGTTCAACTTATAGAAATGACCATATTGTCATCTGAACTGAAGCAAGATGTATGTTATTAGCAAGTATTAAAGGTGGACGTTTCGATATGTAACAGTTTGGAACGCGCATAATATCGATTTTCTTAGTAGTTTAATTATTAATGTTTTCTTTTGAATTCCATTGCAGAAGACGTACTGACTGACGACAAAGGAGAATGTGTCATATGTTTAGAAGATTTAAGTCAAGGTGATGTAATTGCTCGCCTTCCTTGCCTTTGTATATATCATAAGACGTAAGTATTAATTCCAAAGCGTTATTTTCAAAAGTATAGGTACATTTAGAAATATTCTCTCAACAATTGCAAGTAATCAACGGTTTTGGCTATGAGACAAGTGACAGGTAACCTGTCATAAACGTTCTAAATGTTACATAGAACGCCAAAACAGCTGGTGCATATATTGAATTGCATAGTAGGCATTTGGAATGTTCTTTGTATACACCATAAGTATTAATTCCAACGCATTATTTTTATGATTATGTTTCGATATATTCTAATATCCCGTCTCAAAAGGGTGTAAACAATTGCATCTAATCATCCATTTTGGCGAAAAGACAGGTGACAGGTAACCTGTCATAAAAGTTCCTAAATGTCGCATAGAACACCAAAATAGCTGGTGCACATATAGAATTGAATTGGAATGAACTTAGACAAACAATAACTAGTGTTATAACTTTGTCTTGGCAAGCGATTTAAATTGCAATTATTTCTGTTGCAGGTGTATAGATCAATGGTTCGAAATAAACAGATCGTGTCCCGAACATCCTGGCGATTAGCGGTCGAATTAGATGGGACGAAATCGATATTAGAAATTGTACATATGTAAATATTTTTTTTTATTTGTAAGTGATATGAAATTTATTCGGCTCGGCTTTGTCGGAAAAATTGTATTTGTACTGAGAAAAGCGGAGATGGTCGAACGATTGTAGTAACAGCTCGAGAGGTGACATTTTTTTTATCGATTGTGATCGATTTTATGAAGACGCGTTTTTAGTACGCGTTTTTGTAATGATCTAGTCCAGGGAGATTTCTCTTGATGCTGTTTGGATGAAATATATTTTTGATACTATCCTATGGTGCAGCTGTTTACTTCTATAATTTTACTTTGGTTTCGGATATGTGGTTTAAGTTTTATACAAACATTGTGTTAATTTAGATGCATCGATTGATTAGTTTTGATTTCTTGTGGAAAACGTTTAGGATTTAAGTCCATCACATTTTTTATAGACTGAATTTGTGTAATTGAAGTTTCAATTCCGTTGATTCCCGTTTCGTTACGTTATAGGAGGTGGGTACAAGTAGGAATTGAAGCAATCTTAATTATTAAAGAGATGTTAATAACTAAAAGAAATATTGTATAATGTAATTTTTGTATGGAAAGCAACTAGCATAGTTAAATTTAATCTGTAAAAAGTACGGGAATATAAGTGAATGAAATTGCTCAAGCCAGCAAACGTGGAAAAATTGAACACAATGACTTATAATCTTGGTACTTAACCGATTAGATATGAAATTTTTTTCTTAACTCCTAAATGATGTAAACCGAAAATAAGAATTATGATTTTTTTTATACTTACACGACCAGCACACCACAAAATTCTATTGGAACTAAAGAACAATATTCTAAAAACATTTAATGTGTTTTCACCATCCATTTTCTTCGAAGAATTATTTTAATTCATTCTCTTTTTGCCTGAAACAATACCAAATTTTCGTATTGGGACAGATTGAATACTTGGCAATCGATTAGCTTTTAAATCAATGTGCTGGTAACATTAATTCGAATGTTAGATCTGTTCAAATGCGTAAATTTTGTACTAAAATTTAATTAAAAAATGATTTTTCCTGATGGAGGAATCGTTTGGTTGAGGCGTAGTGATACAAAGACAAATCGATAAAAGATAGGTGTATTGTTTGCATTTAATTTAATAATTGCAGACTATTTACTGTGCAATTAATCTATTTATTCTGTAAAACTGTTTGTACAAAGTCGACAGCAAATTTTTACTGTTTGTCTCTTGGGGTACAGGCATTATTTGGAATAAATAGTTTAATGAATGATAATTAAATATAACGATCGAATTTATCCCGTTTTAGTAAAGCTCTTGAATATCAATTTGACGATGTGAATTTTTATAAAAAGAATAAAACAACCAAAGACGTTTAATTAATGAATCAATTAATTAAAAAAAAGTGATTTATAAGTAATAAGGTGCTACTTTTGGACTATTAGTATTTTTTAAGTTTTAATTGTTACCTATATTTTTAGTACGATTATGACATTTTCGGACTATTATCAATTTGTGTTGTGTTGATTCTTTTTGTAATTTGTTGTAACGGTTAATACTTCTTCTAAAGAAGTGCCATATTTTTATCATTAATGAATGAATATTTAGTGTATAGACTTGTAGTAACAATAAAATTGTAACATTTTTTTATGCATTTTTATTTGCTGCTCCAAAGAGCATAACAGTAATTTCTAATTCCCTGCCTAAAGGGAACATTATTATCACTAAGAAAAAGATTTTTTCTTCATAAAATTTGATATCGACTGTGACTTTATATCTCTCAAAAGTTCGTAATATTTTAGTCCACAAATTTTTACTACGTATGATAGACTGTGACTTTATAATTTTCAACGAAATTTTTACCATATATTTTTGCGGTCTACCTTAGACTGTGACTTTACAATTTCTCTTCAAAATTCCGTACAATCTTTGTCCACAAATTTTTACAACGTATCTTAGACTGTGACTTTATAATTTTCACTAATTTTTTACCATACATTTTTGCGATGTGTCTTAGACTGTGACTTTATAATTTTGAAGTAATTTTAACTATTTTTTACCGTACATTTTTGCGATGTATCTTAGACTGTGACTTTATAATTTTCAAAGAATTTTGTACTATTTTTTTACCACACATGATAACAAAACTCCTTAGACTGTGACTTTATAATTTTCACTGATTCTTTACCATACATTTTTGCGATGTTTCTTAGATTGTGACTTTATAATCTTCAAGTAATTTTAACTAATTTTTTACTGTACATTTTTGCGATGTGTCTTAGACTGTGACTTTAATTTTTAAAGAATTTTTTACTATTTTTTTTCACACATGTTAACGAAGTTCCTTAGACTGTGACTTTATAATATATCTTAAAAATTCGTACAATCTTTTTGTCCACAAATCTTTACGATGTATCTTAGACTGTGACTTTATAATTTTTAAAGAATTTAATTTTTTTTTCACACATGTTAACGAAATACCTTAGACTGTGACTTTATTATTATTTTACTTATTTTTAATACATTTTTACAGGATCTTATACTATGGTTTTAGAAAGAAAAAAATGGAATACTTTTTTACTTTATTATAATACTACATCACAATACAAAAGAAATTCTAGGTATTCATTTACCCGTCGATATCTGTCGATCAAAAATGTTCTCTTCAGTAGCTCACATCTGAAACAACAACAAATACATTAACTAAACGATCAAATAATATATCCCTATTCAACAAAAAGAAAAATCAAACGAATGAATCACCACAATCAAACCCTACATGATCGTGCGTTTGTGTTTGTATGAAAGCACCCAGTCAAGCAGAAAACTTTAGGGTTCCACCTGCACCGCTTTTACACTCCTCATCCTCATACCCATGTCAACATCGCCTACAATAACAACAACACCACCCACAGTGACACATTGTACACCTTAAAACTCGGAGGAAAAGCGCCTTTCCTTCTCCAATCCGATACGAAAAGGAAAGCCGAAATAATCGATATCGGGAAGGACGGCGCACGAACGAAAATTTCCACTCAACACACACACATCAGTAAGAAAAATATCGAGCTGAAAGACAGTTCGAAGATGCTTGTCAACGACTGCAAAAACGCGAGGTAGATCGATGGACAAATTCGCGATGAATACGATTTAATTTCGCCGATGCGACAACATGAATCGGTACACGATTCTCCATCAATTAGGCGACGGTACTTACGGTTCCGTGGTACTCGGCCAGAGGAAAGACACCGGCGAAAAGGTGGCCATCAAGAGGATGAAGAGGAAGTACTATTCTTGGGACGAAGCCATGAACCTTAGGGAAGTTAAGGTACGATATTTTAACATGTTTAAACGTCTCATTTTGACAAGGCTCAGTACTAACTATAAACTAGTTTAGATACTTAGCAAGGAATTCTTAAAATTTAGTACTAATGAGGTCAAATGAAGACCAATGAAATTAATTTATAACCACCATTATTTTTCAGTCTTTGAAAAAACTCCACCATTCGAACGTAGTGAAATTGAAAGAGGTCATCAGAGAGAACGATATCTTATACTTCGTTTTCGAATACATGCAGGAAAATTTGTACCAACTCATCAAAGACCGAAGAGTGCCTTTTCCCGAATCAGTAGTTAGGAATATCATTTATCAGGTAAATAAATAACTGGCGAATTTATGCACACCTCCAACACCGTAAATTACTTCAACCTACATACACGCTAGTTTCGGCCGAGACACGCAAACATTGCATAAATTGACCGATTTTTTAACGCAACTTATCGAACAAAACGTCCGCAAAATGTATGCGCGAAAATAAAACGACCAGATTTTTATTTCCTGCGAAAGGTACTTGTTTACACACGGCGCACTTTAAATAAGGTCAGAGCAATGAAATATTCATCGAGTGATAGCTCTTTGCCGAATGATCGATAAGACTTTAGGTTTTTTATATCAACTTTCGACTTAATTATGCCGGTTGAAGTTGATGATACGGTTGTCGTCAATACACGCATCACAATCATTAAGCAGATAAAATAACAATTAGAATAGTAAATTTTACGGTTTATTGTTAGCGCAGACCTAAATTCGATTAAACGACAATTATTTAAAGGATACAGCTGCCATTTATCGATACTCGGTATTTGCTTTCCCTGACCTGTTGAAATTACTATATTGACCCAACCTTGGCATAATAATTATCTTGTTTTATTAATCTTTGATTAATATCTATTTGTTTCCATTTTTTCACGGGTAGGGTAGGTTTTTTTGGGTTTCTTGGGTTCCCGTTATGTAGTTAGTAGTTTATCTAGCTTAATCCGTTACATATACAAAAAGTCCATATTTATAAAAATGAACCATTTACTTTGAAGTAAAAGGTAGAAGCAAAATGTAAGTGGTAAAGGTTTTAAAACCTCCGTTTAAAAAACCTTTTGCTTTAAAGCAACAGCAGTGTCCTCGAAGCAAAACCTCCCTTCCTTCACCTCTTTATACACCTATAAAAGTTTATACTTCTTTTTATAAATATACAGCCATTACCTTTTCTAACTGGTTTCTTCTTCTACTTAAACATCTCATAACTCCCAATGATTATTTGCGAATTTTTATCCACCATTTTCCATCATCATTCCAGGTGTTACAAGGGCTGGCGTTCATCCACAGGCATGGCTTTTTCCACCGCGACCTCAAGCCGGAGAACATCCTCTGTTCGGGCACCGAGACGGTGAAAATCGCCGATTTCGGGCTGGTGCGCGAGATCAGATCGCGACCGCCCTACACCGATTACGTGTCCACCAGGTGGTACAGGGCGCCCGAGGTGCTGCTGCACTCCACCACCTACAGCAGCCCCATCGACCTGTGGGCGCTCGGCTGCATAGCCGCCGAGGTCTACACCTACAGGCCCCTCTTTCCCGGCTCCACCGAAACGGACCAACTTTACAAAATATGCGCTCTGAGAGGCACTCCCGACGAGGTTAGTTATTCGATATGGACCAAAAAATAGTACTACTAGAGTATAAGAGATGAGATTCTAATATTGAGAGATGTAATAATTAACTTTTCTGTTTGATGCGCAGGATAAATGGCCGGAGAGTTACCAATTGGCCGGAGCGTTAGGTTTTAAATTTCCGTATTTCGCCAAAACTCCACTCACCGATGTGGTACCGCAAGCCGGACAAAACGGGATTAATTTGATCGAAGAACTGCTCGAATGGAATCCGGTACACCGACCGACGGCTCAAGGAGCTCTCAAACATCCATACTTTCAGGTAAACTCCCAGAAACCACACCTAGTCTATAGATAACTACCTTGACTTTGAGTCCTTTGAAGATGACTTCTATAATAAAATTTAACTTGATAAGACTCCAAAAGGTACCAATCTTTTCTCATTTGCAAAGGAAGGGAAGGGATGTAAAGGGAAGGAATGGAAAGGGGAGAGAAGGGAAGGAAAAGGAAGGGAAAGGAAGGGAAAGGAAGGGAAAGGAAGGGAAAAGAAGGGAAAGGAAGGGAAAGGAAGGGAAAGGAAGGGAAAGGAAGGGAAAGGAAGGGAAAGGAAGGGAAAGGAAGGAAAAGGAAGGAAAAGGAAGGAAAAGGAAGGAAAAGGAAGTGACTCTATTCATCTAAATTCGGTCCTGCCTAAAACATTTATTCATGAACATATCCTGTATTGTTGCAGGTTGGCCAGTTCAGCGGTCTCCAATCGAATCGCCAAATCCAAGCGAACAGTGCCTTACAAAACCACGCCAACGGAATGCTGCAAAAGGTGACCACCCTAGAGGACGAAGCCCAGCTGTTCTCGAATCCCCAGTCCCAGATGCAAATCCAAGCGACCGGCCGGTCGTTGATCAAGCGCGTCAACGGCAATTCGAACGGGAACGTGGCGCCGGCCATGCAACCATCGGTGCAGATCAACATCCAATCGCTGATCAAGCCGATGGAGGACAAGCAGAGGATGCAGCAGGCGCCCATCGTGTACAGCTTCGGGCAGTCGGATTACGGCAGTAAATACTTGCCGTCGGTGTTCGGGAATATGACCAACATGAACGCCAGAGGTATGATGGTGCCCAATAAGAAGATCACCTGGGGGATGGAGACGAATTTCGAGTACGAGGACGATTTCGCCGATATCTTAGGGTAAGAGTGTACTCCTTAATCGAGCTAATCTGGCGTTTATTGATAAGAATATATGAATTTTGTAAGAAGAAAGAGTAAATAAATGTGTGATACTGGTTGTTTGAAGTTTAAAGAGCCCAAAATTACCAAAAAAAATGCTTGTATCATGGTACTTCAGTATTAATCAGAAATGCCTACTTCGGTAGTGTATTGTGCTTTATTAAATTTTTATTTTTACGGAACCGTATGTTTAGCCACAACCAGTAAACTCGAGTACACCATGTTTAGTAATAATCGTTTGTTTCGTCCAAGAAGCAAAATAAAAATGCCGCAATCGGATAAAAAGAAGGACGCCAACAAAGTAAATTTGAGCCAGTTCAACCTGCAAGACATTCTCGAACCGTTGGCGAAGGCAAGCGCAGGAACCATCAGGAATCAGTACATCAACGTGCCCAGGTACTTGAACGGACAACATCCCGGCAGAAGAGACTCGAACGTTAGCTTGTTTTCCAACGGCGGCGTTCAAACCAAACAAAATAGTAAGTAAACCTCTTTGGTGGAATATTTTAACGTCAATATAGCCTTGCATGTCAAAAATGACAAGAGCATCTGTCAAGAATGACAAGAGTATATTATGCCACGGTCGCATATAACAGGTCAGAAAACTCCTGTAGAGGGGGTGTTGCGGATGATGTGATTCTCGACAGAGGGCGCTAGTAAAATGACAAGTACTTATGTCAAAAATGCCTGTGGTTCCAAGTTCCAACGCCAGTGAATATCCAAGGATTGCTCAATACGACTCGAGCCTTTTACGCACTCATGTTAGAACTAAAGTTAGCGCAATATTAGCATAACCAACTATTGCGTATAAGAATTTACAATAGTATTTTCATTTGTAGATAAACTGGATATGCAACCGACTTGGACGGATTTCGGCGATTTGAGTTCGGCGAAGCGGCGATTTGGAAATTTAAAACTCTCGAACGCGAACGGTTTCGATCTGACGGCCAAGTGATGAGATACGGCGGATCGCATTCGAACAAATTTCTACGGGGGACTCGTTAAAACTGTGATAGTCGTTATTTTTTCTACATGCTAATTAGATGTCACGTATATTCATGTTCGATAAAATAGTTAACGAATCTTACACTAAATAAATTAAATACGTTTATGCGGGCGCGCTGTTTTTTACCTGTTAAATGGATGAATGTTAATGGACGCATCTACTGGAGCTCGAACTGGCAGTGTGCGATCGTCTCGTTTTCGATTTGGTGTTCAATTTCGCTTCGAGGTAGTCGATTTTTTGGTGGAGTTGAAAGTTTTCGTATAACAGCCCGTTATTTTTTCTTATCTACAAATACAGCAATTTAAATAAACCATATTTTTAAATAATTACGAAGTTATGGTGCCGGTATAGTATGCGATCTACTCTACCGCATCTGGTTAAGTATTAGGTCTACTTTATCGCATATGGTTTAGTATGCGGTCTACTCTATCGCAAATGGTTTAGTATGCGCTCTATCTAAATTAATTTTAATACAAAGTATTTATTCCAAAGTATAACAGCAAGATTTTGAAAATTGACCCTTCATTAAGCAGAAGAAAAAAATACTCCAATGGCGCTCCAATCAGCAAAATTTCTGGTTTCGTCTTTGAGACATTTATAATTCATTCTAGAACTGTCTAAAACCATTTAGAACGCTCCAGAGATATTTAGAACTGGCTAATTCCCGGTTTCTTCACCTTTCACGTTCAACTATCGCTTACTATTGAGAAGATAAACTAAACTGGGAGGAGTTAACGTTATAGTTGTTACATACATACAATTTCGAGCCGAGAAATCCGATTACGAAGGAAAACTGTAGTTAATTGAAAAGTTAGAGTTAACTTTCAGTTATTGCACAGTCGAGAAACCGGGCATAAAACAATTTAGAACTCTCCATAATCATTTAGAACTGTCTATAATCATTTAGAACTGTCTATAATCATTTAGAACGCTCCAGAATCATTTATAACTGTTATAGAATTATTTAGAACTGCCTAGAATAATTTCGAACGCTCCAGAATCATTTACAACTATCTCGAACTAAAGATTTTTGACTTAATAAGAAGAATAAAGTTATTTTTCAATAGAAAAACGCGGTCTTTTGTCAGGTCGTGAACTTTTCACCTTTAAAAGCTGATTAAATGGGCTACTTTTCATTTTCACCCTTTATTTGGGCGACGAAATATGTAGTTAGATCGCAAATATTACAGTAGATCGCAAATATTACGGTAGACCGCATACTAGACCGGCACGGAATTTACTTCTTGAATGAGCAGAGCTTTTTCTGAATTTTCGGCGAGTCTCAGTTGTTCCATCAACGCTTGATCCTGTTCCATGGTCTGCTTGTTCAGTAACCCTACGAATTTATTATGTACCATTTTCAAGGTGTCCCTTTCCGTTTTTAATTTGTGAATCTGCAAAAATTTTAGCTATAATCAATCATTTCCTCGATTCAAACCCCTACTTTTCGATTTTTTCGGTTCTTTATCTTCCTAATTTCCTCTAAAAGTTTGGTGAATTCAATTTCGTATTTCTTAATAGTATATTTTAAATTCTCCACTGCTTCCTTTAAATTAACGTTCTCTTCATGATATTTCTTCAGTTCTTGATGTCTCATGTCCAAAATTTTCAACAGACCGTTTTGATTTGCCACCAACTCTTCATACCTAAAACACACAAATTCTTTACTGTGATCAAAAATAATTCAATTAAACGAGTTCGAGTTACTTGTATTGCAAATGCACCAAGCTCATTGTACTGCAAGAAGTGTTAGAATTAGTTCCTCGTATGTTTCTACCATCATCTAACTGGAGCATATCTACGTAGTATAAGGGGGATATTAAAGTGGATCGAGTGGTAATGTAAATCGTACTTAAAAGCTGTTTGTTTTCTTTCTGAGCTTCTTGCAGCTGGGAACAAATGCTCTGATCTCTTAATCGATCGATTTTCATCATCATTAAAATATGTCTGTCCAACTGGTCGGATTTGAACAGGCTCTCGTCTAATTCATTAGCCGAATCGTAGACTTTCTTCAGGCGTTTTTGAAGACCGTTTTTCTCGTCCTGGATCATTAGGAATATGTCAGTTTTAGTGCGTACACCTTACCGTACTCTCGTATACTTTACGGGTGTCTAGCATTAAAAAAATTGCTTAATACGAAGTGTTTTACCTAAAAAGAGAAAAAAATCATTAACAAGACTTTCAAATAATTGAGGTTAACATTGATAGCCATATGACAGGCTAAAAGAATCGTAATAATTGTTTTGTTTCTATTTAAAATTTATATTTAACAAATAGGCAACAAAAAACATTGCATAAACATAATAAACATTGTACTAAGTAATAAGTAGTTAGAGAAACATATAAAACAAAACGATTTATGTTTCATGTAGTAATCATAGTCGTAATTAAAATCTAATTTCTAAAGTCAAAATTCAACTTTTCTGGTATGGAGAATTCGTAACGTATGCGTCGTATAGTTGTTTACCCCACCACGATTCCAAATCGAAGGGCTTGAATTCTTGCAAAGCTAAGCAGGGTTCTTCCTCGTAATAGCAAACGCCAGGCTCACCTAAAATTTTTCATTTAATTAAATTGGTAAATAAAACAACAACTCGGTGTCGGTCTAGTATGTAGTCTAACCTACCACATCTGGTTTAGTATGCAGTCTATTATACCGCATCTGGATTAGTATGCGGACTACCTCAATTTATTTTATACAAAGTATTCATTCTAGAACCATTTAGAACGCTTCATAATCATTTACAAATGTCTAAATTGATTTAGAACGCTCCAGAATCATTTAGAACTGTTCTAGAATCATTTAGAACGCTCCAGAATCATTGAAAACTGTCTAAAACGATTTAGAAAGCTGCAGAATCATTTAGAACTGTCACAAACTAAAGATTTTGACTTAATAAGAAGAAAATGCAATTTTTCAATAGAAAATCGCGGTCTTTCGTTATCAGGCCAAGAACTTTACACCTTACTCCTGTATACCTATCTTCATTAACAAACGAAAAGATTTTACTAGTATTATGTATGGAATAGCAGGTAATTCTTCAATTTGTGTAGGAGACAATGAAACTGTACAGGAGATAGAAAAAAGTTTAAATTGGACAAATATTTGCAGTTTTATGAGACATGTTCAGTTTTGTGACATTTTTAGTTTTGCAAAATATGACACCTGTCAAAGTATTTAATTATACTTGGGCGACGAAATATGTAGGTAGACCGCAAATATTGTGGTAGACCCCATACCAGACCGGCACCCAAACACTCTTACCTTCATTGTTGTCAGAATTGTCTTGCTCATATTCCGCACAAACCGAATTCCATGCTAAAATAAAGCAACATTTAATGTCAAATTGGTAATTACTATCTGTATTAATTAAACTTACATTCATTAATGAAATTAATTAACTCTTGATGTTGTGGTGTGATTGTTTCGTGTTTAGGACTAGGAGGCGGTGTTTTTTTCACAAAAACAAGTTTTGGTTCACTGAAAACAGTTAAAATCTAATACAAACCAAGGCGCTCTGGGTTTTCTTACTTTTTCAATTCGTTCTCGTTAATGTCGCTGATTTTGTTTTTATTTAAATCCCTCAAATTGTCGATGTTTTGTTGAATTCCTTGAAAACATATTGGAATTGATAATAGGAAATGTTGCGAAATAATGAATCTTACCGCGTCTTGTGGTCTTTGCGACGAATTTACCGGGCCCTTTGATGTTGTACATATTTAAAAACGGAGAATTTTCAGAATTTCCTGAAAAGTGAAAATTTAACCTAACTTACAATTTGTACAATATATCTTGAAATGTGAAACTACCAAAAGAAGTTACCAACTCTTACATAATTTTAATTCACGGTAGATTACGAAATGCAATCAAGAAGACCGAGTGTATTTGAAATTACTTTGATATATAAAACCCAAAAAAAGCACGCGATATCTGTATATTTTTAAAATTATTATAAATATTTAAAATAATTCAAAGCCCGTTTGCCATTTGCTAATTTATATTGACAGTTGACATATTATTAGGGTGTTTATTTTGTCACTGTTGGCTAAGCTGATGGGTTGGTAGCTCTGCGAAAACTGACATTGACATTCAACCACGTGTTTTTCTTTTGACATTTGTTTATTATTGTTGGTATGTTGAGCAGCGCATTAATAATTTAATTTTGTTCAAATGATATAAAATGAGTAAAGCGTTAGTAAAAAAAGCATTACAAATTGTCGAAGGGCAAGAAAACAAAACATCTAAAAGAAGAAAAAAGTCTGATGTGTTTGAATTAGCACCCCAAAATCAAAAATTGTTTACCAAAGGGTACAAAAAAGAAGGAAAAGGCAAGTCCACAGTAATAAAATATGTAAAAATGTATTAATATTAATTATTTGTAGAAGTAAAAGTAAACCTATTATCGGCTAGTAAGAAACTTACAGTTAGCGAAGCTCGGAAAACAAACAAATCAAAAGAACAAATACTACAAGAAAATTTAAAGAAGTTGGAACTAATTCGAAAAGCCAGTAAAGTAGACTTACATGAAAATATCGTTAATAAGGTAGTATAAAATTAAATTAAATTAATTCAGCGCCCCCTTTAACTTTAAACACGGCTGTAAAGGGTCACTTTAAAGTAAACAAAGTCGCTAGTCGCTAGAGACGCGTCTTTAAGGTTAAAGTGGGGCACTAAATAGGGGCCAATTAGTGTACAACTAATCGTGACTAAATATTTTGTAGATAATCAATAGGGCAGTTAATAAGAGGCCGGTAAAACCAATCAAACCTAAAGGACCAAAGAAAACTGCTTTCACTGATGAAGATTTCAAAAAATTCGAAGAGGAATATTTCGACGAATAATGGCATTAACGGATCATACATTAGGGGTTATACAGCTCACGTTTGGTTTCTCTGTATTAATTTTTATGTTCTTTCAATTGTTAGTTTGGCCGATTTTGCCAGTCAAACATGAGTTATTAGAAAATTACATTCGTACAGACGTTATACTTTTAACTTGTGGAATTTTCGGATTAGTTTTTATCGGTTCTTTATCAATATTTACGGTCATTGTTATGCATAAATCCACAAAACATAACAAATAAAATGTTTTTTAATCGAAACTTACCATTTTTCAGTCACCATACTGTCTTAATCAAGTACATATCCTAATATATTCAGCAAATAGGTAAAACTTTGTGTATGAAAACATTATCTTCCACTTCTTATAAATTAATTTAAACTTTTAATTCTATAAAAAAATTAAATAAACTAATGTTAATAATAGATTAAATCCTCTTCAACAAACAGTTATCCTATATACACATATTACAAAACATTTTTTTAATATGGCCCTCGACCAAGTCCTGCTCCCCACCAAGACCTAAAACAAATTGAAATTAACAATATGCAATAAATAAACTGAAATAATTATACTTACATTTGCCTGTACTGCATGGACCTTTCGGATGTCACGAAAGATCGCCCTCTTGTACCTCTGGCTATTCGAGTCGAGGCCAGCATTTCTCTGCTTATTTTATTGTACCCCGTTGGGCCTGTCGGTTGGGCCCCGCACGTTTCTAGGGCTACGAAATCGTCGACGTGCAAAGAAGGCGGACGTGACGTATTCGGTGGCCTCGATCTGAAAGGATCCGGTCTTTGGGGGATGTTTCGAGGAAAACCTCTTTGCCTCATCGGAGGTACTACAAAAATGAAATAAAAATTAGTACTCGTATAAAATTAAGGGTATTAAGCGTTTACCGAACGGTTTTTTGATTTTCACATCTTCGTCTTCCAGTTTTTTAATTCTCTCATCGGTGTTTTCACTTCGCGATATTCTACATAGTTTTTCTATTTCTTTGATTAGATTGAATTCGGGTCTGAAGTTTTGTCTACAAATTTCGATTAAATCCACGCTTACCTGAAAAATAAAATTTTTTGAAAAAAATATAGCCTTGTCTACGAGGTTATTCGGTCTAAGAAAATATACCAAGGTCTCGATTACCAGTGCTATTCGGTTCAACTAACAAAACGAAATGACAGTAATGACAGTTGATATCCAAATAAACAAAGTCATTTAAATGTCAAAAATTGTAGGTTAAAATAATAAAAATTTAGATAAAATTAATGATACGTTAGCAAAAATGGAACTCCTGTGCTCCGTGCAAAATTACGATTGGGGTAAAATCGGTTTAGAAAGTAAAGTAGCCCTATTAAGCAGAGGCAACGACAGTAAATTCGAAATATGCGACAAGACTCCTTATGCCGAACTGTGGATGGGAACTCACGTAAACGGCCCTTCTATTATCAAAGAAACCGGACAACATTTGAGTGCTTATTTGGAAGAAAACGTGGAGGCTTTAGGACGCAAAACGGCCGAAACGTTCCACGATCAACTACCTTTCCTACTAAAAGTTCTATCAATCAACAAAGCCCTTTCGATACAAATCCACCCGTCGAAAGATAAAGCCGAAGAACTGCACGATAAATTCCCTGAAATTTACAAAGACGCCAATCACAAGCCGGAACTCGCCATAGCCCTGACGCCGTTCGAAGCACTTTGCGGATTTCGACCAGTCCAAGAAATCAAATACTTCCTAACAAACATACCCGAACTACAACAAATCATAACTTGCAAAGACGAAGAAGACGAGGCGACGTTCCTTCGAGAAGCTTTCAGGTAACAACACCTTAAAAACATACAACAATCATTTGAATCACAACGATTTTTAGATCAGTAGTAATGAGTAATAAAGAGCAAACGATGAACACTTACAACGCCATCCAAGAGCGTTTTAAAGAAGTGGGCTACGAGAAAAGCAGAAAACTATTAGCCGATGTAATAGAACGTTTAAACAACGACTTCCCCAACGACAACGGTATTCTAATGGTGTACCTTTTGAACTACATTAAAATGAACCCGTCCGAATCGATTTTCTTGGGAGCCAACGAGGTGCATGCTTACTTGTATGGCGACTGCGTAGAAATAATGGCCTCGTCCGATAATGTGGTTCGAGCGGGCCTGACCAGCAAATTCGTCGACGTAGATACCCTTTGTTCTATGGTGAATTACAAAGGAGAAAATCAGGAAGCTAAAATATTCAAACCGTTCATCGAGGACCAATACACTCGACTGTACAATCCGCCCATACGCGATTTTTGCATAGCGGAATTTTCCCTACCCAAGTCCCTAAAGAACTATGAATTGGCCAAACGAAGCAGCGCTAGTATTTTGATAGTAATATCAGGAATAGGGAAGACTGAACACAAGGAATTGAAACCGGGCGTAGTCTTGTTTATACCATCCAACGAAGTCATTACTATAGTATCCGTTGAAGAGCATTTAAGTTTGTTCCAAGGATTTGCTAATGTATCATAAATTCTAGCTTGACAAGAAAGTTTTAGTTTGAATAAATAAGCTTTAAATTAATGTAGACTGTTTTAAAATGTACTTACGTGTTCCAAGTCGTTTTCGGTCTCGTCTGAAGGCAAGCCCAGCCAATAATTTGCGGTCAATCTTTCATCGCAGGCGTCCGACGAACTGAATACCATCCGTTGCGAAAATTGAACCAATAACGTATCAGGAGCGGGTACATTGATGTCTACAGTAACGTCCTTATCGCTGCAGGATTCCTCCTCTAGCAACTTCATAAGCGCCGCTAATCCTTCGAGGAAATTTTCCAATGGGTTGTTTTCTTCTTCGACTACTTCCTGTACACAGTTTAGATAATTACTCAAAGGGTATTTAAGGATATCGATTCTCACCTTAAGCCGCTTCTCCAATTTCAATAAGGGATGGAGTTCGTTGTCACCGGATCCAGGCCATTTTAGTAATGTTTTCAATTCGTCAGGACTCAGTTTCATTTTCCTGGGATTGTACAACAAATTCCCTTCGGGATCGTCTTCTGCGGTAGCGCAAACCCTCAAAAATTCCACCAGAGTGTTCAAAACAGACAGGCACTCGGCGTTGTCTTTAGAAAAACCAGCGAGTAATTTGTTCAACAACGAGGAAAAATCGATTTTCTTCAGCAGGTGTTCTTTGAGGTGCACGAATCCGTAATCGTGTTCGGTTAATAGCAACAAAGTCCTTAAAATAGGCAGATAGGTCACGAACGAGTTTTCCGTTGTTAAATGATCGCCCATTAATTGTATGTACCCCAATAAGTGGTCTTTGATAGGCAGCGCGTTAGCCAAGTACTGATCGGACGATACGCCCTTGATTTGGGTCAGAGTTATTTCGATGTCACAGAAACTCTGTATGATGCTCAATATGCATTCTTGGGCCTGCACGTGACTGTTATTAGTCGAGTTGATTTTCAATATCTGCGCGAACGCCGGTATCAAATTCACGTACTTCTCTTCGGTCTTCGATGTAACCGTGCTGTTGGAATGCAGCAGATGCAGCACGGCGCACTTGATGGTACTCCTGGTGACCAAACAAGCCAAGAAATTCAACATTCTGGCCAGATGGGGCCCGCACGGCGCTACTTTGGCGTTCTCCTTGGGCACCAGGGCGTCGTAGACGTTGTCCAAAATCCCTCGCGCTATCATCACGGCGGAATTGGCCGCCAAATCGGCTATTTGCACGCAAATCCTCCTCAACAAGTTCAGCAACTGCGGCTGGGTGGACAAGCACAATTTGTTCACCATGTTCTGAATGATAGTACTGTGAGGGTGCAGGTGAGCTGACCACAATTTTCGCAGGCTGATTATCCAGGATATCTCGTCGTCGGTTAAATCGTCGCGGGTTTGTAGCGGTAAAGGTAGAGGTAGCAACTCGGAGAATATCAACAAACCCGATATAAAAGTGTGCGGTACTGCTGTGGTGTATTTAATCACCTCACCTATCATTAAAGTCCACAGGGTTTTAGTTAAAGAATCCTTTTCGTTCACTTGCTCCGATACAGTTTGAGTGTACACTAAAAACGTATCGACAATATCGGTTTTGATGTCTTGCACTTGCGCGTAAGCGGGAGAACTTGCAGGGAAATTGTTCAACAAATTATAAGTTTGTAGCAGCACCGGAATGGCAGTGAGGTCTTTGAAATTCGTATTTTGGCATTGTATCACGTACGATAACATCTGTTTAATCAATAATACAGAAGGTTTGATGGAATTCACCAGAATCCAGCCCTGCGATGAAACTATTATAGAAGAATGGATGCTCGGTTGTTCATAGTACTCGCATATCTTCTGCAGCAATTTAATGATAATAGAGGTACCGTCCAAAGAGAATAGCTGCAGTATAACGTGCTTGTACTTCAATTCGGCGTAATGGGCCAGAGGATTTTCAGTCGAAACCGACGGTCCTATGCCTAAATGCTGGACGATTCTCAACGATGTGATGATCGGGCCTAAATTGTGCGGAAAATTCTCCATGTTCTTCACAATAATATCCACAAACACCGCGATGTTGTCGTACTTCAATCTGCTAATCTCCTCGAAAGGTAGCAAGTAATACTTCAGCTCCGTCAATTTGTTGTTCTCGTTCTCTTCGAACAAATCGTGTTGGTTGACGAAATGCAGCAATATCTTCGAGTTCTTCTCCAACAGCGGCACGTTAGGCACCAAAGTGACAGTCAGGAAAATCAAATCCACTATGTAACCGATCGATGGCGAGTTTTTGTAACGAGCAATCAACATCTCGGGCTTGTCTTTGGAGAAGATGAGCTCCAAAAATCTCAACAAACACTGTATGTTATCGCCTAAACCTAGCGATTCGGCCACGGCTATCTTACCGAAGGGCGAGAAACTCAGGCAAAACAAAGCGTGCAAATTATCGATCACTTCCGGGGATTCCAAGTCGCAAGGGTTGTACAAAAGCGATTCGATGTGATAGAAAGCTTGCAGTTTGTAGGCGATTTGTAAACCTAAATGGTGTGATTGCAAATCGACGTTTTCGTATTGAATGTCATCTTCGATTCTTAAAAGGCACTTCAGCAGAGCGTTGATTACTTCGATGTTATCGGAAAGGTATTGCACACCTTCGTAATGCGTTAATAACGTAGACAATATTTCGTATATCGGCGCTTTGATTAGAGGTAAATTCATCGTACATTGGGACGTTAATAACACGAGGAAGCAATGCAGCAAGTTGAACATCCTGAAATAATCCAAAATTATGTCGTTGTTGCAATCTCTAGATATTTCGAATTGACAAGTGACTGGCAGAAACCTCTTCGGTTGCGATAAAACGAAGCTTCCTATTTTGCAGTAGTTCAAAACGACGTTCAAGGATTTAGTGATGAATTTTATCTCCTCAGGAGTCGTACTATCATCGCGCGTTCCGTCGATAATAAAATTCAATCTGTGGAGTATTTCGTAGAGATTCAATTTCTTCACGATCGAAGTCAACGCGAACTTAATCCTCACTGAAGGGTTATCCCTGATGTAGTTGATCAGGCTTTTGTAGCCTTCGGATTCGATCATAGGAGCCGAGCCGGTGCCGTTTTGAACGTTGTCGTTCCACAAGAACTTCTCTATGGCGACTTTGTGATGCAAGTAAGTGTCCAAGGCCTTGAGGATGGCGAGTTTAATCGACAAGGCCATAAACTCTTGCTCGTACAGATACAACAAATTCTTATGCACGTTGAAGTTAACATCGTTTCGCGATAGTATTTCCAAAAATATGTCGCTTGTGCAACAGTAGTCGGCTAATCGTACGCCGCACTTTAGGTGCCTGATTTTGTAGGTAGGCTGGGTTTGTAGATTAGCCAGTTCGAAATTCATAGCTATCTTCAACCAATCCAGCATTGTCGTTACGATAAATTCGACTTGCTCGGCCACTTCTCTATCTTTGGCAGATAAATTCTTCAAGTGTTTCACGTCCGTATGCAGCTTGGTTATGTCGCAAAATTTTTCCGAAGGCCCGATTACACTCAGGACCTTTTCGCACAAGTGTACGAATTCCTCTTTAATTTCCGTGTTGCAATTAACGAAAGTATCGAGATCGTATTTAGTGATGCTAGATTTGAAATAATCGTCTGTTATGCCGATGGAAATTCTGAAATTCTCCTCCATTTCAATTGAATTATTCTCGATGGCATACCTCGTTTTCTTGGGGTACTTTTGTAATTCATTAACACCTGGTGTAAATAGTTTTATAATGTCGTCTGTGTTGGTGTAAGCGGTGTAATCGAAATCCATATCTTGATAGTGATCGGGATCATCTAAAATATCCTCATCGCTTAATATTGGCTCGAATTCTTCAATATCCAAATGGATAGGTTCTTCGTTCATTTGCTGCTCTTTAACCGGACTGCCTTTAATTTGGTCATCAACTAATTTCTTATCTGTCTCTTCTACAGCTTCTTCCTTAACAGCTTCATTTGATTCTTGAATTTGCGGACTGTGAGGCTTCTTCGGAGAGTGACTCGGTGGCGTTCGAGGTCTCTTCCTATCCTCTCTATCTTCGTTTCTGTTATAAGACCTTCGATAGTTATCATCGTGTTTATTGTATCTGTCTCTTTCGTGATTTCTTTCCCTATCGTTCCAATCGTGATCGCTTCGATCCACTCGATACTCGGGTAATTCCTGCTCTGGCCACTTAACGTCTGATTCTCTATCATCATGATACTCTCTCGACTGTCTATCCCTATCTTTGCTCTCCGATCGGTTGTATCTCTTCTCGCGTTCTCTTCTATCGTTTTCCGGCCTGTGCTGATCACGTTCTGCAATCGGTTTCTAAAACAAAATCGATTTAAATCGTAATTTTAAACACATTAATTGCTTACTTGATAGGGTACATCTCGATTGTGATCCCTTTCTTCGTCTCTGCTCCTCTTGTCCCAATCGGTCTCGGGCGTGTGATGGTAACTCCTCGGATCCTTTGGACCTTCGGTGTAGTAATTGAACTCTTGAACATACTGCTCGGGTTGGGTGAATTGTTGATACGAAGTGGTCTGTTGGGCTGAATAGTCTATAGGTAGAGGCGTTATTATGTTGCCGTCTTGCAGCCATTCGCCTTCCAAAGGCGAGCCAGCTATAACTTGCTCGGAATCGATCGGTACATTCGGTTTCGTTAAGGTTGGATTTGCAACGGGTGGGATTATTTGCTCGTTTATATTATTCGTTAATGTCCCATATACAGCTAGTGTTATGGTGGTGTACCAACCTAAAAGAAAGTATATAAAACCGTATATGATAAATAACTAAATAATACCTCTAAGGACCAATCCATCAGTTGGTATCTTCCTAATAACTTCACTTGGCGTACATTCCAAGTTAATGCAACCGTTTTGATCGTACTTGAAACCCCCTAATGATTCGAACGTACTAGCCCCTGGTTTTCCCAAGTCGTTGACGAAGAATTCTATGTCGAATTGACTGGGATTCGTGGCTCCCAATCTAACTCCTCCAGGAAAATCCGCTTGTACTCTAGCGCCCAATGGGATTATACGAACTTCTACGACGAAAACCGGCTTGGGAAACTGCACCAAGTCCAAGTTGATTTCCTAAAAACGAAACCGTTAAGTTTGTTGATAAGGGATGCGTTGGGGCTCGTACTTCTGAATTATCGTGAGCGAACGTATCGAAAAATAACAATTCCACTTGGTCGCTCATTATTTAGTTGTTTGTATTATTTAAAACATGGTTAAATTCTGTTTCTGTTAGTTGTTGTCAAATGTCAATGTCAATAACGTCACTGTCATTAGACCTTGAAATCTTCTTTTTATCTAATATAATCTTCAGGGCCGGACTAAGCTATAGTGATATGAAATAAAATATGAATATCTCGAAGGTATGTGAATTTATTTAAATAATGATTACGTGTTATAAAACCTGGTAATGTTGTAGTCGTAGAGAAAGAAAGTAGTCTTACACAAAGACATAATATAATATTTTTCTTTCTCTATGGTCTTATACATAGGCCGAATTTGATCCGCATACGAGCGACCGCGCCATAGAGAAAGAAAGTCTCTTCTGTGTCTTCTTCTCTTTTGTGTATGGTTGTTTATACATATTGCTCCATTTTTCATTTTAACATAGGCTATGGGTGCAATAAAGACAACTTCAATTAGACACTTATAAAGGAAAAAGAAAGAGTGACATTATGTCATTGCCACTTTTCACTCTGACAACTTTATTTTAATCTTTCTTTGTTCAACTCATAGAATTGCCCATGTTGCAATCGCGAATGAAGCACGGTGTATATTATAAATAACTAGTAAATAAATGCCACATTATCTACATATAAATAAACTTCAATTTATTGAGGTATAATATTTTATTTATTTATTCATTCGTTATTAATTAATATATTGTAATTAGGTAATTCAATTTTATATTGATCTATTGAATAAATATCTATTTAACTTTTCCTTAAATTAAGTAAAACAATAATTACTCGGCAACGTCGAGTGAAATCTTTCAAATCCATATCCTTCATGCTAATGGAATTAAAAAGATTGATGGCACAAGAGTCATTTGAATTTATTTTTCTGTTACTAGTTCTTACTTTTTTATTGATAAGAGATATCTATCAATAAAATATCAATAAAAATAAATCTATCAAGTTTTTGAGTGTTTACAAAATAAATGTAGCATAATTCGCTCGAGATTAAGTCATATCATTTAAGTGCTCTTACGTTATGCTCTTAGTTACACTTACTATATTTAGGTATTTGGTACATGGTAAACATGATAAAAAACATACCATCGATATTTTACTTATTTAATTATCACTATCTAAATATTACATAATTATGAGAAGTGTTTGTTTCAATACCCAACTGCCGAACAACCGCTAATGTTAATGAGCTCCTTTGGGCATTGCACTTCTACGAAGGATACGTCTGGGTTAGAGTATCCAACCATCCATTGGAATCGGAACAAGCAACCCTTCCATAACTGTTTCGGTAGTTTATAACAATCTTTCTCATCGTGAACTCCTCCATATTGATCGCCCCAGTTACTGAGATCACTGTTCCATTGACTGCTGCATCCCTTAGTATAGTAGCCCACGCCGCTACCAGGCATGGCGATATCGAATTCATTGTGATCCGCATGAGGATCGTCTTCACCAGTGTTAGTAACTTGCACCAACATCTTCTTGCCGTTCAGCTTAGAAGGCCATTGCGTATGGAAAGTAAACAACACGCAAGAGCAGCACATGTTCCTACCACCAGAGTTGATGAATTTCGCAGCAACGAATCCTGCAACCGACAATTTGTTATACTTTACTATTCATAAAAAAGCAATTGCATTGCATCACTCACCATATGCGAGGGTATCGTTTTTAGCGTATCCGTCTTGGTTTGTGCATATGTAAGATTGTCCTCCAACGCAGCCAGATTGATTTTCTTTATCTGACATAACTGTGACACCGTCGGCTTTGCAGGCCCTCACTGGAGCCTTCTGGTTCACATGTCCTGGCCAGGAACACGTGGGTTTGCAGCAGTCCCAGTAGCGCGAGGTGGTACCCGTACCAGTCAGTCCTCCTGCTACTTCCTCGATAACAATGTCATCTTGGAGGACTCCAAAAGACAATGCGTCTGAAAGTGGAAGAGAAAAATTCGAAACAAGTTTTTCGTAAATAAAATCTAATTATTATGGCATAGTAGGTACTAATAGTAGTGAAGTAAATGTAGTAATAAATGAAGAATATTAATTGTTGAACTTACATGGGATTAGGAAGAGTATTGAAGCTACAGCAAGTTTCATTTTTATAATTTGCTAAAACACAATTTGTTTCCTCTATAAATACCCACAGTCTTATCTACTCAATTTCAATATCAGAGGGAATTTTAATCATTTAGTTCTAATTATAAGATCAATATATGTTTCTGGTTTTATTTTTTACCTTTACTATTACCTATTAAATAAATAATTTAACTAACAACTTTTTAATATTTATAATTTAAAATATTTTTTTTTTCATTTTTATAAGCTCCGTATTAGGTGTAACAAATCGGTAGGTACCTATTTAGGTTTTTTAGATAAATACTTAAGAATGCTTCAAATTGATTCGATCATATCGATGATGTATGTAGGCTATTATCGATATAAAAACGAATTGTGAATTGTACAAAAACACTCAAATAAGTATTAGAAGAGTACCACAAATTTAAAAGATGAAATATTTCGTAATAGCTCTAGCTCTTACGCTGGCACGTGCATGTAAGTACATACTAGCTAACAAGCTGTTATCCAGATCTATTAATGTTAAAATTATTTAAGATGCATCTGAAGAGAATGTAGTGATTAAAAGAATCGAGGGAGGCGTGAGTGGCGTGGGTACCACCACCAGATACTGGGATTGCTGCAAACCCACCTGCTCCTGGCCAGGAAACGTAGAATACAAAAAACCTGTAAAAGCTTGCAAAGCCGACGGTGTAACAGCCAACGATCCAGAAAACCAGTCAGGATGCGTCGGAGGACAATCCTACGTGTGCACCAACCAGGCCGGTTACGCCAAGAACTCCACTCTAGCTTACGGTAATTACTCTACTCCATATTATTCTTCTGGATTTGAGATTCGATGGAAACTATGTTACAGGATTTGTGGCCGCTCGTTTCCACGACACTACTAGAAACATGTGTTGCTCTTGCGTCCTTTTCACGTTCCACACCCAATGGCCTTCCAAACTAAACGGTACGCAGATGTTGGTGCAAGTAACCAATACTGGAAACGCTCCGGAATCAAAAACTAACTTGTTCGACATCGCCATGCCTGGAAGTGGAGTGGGCTATTACACGCAAGGTGATTTGACGGGTTCCTGTTGGATGTTTCTTAGGCTAAAAGGGTTTTTTTCGTAGGTTGCACGTCCCAATGGAACACCGACGTGTCCGATTGGGGCGACCAATACGGCGGAGTACACGAGGAGAAAGATTGCTACAAGCTTCCGAAGAAGTTGTGGAACGGGTGCTTGTTCAGGTTCCAATGGATGTACGGTTACTCCAATCCTGATGTGTCGTTCTACGAAGTAGAATGCCCGAAGGAGTTGATAGATAAAAGCGGTTGTACACCCGTATCGCATTAATTGTAGTTCCAATAAATGAATTAACTATACTTTTACTATAATTCTTGCTCACTTTGTTATATTTTTTATGTATTTTTGGCAACCAGTTGCATACGTACTTGACGGGTGACTATTTAATACATAGTATTTTATAGATTATTTAACAACTCTGAGAATTATGCTTAAAATTCTAAGTAGGTTTCTACCTACTGCTTGTAGATAGTATTTATATCTTTACCTATAAATTTAATAAAGATCGCTACCTATCTAGATATTTCATATTTATTTATTTTGCATACTGCTAGATGCAAAATTGTAGGTCATGAGTGCAACAAAGACAGCTTCCATTAGTCTCATATAAAGGAAAAAGAAAGAGTGATATTGTGGGATTGCAACTTTCTCACTCTAACCACTGTTATTTTAATAACCTTTCATAGTTTAACTAATAGAATTTATCATATTGCATATCATATCATGCAGCAGATAAACTTAATTTACTCATTTGTGGTAAATTATTAATTTAGTAATTTGACTTGACTAATCTATTTATTTTTATTCCTTTGTTATTATTTTTGTATTTAAAATATGTTAAGAAAAATTCATTTGGGCACATTAGCATCCATGCCTTCTGATCAGTTCCATAGAATAGCACAAAAATACTATTTATCTAATTGATCAATTGAGCAATAATTAAATCAAAGGACTATTGACTAATTGATTAATTAAGCAATTAAATAATTGACTGAATTAAAGAATAACTGATCACTATTGAGCAATTAAACCAATGGACTATTTACTAATTGATCATTTTTGACCAATTGGGCAATTAAAGCAATTGACTATTGATCACTATTGATCAATTGAGCAATTGTAACTATTATGTTTAAATTGAATTATGTTCAAATAGCATAACCCAAAGTTTGTACCGATAAATCAAACAAAACATATGAAGTTAGTAAAATGAATAAATTTTATTCAAAAATCAATAAAACTTGTGTTTTAATCTTCCCTGACGGGTAAACTGCATTTGCTGATTCTGACAATTTCGGCGGGACATTCGACTTGTTGGAATCTCATGTTCGGGTTGTTGGCGTTCTTCATGAAATCGAATCTGAAGAGACAACCTTTCTGGAGTTGCTTGGGCAAAAGGGTCAGGCAGTCGTTCCTGGAGTGGACTCCTCCGTACTGGTCACCCCAGCCGGTCCAAGGTGCGTTCCATTGGAAGTGGCAACCCTTGTTGAAGATTCCAATACCACCACCGGGCAGAGCAATATCGAATTGGTTGGCGCCCAAGTCACCACCGGTGTTGGTTACCTAAACCAGCAAGAGTTACGTATAACAACGAATGTTGCGCGACAATTGCGACCTATTTACCTGCAAGATTAAACTCTTTCCTACGAGCTGATCGGTGAAGTCCAGTTTGAAGCAAGCGCAGCACCAGCTGGTGTCGGTACCACCGGTGAAGGAGGCGGCGGCGAATCCGTAACCCAAAGTGGCGTTGACTTGGAATGGTTGTTGGTTGTTGCACATGTAAGATTTACCGTTGTCTTCGCAACCAGATTTTTCGCTGGGGTTAAGCTAAAACGGGTATAATTGAAAGATTAGTAAATTCTGGTTTGTTTATCGTCATTTTGGTACTTACGATTGATACTCCATCTTTGGCGCAAGATGCTACTGGGACCTTAGACGGGGTTCTGATGTTTTCTTTCCATGAGCACGATGGCTTGCAGCAATCCCAGTAACGGGTGGTTTTGCCAGTGCCGGATTTTCCTCCGACGATGTATTTAATTTCGGGGGAGTAAGCCCAGGTCGAAACCACTATACAATTTATAAAATAATTACTAAATACTTTTAAGTATTATAAATAATAATATGATAAGTATAGAGCCTGGAAAATGAGCAAAATGCATGTGAAGTGCATGCATTCGCATTTCCCCAAAGAATTCAAAATTCATAATATAGAAAATAAAACTATGCATTTTTCAATACATTTTCTACATCATTCTGAAGTGTTGTGAACGGTCATCAAACGTTCTAAATGGTTCTAGACAGTTCTAAATGATTCCGGACCATTTTAAATGGTTTTAGACAATTCTAAATGATTCTAGAGCGTTCTAAATGATTCTAAACAGTTTTAAATGATTTTGGAGCGTTCTAAATGGTTCTAGATAATACTAAAAGTTTCTGGAGTGTTTTAAATGACTATGGAGCGTTCTAAATCGTTTTAAACAGTTCTAAATGATTTTAGACAGTTCTAAATCATTCTAGATAGTTCTAAATGATTCTATACCATTCTTCTAATAAGTATATATTCTGATAGTAGGCATTGCATCTAATTATGAAAGTAGGCTAAGAAAAGCCCTTTAAAGAATATAATAAGTGCCAGAAAGTGTTTAATTGGAAAATGAAAATCATTAGTTTACAAGTAAATTTCGTTTTGGCCGGTTTAAATATTCAATTTTATATTATTTCATAGTTTTCATATAATTAAAAAAAACTTACGGACTGCTGATAATAGTAAGATACACTTCATTTTGACTGAAATCGAATTGAACTGTTCAATAAACCCGATAGCTACCTTTCATATAAATACTTTTCCCTTATCTTTAATTTTGAATAATTTTGAGACTGTTCGAATTAAGAGTTAAGAGACGTGCGTAATAGGTACTTGTGAGCGATTAAAATAGATCTATCAACAACTGTTTGTTTTACATTACACCTAAATTTTATTACCCAACTATCTAAATAATTAAAAAAAAACTGTAAATTCGCTCGGATAATACATTTTTATAGTTCTTTGATCTAGGTACATGGGTAAGGTAAAAAGTTTCCGGGACGAAAGACCGTGATTTTCAGTGGAAAAATAAATCTTATTAAATCGAAATCTTTAGTTCAAGACAGATTCTGGAGCGTTTAAAATGATTTTGGAACGTTCCAAAGGACAATGGAGGGTTCCAAATGGTTCTAAATGGTTTTAGATAGTTCTAAATGATTATGGACTGTTCTAAATGGGTCTAAATGATTCAGGCCGGGATCATTTCACCCTAACCTCGTACGTTTAAGTTACTCCTTCACGATTTTCCACTCGTTTGTGCTCGTTTTCAAAGAAATCAAAAGCTCATACAAACAAATATCGCCCATTTACCTGGGAGACCTCGTCGAATGGAACATATGTCCGTGAATTCCGACATCATCGAAAATAATATGTCATCCTTAATACCCCACTTAATGCATATGAGAAAAAATGAATAGCAAAACCTATTTTTCGAACAATCGGTGTCATATATTCCGGTCCAGCGGAGCTCGAAAGTTAAAAAGGGCAGTCATTTCGGAGACTATTAATTTCTATAAAGGACCGCATTTTAAAGCAATTTGACCATATTAAAAGTGATTGAAAAGGAGCACACCAGCGGCGCCCTCATAACCATCCATAAAAATCCAAAATGCAAATTTACATCGCTCATCAAAGTAAATTTATGGTAAATTCTTTGTTAGAAATATTAAAAACTGTATATTGAACATTCTTGAACATTGATACAAAATGTATCCATTCATACAAAGGTAAGGTGAAAAGTTCACGGCCTGACAATGAAAGACTGCGAGTTTCAGATGAATAATTATACATTATTCTTCTTATTCTTATTATTATAAGTCAAAAACTTTAGTTCAAAACGGTTCTAAATGATTCTGGAACGTTCTAAATGGTTGTAGACAGTTTTTAATGGTTCTAGACAGTACTAAATGATTCTGGAGCGTTCTAAATGATTCTAGACAGTGCTAGAAAGAATTATAAATGTCTCAAAGAGGAAATAATATTTTTTGCTGATTGGTGCACCCTCAGTGTATCAGGCCGAGAACTTTTCCCTCTACCCTCGTATAAATTATTGATTAATAATTTATAAATTTTTTCCTGTGACCCCCCATCCTCTCCTCGCACGTCCCTGATCGTCCGAGCGATTTTCTGGTGGTATTTCGGAGTTTAGCGAAACATCTGTTCCCATCCATATATCACTTCGATCATTCAAACGATGAAAAATCTCTAACTAATTGTCTAGGTCCGTACTTGTCCATTCACGAGCTCGTGAAGGAGCACCGTCGGGGTTGAGGATTCAATGAGTTGGTCGTCCTTTTTGCCGTTTTGTTCACGCAACCGTAAAGAAGTTCGCGTGGGTCCCGGACGGGCAGGCAAAGAAATCATATTCGCCCATCTAAAGGGGATTAATTTTCGTCAAATCCTGTCGAAGAATAAATTGTATTTTTGTTTGTTTTCTTCGTTGAACGATGAAGTGTTATGTTTATGGTAATTAATGGTGGTAATCGTTGGAGTATATCTAATAAAATTTGCATGTACGTTATACGTTCAAGTTTCGCCGGCGAAAATTTCGTGGGTCTTGGATACAAGATCAAGGGCAAATTTTGTTGTTAAAAAAAAACTTATCAGAAAAATTAATTGAAGTGCCTGTCTAAAAAACAATAAATACACATTACGCAGCTTGATTATGATAATGGCTAAATTTAGTACATAAAAATTAGAAAAGTTAAGCCCAGCTTTATGCCGGTTATAAATCAAAAATGTGTCAAATTGTGAGTGGATATTTTCCATTATACAATATTATATTTAGCGACTATAATTCTCTTATTAACTATTAGATAATAAATTATTTTTTATAAGCCGTGCGTTAGGATTTTATCACGACATGCTAGAGAGTATTCGATTCCGATGCGATTCTCCTATTTCTACGAAATTCGATATCTACCTGTGCAATTTTTTGGTCGAATGAGTGGTTAAAACCCGAAAAAAGGAATTCGGTGTTATCCAAAAGGATTGAAAATATAAAGAAAAGTAGGTAATCCGATCAGGGATTTTTTTGTCGGTTGGTGTAATTTAAGAAGTAAATATTACCTACCCTTATAAGAAATATTAATAATAATGTTATTAGAAAGACAATAATACATGGTGTCTCATTAGTATGGAAACACTCAATATATCTGTTATTGTAGAAGATATAAAAAAACTGCATTACAAAAGTTGTAGATCTTTTTAAGCTGCATATTTTAAGATTAGTCACATTTTTACAGAGAGTGCCCCGTTTTCCGTGGTATACCAAACTTATACTTTTTTATATGGAAATTTTCTATTCAAAAATTAAATTTAGTTCGTTTTCCAAAAAGTTATGACAACTTTTCCACGAGAATCGTACTAAGTTTGCCACTCTGTAGAAATTAAATAGACTGACTTGGAAATAATTTTCAGGTTTCCCAACATTGCAAATATCCTGAAATAGTACAAAATAAATATTTTTCGTCATTTTTAGTCGTACTGTTTACAGGATGGATCCAAACGAAAAAGTAACATTTTCTTCGTTATTCAATTGGTTAACCTTATATTTTATATTACCAGGAAGTATTTTTGAAGTACTTTCATTTGAATTAAACATTCTCTATACCTAAAGTTAATACTTTCCGAGATATTTCAATTAAAAAAAATAGAACTTAAAATGAAACATTAGATGGAACTTTTCTCATACAATAACAGATATATTGAGCTTTTCCATACTAATGTGCCAAAGTAAAACGCAATTTTTTTTGTAAAAAAAAATTTAATAAAACGTATGTACACGTATCACAGCCATATTGAAACAGTCTAAACATTATGCAATATTAGATAACAGAAGAAATAAAAACATTAAACAATCACCAAGGCCTCCAAACTTTTTCGGCAGTTTCGGAAAACGACTGGTTTCTGCAATTTTCCGACAGATTCCGCGGCAGAAAATACACGACGTGTCCACTATTTAACCTGGTGGGCAGCAAAGTAACGCCGCCCGTCGAGCTATCAGCTGGTTTGATGGCAACAGGTTCCCTTCCCTTGGCGGGTTTCCCCGGACTTTCCACCGCCAAACGCTGGTTCTCCTTCAATTTCCCGTGCAACTGCTGCAGGTACTTCACCGTCATCTCCAGTATATCCGCCTTCTCCAACTTGGCGTTTCTGCTGCTCGTCTTGCCCTCCTTGAAATTCGCCTTGGTCTCCAGCAGGATCTCCTTCAACGTCTCCAAGCTGTCGTTGATCCTCGCCCGCCGTTTCTTCTCCATCATCGGCTTTCTTATTTTCCTGCTCTCCGACACCTTTTGGCTTCTCATTTTCAATAACGCTCCTCGCACGCACCGGCTTTGGATACATGAATGAGCCGGGGCTGTAAAAGGGCCACGCGTTTTAAGACTTTCTTCAACCCCCACTAGGCCTCGAGGGCCATTGTACCTGTTGAATGGGAGGGAACTCGAGATTGAAAAGAAAAGTTTAAAAAGACCAATGCGCAGTGGTGTAGTTCGCTTAAGTATGTTAAATGATAACATATGTATATAAATATTTTCTTTTAATAAAATGAATTATTATTTATTGCATGTTTTACATAGTAAGTAAGTCTTTTTATATGGAGTAAAAAGTATATTGCTTAATAGGAAGAAAGTGAGTGTGTGTACAGGTTTATTAGGAAAATATTTGGGTGATTTTTATGTGGTAAAATGAAATTTTTTGCATATCAACTTCTAGCTATCGGATGGATAAAATAACTGCCGTTTATTGTGATAGTTGGGTCCTTAAAAAAATCGAAAGAAATCCAGGATTACGTCGGTTATTGTAAAGTGGCCGGCGTTCACTTGTCAGCGAATCTACTCGGTTTTCAAGTATTGCACCTCCTTCTTCCTGTCCTTTGTGGGGAAAAGGGTCTTCGCATTATCTAAGAAGTACGTTAGTCTTTTCTTTATATTTTAATGCAAAAAGATCCCAACGATTTTTTCGATTTTTTATCCATACAAAGAGAACCTTCGGCGGTGTAACGAAAATTCCTATTTCGCTCCATTTAGATTACAAAATAAAGTACATAATTCAAAGTAAACAGATACTCGCCCTTTAGTTATCGTTAACGGTGTGTTGTTCTAATTATTATGCGCAGGCCGGTGCTATTTTAAAACTCTGTAGTTTTAATTACCATAATTACTCCTCGCGAATGTGAATTATGTATAAACAATAACATTTTCAGATAATTAAAGCGTGAATAGCAAGAAATAAGGTACTTTAAGTGGTAATTGCGAAAAACCGCGTGTTTATATATGTAGTGGGCATATTTCAACGCACAAACTGATTTGAAGTTTACTTGTGGAAATACGAAAAAAATGTTTCGCTTATCCTTAATCGCTTTAGCAGGATTGCTGATTTTAAAATGCGCCGCAGATCCTCTAGCAGAAGTCGTCGGAGGTAATACAAAATTTACTGCTGATGTCTACAAGGTGAGTACCCAATTAACTCCCTTTATTAGAAGTAGAATTTTTGATATACACAGTGACAAAAAAGTACGCGAAAAATTGGAATAAAACGCAAAATTACTTAAATTTTTCTTGAATCTTCTTCAAAATATGCTCCTTTTTGAAGCGATACAGATAGTCAAACGCCTTTTCCAATCAACGAAGCTCTTTTGGGTAGGGTTTTTAGCTCTTTCTGCGAATTTTCTGAAATTCAATCTGACTGATTCAATCAGCTGCTACAACCAAACTGATAGAGAAATCTCTCTAATTGTTTGCATGCTAATTAAGAACAGTGTTACCTACATACAAAAACTTGGAATAGTTACAAATATTGTAACAAATAGTTACAAATAAGTGCAGGTAATTTAAATCAGAATTTCCGGGTACTGTTTTGTCACAGTGTAGGTACAGACATTTTTTTCATTTTACTATAGTTACCGCTGAAACAATTTTTTTTACCATTTTAGAAACTGATTCAAACCAAAAACGGCAACATAATTTTGAGCGGACTGTCCGCCGAAATAATCCTCTCCCTGCTGACGAGCGGCGCCAAAGGTCAAACCCAGCAGGAGCTCGTCAACGCCCTCAATTTACCGGCCAAGCAAAAAGACCGCGACGACGCTTTCTCCCAAATCACCACGTCCCTGAACATCAACACCGACGACCTCAAACTGCTATCAGCCAACAAATTGTACCCGGACGTGAAATTCACCATCGCCGGCAAATTCAACCAAACGGCCGTCCAAGTTTACAAATCCGACGTAGAGTCTATAGACTACACAAATCCACAAGCAGCCTCGGAAACTATAAACTCCTGGGTGGCCGGGCGAACCAACAACAAAATCCAGAATCTAATCGACAGCAAGAACCTGGGTCCAGACACGGTTCTGGTTTTGGTCAACGCCCTGTACTTGCTGGCCAAATGGCAACAGCCCTTCGAGAAGCACAACACGATGAAACGGCCGTTCTACACCAGCCAAACTTCATCGAAGTCTATAGACACCATGTACACCGAGAAGCACGTGAAATATTCACATTGCTCGGCGATGAAGGCCAAATTCCTGGAGCTTGATTTCCAAGGAGATAAAGTCAGCATGGTGTTCGTGCTGCCGGACGAGAGGACAGGGCTGAGCGCCGTGGAGGAGAATATTGAGCAATATCTTGCTCCTCAGAACTATGATAATGCTTACGTTGCCATCACTTTGCCCAAGTTCCAGATCAATACGGATATTGATTTTACCAAGATATTGCAACAGGTGAGATTGTTAATATGTATATGTTTAGGTAATCAACTTATACCTATTAGCAGATAAATTCATCTGAGTCTTGCATGATCATAAATTGATGAATCTTGATGGTAAATTCGTCTGATTTGGTAATTACAAGTTAATTTTTAGAGATTTTTGAGCTATTTTTTTTATTGGTTTCAGTTGGGCGTTACAACTGCATTTTCGAATTCCGCTGATCTGTCAGGAATATCGAAAAATCTTGGCCTTAAGGTCAGTTTCGTAGTGCAGAAAGCCTTCATAAATGTGACGGAAAGCGGAGTAGAGGCCGCTGCTGCCACAGGAGGTGAGTTTATTTCACCAAAATATCCTGTTTTAATGAACTCACCTAAAGTTCGTACGTTTTAAAATGAAAATGATGTAATTTTTAGTAATTTCCACGTAGTTCAAAAATTCCTTAGTGCCAATTTTACTTCTGCCATTTGTCTTTTCAACAATTTTTGTCTTTTTCTGGAGTGTTCTAAATGGTTTTAGAGCGTTCTAAATGATTGTAGACAGTTCTAAATGGTTCTGGAGCGTTCTAAATGGTTCTAGAGTGTTCGAAATGGTTCAAACTAGATGGTACCAAATTATTATGGAGCGTTTTAAGTGGCTCTAGACAGTTCTAAATAATTATGGAGTGTTCTGAACGATTTTAGACAGTTCTAAATGGTTCTGGAGCGTTCTAAATTGTTCTACACTTAATTATTCTGGAGCGTTACCCAGCTATACAATACTAAATATATGATTCTGGAGTGTTCTGAACGATTTTAGACAGTACTAAATGATTCTGGAGCGTTCTAAGTTGCTCTAAATGACTCTTGCGTTCTAAATGGTTCTAGACAGTACTAGAACGTTCTGGAGCGTCTTTAGTGGAGTTTTTTTAAATGGTTCTAGATAGTTTACGAGTAGTTTTTGTGGTTTTATCCAGTTTCTGTACGTTCATCGGTTTCTCAAATTTCTTCTTAAATTAAATATATCGGTAATATAAAGGATTTCGAATACAACCCAACAACGTTGCAATGGGCTGGCTCGTGACGTCTTTGTCATTTTAATACGAACGAACTTTATATCATTTTTTATGTGCCATATTGCTCGAATTAACTGTTTTTCTTTACTAATTCATTTTATATGGAGCTCGTGTGGTCGCAACAAAAATATTGCACGATATTTTTACACGTGGCTCAACACATTTGCATGGGATAGTAACGTTTTTAACCGTTTTATTCGTATTTTAGTTGGTATAATGCTTACTTCCGCTGTACTGGAGGGACCTACCCTTGAATTCAAAGCAGATCATCCATTCGTGTATTATATTAAGGAAAAAAGTTCTGGAATTGTATTATTCGCGGGAAGATTCAACAATCAATGAGACATTGTTATTTAATTGGCGTTTTAATGCGGAGGTTGTGTTAAATTTTAGTTGAAAATAAATCAAATTTATGTTTGGGAATAAAAAAATTTAAATTTTGAGATTTGAGTGATGAAATTTTACTCAATTATTACTGTTTTTTGTTGGATTAAATAGGTTATTATAGTAACTACGTATATTTTTAGTTGGCGTTTCCAAATTAAGTCTTCCATCTAAGCCGGAATTATCCTTCAAAGCCGATCATCCCTTCATTTATTACATAACGGATAAATCATCAGGAATAGTATTATTCGCAGGACGATTCAACGGTTTCGATTAGCACCTCAATATTTTTATATTGTAACTTTATCATTAATTTGTATTATATTTAGGCCACTATCTGTTTTTTATTTAGGAATTTACATGTAGATGAGTACTTTATTCGTAAAGTTAATTTTTTTCTAGTGCCAATTGACATTGAAATACAGTTTGTGAGGTACTATATCGGGTATCTAATTATAAATTTTCGAAAATAATATTTCGTCAATTCCTATGATAATCTTCGAAAGTAAATATGTACCCACTCTGTTTCAAGTGTATGTACAGCGAATATGCTATTTTGAAAGCACACATTTTCCATCAAGAGTTATTTGAAACCTAAAAAAATGAACCTTGGGTCTTAGAATTATTTAAATATGATTATTTTAAATTTAATTTCTGTTTTCAGTGGGAGTTGTTCTAACGTCTGTAGGTCAAAAGCCGACGATTTTATTTAAAGCCGACCATCCCTTCCTTTTTTACATCAAAGACAGTACTACAGGATTGGTTTTATTCGCAGGAAAATTCACCGGCTAAAATAATGAAGCAAATTTTCATCCTACAAAGTTATATCCAAGTGTTGTTGCAATAAAATTACATTAAAATACATCATATTTAAGTACAAATTTTATAGCTAAAGCTTGGAAAATATGCACTAAACATTGTAAAATATGCATGCAAATATGCTCTAAAAACGTTCAAAATATGCACTTATTTAATGCATTTTTATGCTCGATGAAAAATAAAGAAACAACCAGATATTAAATAATTTATTATTTAATTTATTAAAACATGTAGGTACACAAACAATGCCGACAATCAGACTATATTGCTTATTAGAACATTAGAAGAAGGGATACTAGAACTATTTAGAACGCTCCATAATCATTTGAAACTGTCTAGAACCACAAGAACGCTCCGGAATCATTTAGAACTGTGTAGGACCATTTAGAATGCTCCGCGATCTTTTAGCCTAGAAGTTATTTAGAACATTTAGAGCGCTCTGGAATCATTTAAAACTGTCTAAAACAATTTAGAACGCTCCAGATTTTTTTTTGAACTGTGGGGAACCATTTATATGTTATATAAATTCGTTTATAGGAGCTATTTATAATGCTCTAGAACCATTGAGAATTCTCAGAATGAGCATTGGGCGTTTTATTTTATTATTTGTTATTAAATTTATTAACCTACTTTAATTATTTATCAGCAAAATATATTGAAAAATGCAAAATTTCATATTATTCATATTTTCCAGGTTCTACTTATAACAGAGCTAATAAAAATTTCCCTTTTATTTCACACAACACACCCCCATAGAAACACTTTTACTTCCAAAATCCCAGCAAAAACTACTTTCGCAAACACACCGCCTACCCCTTTTGTAACCCTTACGGAATGCCAAAGGCATCCGAGTGTGCCGACGGCACTTTCGCTTTCCAATCTATTCGATTTTATTGCCTCAATTCACTTTTATTGGCGCTCTTAAGCCTTTCTGCAAAGCGATCGTAGATCGGAGTCACAATTTCGCAAGACGTCATAAATGTAGATGTACTAAAAAAAAGGGTGAGAGAGACTACCTGAAACTTTCGCAAGTATCCGTAAATGGCACGAGGGATGGTCCGCCAGTAGGTCGCGCGCCTCTCTAGAAGGGTTATTTTTTATGTTTTTTAGTTATGTTGGTAAAATGTATTTATTTATTGTTAGCAAGGTAGTAAAAGTAGAAATAGTAATTAAAATGTAAGTACTTACTACGAGTATAATTTATTAAAATATGTATCTAAATGTATATACTGTGACAAAAAAGTACCCGGAAAATTAGAATAAAACGCAAAATTTGGCGAAGTTGATGATATCGTTTTTAAAGGAAACTCAGCTCTATCGGAAGAGACGTGCCTCAATGCGCAGCATGTCAGATTGTTTGAGCAAAATTAAATGAGCTCTTTCACTAGAGATATTGAGGTCACGTTTTACTTCTCTAATATTAGAATGATGATTTTCGAGGTCAAAATCCTTCATTTTCTCTCATTTTCTCTCAGGCAAGTCTTTTAGCGATCTCCTGACTGTCTTTAAAAGTTTTGTACCATTTGTAAATATGGGGTTTCGATCAAACAGAGTTACCTTAAGCATTAGCATCGATTCGGCCAACGAAATTCCAAAATTTAGACAAAGTTTTTGTTCATTATTTTTGTCCATCTCAGGCACTACTGAGATGAACTGATTCTATCAGCTGCTACAACTAAACTGATCAAGAAATCTTTAAAAATAGTTAAAAATATTAGGGCAGGTAAGTTAAATCAGAATTTCCGGGTACTTTTTTGTCAGAAAATATGTTTAGTAGAATTGCAACAAATTTCAAAAGTAGGAATAAAAAATAAAAAAGGAGAAATAAAAATAATCATTTTACTTTTTGCTTCTCATTTTAATATCATAGACACTAGACTACTAAAATACTATTAAATAACATACAGAATTTCGCAATAAAACGAGCAGAAATAACAAAACATACATCTAAACAATTAATCAGTCCGTCATCAATCGAAATATCCGCCGGGCGTTTGCGAATCGTAAAAGCATAAAAATAAAAATTGTTTACCTGCCTCACGAATTATGCAAATGACTTTTCGAACGCTAAGTGTGACGATCTAAACTCGAGTAAACTTCCCCATTGTGCGAGTTTTTATTGCACAAATCCAGGTCTACTTTTCTATTGCTCTTACCCTTTCAAACGTTTCGCGGAAGCCTATAAGAATTCTACCCTTTTGCGATTTTTCGACAGATTTGTGGACTCGAAATATCAACCCCGCAATTTTCGGAAATTTAATTTGCAACCGTCTAATAATACTTTGTTACATCTATAATACAAATATACATATTATACAGATAAGTGCAAATTTGTACGCTATACATATGATCTATTGGTGCAACCAAGACAACTTGTATTAGTCTTGTATACTGATAACTTGTATAAAGAAAAAAGAAAAAGCGATATTAGTGGTATTATTACAACGTTCTTATTCTAACCACTGTTGTTTTCATCATCCTTATTTATTCAACTCTTAGGTTTGACCATATTGCAAACAAATTTGCACTTACCCATATGTCATACAATCATATGCCGAAGTAAGGGTAATAATCTAGATCTGCTCGGTCAAATATCTAAGTAGATATACCTTTACTTCTGCTTATAATCGTAACATATACCTACTCCACAACCAAATCAAACCAATTTCAACTGCTTCACGGTAACGATACCCCTAGCGCTCCTATCACAATACACTTCGATGGCCAAATTGGCGGGCGTCTTGATCACCTCGCACAAATTCCGGCGCTTGAAGCGCTGGCAAACGACGCCCTCGCCGCCGTCCCGCTTCAGAAGCCTGTAGCAGCCCTTCGGGGGCGTCGCGACGTCGCCGCCGTCGGTCTCGTTGCACTCCAGCAGCAGGATTTCGTTGGAGACGAGCGCCAGGCCGCGGCAGTTGTACGCCTCGGAGAGCGTCTCCACGCAGGTTTTGGTCAGGTTGCTCAGGTTTATGGGCTGCACGTCCGTGTAGGTGTCGAAGCACTTCTCCGAATCGGGCAGAATCGGGTGCATTTCTGCGTAAAAAACGGATAAATTATTGTTTATTAACGGTTTTAATTGATTTGTAGAAGTAATGAGGACTTACCTCTGGATTGGGTGTAGTCGAAGATTGTTAGTGATAATAGGAAGAGTGGTAAATGTACCATGGTTACCGATCGGATAGACGATGTAAATACAACTGGGTTTATTCGTGTCGGGTTTTCGAATAGTACGTCTTTGAAGATGATGATCTTCGGATTTAATTATTGCGTTTAATGATATCATAAGTTCATGAGCATGACTATCATGACCTTCGCTGGATGTTTATTTTTAATTTGCAAATTCTTAGTATAGGTAGTAATTTTTTTCCTAACAGTATATTTATTGGTAATTTGTTGATTCCAAGAAAGAACATGAAGAGTTATTTGTTATTCTACATATAAGTAGAAGCGCAATTTCTTAAAAAAATTTAAATGAATCAATCATATAGGTAAAAGACAATATTTAATTGTGTAAATTTATTGTTTTATATCCTTCATTATTGTAGAAGCATGCTGTATATATTTCGTGTATTTTTATTACTTTATTTTAAACGTCCTTACTCTGTAAAAATTGCCCGTCATCCTAACTGTAACGAAAACAACCGTAATATTTTTTGCTACAACCATAAACGCCCACTGAAAAAAGGGTTGGGTTGACTTTATAGCGAAATTTAAAACGGTGTATTAGGGTTAAAAACCCTTTTGGCAAGTAGTGCGCTTTTCATAAAAGTACCGACAGCCCTTTTTCAATCCTTTACCGTTTTGTAACCTATTACCCCTTTTTATTGAATCGCAGGGAATCGTAGATAAGTTTGTTAGTTCGTTGCAAGGAATGATGCAGATAAGACTTTTTGGGAATATTTTCGATTTGAAATTTCAGTATTTTAGCTTGAAATATGAATAGAAATTAATATTATTCGTTTGGATATAAAATTGAGTTATCAATACCATCAGGTTCCTCTCATTCAGACCTACAAGATGGTAGAATATGGTTCAATTTTAGTATTTTCAGTATTTTCATTTTTCATTTTATTAAAATTTAAAGGTAACTGCCATCTATTTACAGATTTATTACATCACTATCTTAAAAAGTTCTCAACCAGATTGTTTTTAGATATTTACTTGGAAAAATTTGGAAGCTTTGTATCAGTAGGTTGAACATTAAAATGTATCTATGTTTATAACACAGACATTTCTGAAAAAAAATTTCTTCGTACACACTTAAAAGTTACTAACAAAATATAATTATTGCAATTTGAGTAGTCAATTTCAGTAACCAAGCAATTACCGGTAATTGCTTCCTCGTATTTCACGCTCAACGTCCTTACCTCTCGATGCATTATCCTTTAATGTTGCGGTGGCGATTCCGGTGGAAAAAAATCGATTTGCACGGCTGGAAATTCCGGGAAAAACCGAATCGAATTTCCAGCGTCCACTGTAACTAATCGCCGACTTACCGGACAATCGTCGTCCACAGAAAGTACCCAAAACATTAAACCGTCAAACAATTTTCGCTTAAACCCGTACCTACCAAGGTCAATTATTACATTTTGTACACAGGGTGCCATAAAATGCGTACCGACCCCCCTAATATATTTTTATTGCGCCCGCAGACCAAATCAAATTAGGCAGGCACTCCGTACCTTAGGTGGGGCGCAGGATATTTATTTTTCATCTTTCGAAAATCCACCACCATTCGAAATCGAAAAGTCCTCGAGACCAGTTCGAATTCCAAAATCTCGGGTATAATGGAGAACCAAGCAGCGAACGACGACAGGAAGCAGAGGAAGCCTCTGATGGAGAAGAAACGCCGAGCCAGGATCAACGAGAGCCTCGAAAATCTAAAGACCATTCTGATGGAGTGCGATCCGGAGAGCGTCAGCAAACGAAACGCCAAGCTGGAGAAGGCCGATATCCTGGAGATGACCGTCAGCTACCTGCAGACCATGCGGACCAAGCGCACCAACAGCTACTACCCGTCGTCCTCCAGCTGCAGCTACTCGTCGCAGAAATACAACCAGAACTACGTGACGGTGTCTTCGAAGTACGGAAGCGGCGGCCAGTGTTGCTACGGGGGCAGCTCGTACAGCTACAAGGGCTCCGGCCAGAAGGGCTCCTGCGGGGACAAAAGCTCGATATGGAGGCCGTGGTGATGTCGCCCAGCGATCGCTATTCGCTTGGACTGCCGTTTTCTGTGATAATAATGTACATACGTTTATTTTCTATTTAATTTAATTTAAAGTAGGTTTAGTTTTATAGTTTTGTATGGTGATGTTGACTGATGCAAGTAAATTTTATTCTATAAATACAAGAGTTTTGAATTAATTTGTTACAATGCATATAGTTATAAAAAATAATAAGTTTTTTTTTGGGAAGGATAGTTCATAATGGAGGTCGTTAATAACTAATTGTAAATTTTATACAAGATGGTTCGAATTGATGTAGATTAAAATAATTATCCGTTAAGGTATATTTCTTTCAAAATTAAAATACAGGAGAGTTAACATTTTTAAAGATAAGTATAGAATATATTGACAATAAATTATTTTTATACCGTGCATATCTTATTTTTTTATTAGTACCTTCAAATTTTGATAAGCTAGGATAAAAATTAAGTGACATAAGGTAGACTGGGGCAAATCGGTTGTAAAATTTTAATAGTTCAAATTAAATCCTAAAATGTGGCTTTATTTTTTCTCTTATTAGAAATGCTGATACCACATTAAATTCACAACTTCCTAAACTAAAGAATCGAGGTATTAAAAAGTTTTTTTGAAAAAGGAAGAAAACGATTTTACATACTTATTAAAATGTTGACCCCGTACCATGGGGTAAATGTAACAAACGGTTCTAAAGTGCAATACAATTATATAGAAAAACTTATGGGGCAATTGTAAAAAAATATTTGGTTCCTCTAAAATTTGATATGCTGTTTATTTATTTATTTCAAAAAGTAAAAGAGCTACAAAATAACAAAGAAAAAATTAAGAAACAATCCCTGTCTACTGCACAAAAGAACTATAAAAATAATAAAAACATTAACATAATAGGTAAAAATATAACATTTACCCCATTTTTACATTTGCCCCAGTCTACCTTATACATAATTCAGAAAAAAAATATTAGAACTTACCCGTAAAATTTTGAAAGGCAAAATAAAGTTTAGATTTTATTACATTACAAAAAAATCGGATTTTCGTTTCACAAATTCATTACGAAACTCCTTAATCCTCGAAAAATCCAATCTTATTCTCTAGGCGGTTTTCGCGTTATAATATCGAATATACTCGGTGAATAACCCCTAGGCAAACAGCCTATAACAATACTGAGATTCGTCCTGGTGACCACGACGCTGCAGCCTTGTTTTTTGTCGAATTTCTGGCACACGATTTCCTCTCTTTTGTCCCTGTTGATGATTTTGTAACACCCGGGACGTTTCCTGCTCCTCACGTCAATGCAGGATAGAATAAGGACCTCGTCGTTTTGCGTTTTGAGGCTCAAACAATCCTTTCGTTCGTGTTTTATCCATTTCGTGCAGGATTCATGGAGATCGGAGTACAGCTTTTTCCTGGGATTCGGGTAGAATTGCGTCTGTTCGGGCGTGTGGATTTTGTAGCATATTCCCGGCTTCGTCTCCTCCAGTCGATGCTCTGTTGAAAAGCATAATTACTAATAAAATTTGCGACAAATTAATAAATTAGATATTTATACCTTGGCTTGCTACAGATGTAAGCGCGATAATCAATATTGCCACTAAAAATACGCGCATATTGCCAACAAAACCAGCTGGTCACATTGAAAGTGAATTGGAAATAAATTCGCGTGATCCACATAATCGAACTCGTAGACAAGTTTTCTATTAAAATTCGCATTTTACGAGTTAAGAATAACCTTGGTTAGTACTAATTTAGCGATTTACCGGTGAATTGAGCTCGATTGATCGCATGCAGCAACATGCAGATGCAAATGGGTGTGTTTCGATCAAATCGAAACTGTTAACGAGAGAGAAACATGGGATTTTTTTATTGCGTAGGGAGCGTGGCGGTACCGAAAAGTCGTTCTCGAAATTCGCAATTTTTAATGGTTTTATTCTAGGCAATAGTGCCTTAAATTTTTCGGAGAAAACGAATTGTTAAACGAGCCGAGTTTATTGCGGATTTTTAAGGCTCGACTGGCGTACGGTACTCTATTTTTAAGCAAAAATGGTAAAAATTGCATAAAATACGACCGCCCCGGTCTAACGGTTCTCGTGCAATAAGGCAATAAAACCAATAAGAATATCCTCGTAAAAGACTCCTTGTGGTACGTGGCAAAATTTCGAGAAATTGCTCATGCAAAAAATAATTATTCCCATCAATACAACGCCACAGATTTTCTTATTTAGTACATTCATCTCAAAAATATGAACATAATACCCACTTAATCAACGAATAATAATCAACAATAAATTTGTTTCTCTTATCTAAATCATTTAAAATCACTCTATTGTATCGTGTATACCTGTATAATAATTGTGGATAAATTATTACAGGTAAAGCTAGGTATGCTATTTCTCAAGTGTGCATCAAAACACATTCGAAAGATCGCATTTTGGCATGTATACAACTGAAAAGATCACTCTTATATTCTCGAGAATCTGAAATATCGAGTCCTTTAAGCAGTCAATAATAAGCCACTTCCTGTTCCACTGAATAAAACATATTCCAAATGCCCCGTACAAAAGATAGGCTTTTGTTGATTTTTTTCTCTATTTACGAGTAACTTCATTGATGAATCGAGTACCTATATGGAGTGGGCCACCCTCTGGACACTTGCCAAGAAGCCGTTCAGTGGCGGAGAAACGAGAGAGTTAATAATTAATTTATTAAACTCACTTGAAACAATTATATTTTCACTGGATTAGTTGAATTGGAAAAGTTCGAAAACTGATTTGCTTGTTTACAAATATCATAAGAAACGACAAAGCGTGCCGAATGGCCTCCCGGATTTCAAATGGGCCCGTAATGGCTTTATAACTCGCCTATTGCCCAATAAATATAAATTTTTAATCCTTTCAGAAACCGGCCAAGAGGTATATAACACCTATTAGAGTCGGAATATTCGAGCCATATTTCGTCAGCACTACCTAATATTGCATAAAAAGGGTTTGATGAAGACGAAAACCCACCAAGTTATGGTTATGGTAAAACGCGGGTCGGTCGCCCTTCAAGGAAAGGGCTAAAGTAATATGTTTTAGGTACATATTTTTAGGAGTAAATTGAGGTATTTCGGGCATCGTTCGTAACAGATTTTCACGGTGCAAAAAATATTCTTGTAGTAAGAAAATTTGCCGATTTTGCAATGGATATTTGCCGGGATTTCTTTCCGTGATTCGAAAAAGAAAAGATATACAAGAGCGCAGTGCGAGAGCCAGCTGAAAAGCTACTTACAAAAGGGGTAGTAATAATGCATGACTTTGTGTTTGAAACTACCCCGCAGTGCATAGTAATGTCCGAATAACCGAATAATGAGAACGTAGTAAATTCTTAGTCTATTATTAACTGTCTAGGTGCGTTTTTCGGTTACTTCACATGCCTCCATTGCCGTACGTGGCACATTGTGTGGGCCGATATATTTTCGGAAAATTAGGAATATCGTTAAAAAATATATTCCTTTAATAAAATGCTAAAAAGGCCAATAAAACTCTGCTTTAGAAAAAAAAATTGCTAATAGTAAACCCTATTTCCGCACTTTTTTTATTACTTTATAACTCTTCAAATTCGGGTATTTTTAAAACGCATAACCGATTCTCGGATCCTTTTTGGATCCTTTTTGTCGGCCGAAATATTTTTTTAGCCGTTTTTTACGATGCGGACTTTTCTAACCCATTACGAACGCGTTTTCGGAACAAAAGATTTTATTTATTTTTTACTAATCTGCTGTTACCGATGCCATAAAGCGGCCCGTAAAGGTCGATTTTTTTTTAAGTTTTTTAACGTCGGCATTTATGAATATTCCGCATTTACATTTTTAATGTGACTTCGAGAAATAAAAACGCCATAAAAAACCGTGAGGCGAAAGCCGGGGTTAAAATAAAGTACGACTTGAGTATCAACAAAAACTATGAGCTCGTCCTGCAAAAATAAGGACGAATTCCGAAAAATTCGCCGGCACCTTTTGACCGGCCAAATCCCGAACGTCAGGTGCGAAATTCCTTCAAAATTCACGCCGCCGGACAAGAAAAGAGCGTCAGCATGTAAAGGACTCTTTAAGGGTGATTAGGCACCCTTAAAAGCGCGAGGATTATCCGTATCATCCACCCGCGCATCGGCTCCTTATGTTCCTCGAGCATTGTATATCTTCCCTAAAGGGTGAAATTGAAATTTCCATTTCAAGCCCGCAACAATTCTCGTATAATTCGAAGCAGAGAGGAACTCGTAACATGCAAAACATGTTTAACATATTTCTTAAAGCACAGGATGTTGGAGAAAACGAAAGCTCTCGTTCGTTTCGATATTCAATAGGCATCTTTTTATCGATTGAAAATCGAATTGGGTCGTAACACGATACTATTATTATCATATAGGTAAAAAATCCTATACAATACAGAAAAACTTTCACCTACAATCAAACAGCATTTAGAGCAAATATTTTCAGGTACAAGATTCCGAATCGCCTAATTCATAAAATTACACATCTCTAATTTTCAACGTTACTTATCGTTTATTTGGCATTTATGTCAGGATACACTCAACCAATTTTTACATTGCAGCTCTTGTTACAAATTAAAATAAGGAATGGATTACCTACCTTTGATTCAAGAGAATCTCGACATCCACGAAGTTTCCCCAACGCTTAGAAAAGCCTTCCAGGAAACTTTGAACGGTCAGATTTACCCGAAGAAAACCGCCGAACAATTCGTTTATTCCATTAAAGATGAAGACTCGACGATCAAACACACTGCTAATAGAGTATTGGAGGTATTATTTTGGAATCTATACAGTGTCTCATCATGTAACCTGGTTCTATTCTGTTATATACCAAACTGATATATTAATAATTGTTGCATGATGAATTGAGGGATTAGTGAAGGATTTTTTATTGGTATTTTAGGTTCATAAGGAAGCTCAGAAAGCTGAGGCGAAGAGCAAGCTGGCCTCGATCGACCTCATGTACCAGCAGGCGATGTACATGATACAAAAAGACAAAATCGACCGTTCGGCCGAGTTGCGGGAGAACATCAAATTGAAACGATGCACTCTCTTTAAGCATCTAGAGGAAGGCTTCGTTAAGGAGTTCAATTTGATCAGAAAGTCGGATTTGCTGCCCGACATGATCCACAGATATCTAGGTAAGTGCAGGTGAACTAAAGGAAATATTAATTCATGAACTTTTGTAGATTTCAGAAACTTCGAACATACCGTGTGTCCGGCTTGCAAGGAGAAAATCGCGACGAAGGAGATTAAACAGAAACTGTAAGGATAGTTAAATTTGTTAGAGGTTGATGTAAGTGTTTCGTTCGCAGGAATTTGGATATAAAAAATAATTTCCAATCAGATACAGTCACGTTATTGAAGAAGTCTACCAGCTATGAAGTCGAGCCCAGCTCTTTAATATTTCATAACTACCAAGTAGGAGAAGTGTATAAAGCAAGTACAAGTACCATATTCTTAGCAGCATATTCTAAAAAAATATCTACATTAGAAAAACATCAAAATCATCAACATCAGTGGCAAAACCCAATCCATAGCCATCAGGAGCCTTCCAACCACCCCTTACTTTTCGGCGATCATAATCGATAACCAACGATTGGCTCCGGGAATGAGCGTGATGCTAACCATTACCTTCAAACCGAAAATATACGTAATCGTAGATGACAAATTAGAGCTGAAGAACAAAGAAGGTAAGTGTAATTTCTAATTGCTCGATTATTATATCAACGGGATTCGAGGTGAGACGGTCGAGGTGCTGTTGAAATGCACGCGAGACGTGCCGAAATTGGTGAGTTGCATCTTCAAATCCACGTCGAATTTGTTGGAGAGCTGCGCGCCGGAGAAGGTGGATTTCGTGCAGAAGAGACGGGAGGCGTTGAACTACACGATCGATTGCGGGAGCTGCTTGGTCAGCCAGTACATCCTCATTTCCATGGTGTTCGAAAACCGGGGCAACGACGGAGCGTTCTTCATCATAACAGAAGAGGATTGGTACTTTCAAAACGTGGAAGTGAGTGCTGATTTGTACGGTAAATGTTTGGTTTTAAGAGGAGGCGTTGGTTTTTTTTAGACGATTTCGACCAATATGGAGCTGTTTAAAGGACCGTTTTGGATATATCCCACGTATTTCGAAGTATGTAAGGACGATTTGGTGGAAGTTAACATCATCTTTCAACCGTACAAACCCGGTCTGCAAGTGGAAACGTTGTTCTTGATTTGCAATAACAATTCATTTCAACAAATCGAGCTGGTCGGCGATGCTTTGGAATTTTCACCCAGTTTCATAGAAATTGACGTAAGAATTTTATATATTTATTCGCTCAAAAGTTGCCATTGTCCAGTTTTAGGTACCACCAAAGGATACACACATCAACGAAATGAAAAATTATTGCGTGTATTTTGAAAATTTGAAGAACGACGAACCTCAATATCTAACTGTAATTGTTCGTAACAAAAGGTTAGATTCAATTACAATAATAACTAGAGCTTGGAAAATGTGCACTAAAAATTGCACCATTTAGAACCCTCCAGAACCATTTATTAGAATTGTCTATAACTATTCAGAATCATTTATTAGAACTGATTACAACCATTTAGAACGACCCTGGATCATATAGATCTGTCTAGAAGTATTTAGAACGCCCCGGAATTATTTGAAATTGTTTAAAACCATTTAGAAGGGTCCGGAATCATTTAGGAACTGTCTAGAAGCATTTAGAATGCTCAATAATCATTTGGAACGAATTGATCTCTTTTTGTTTTCTGCTAAAAGAACTTCAAACAGTCAATTAATTCGAACAACTTTCCAGTCAAATAGCTTTGACCTGCGAATGGAGATTCAGGCACACGCCCAAAGAAGGAATCAACGACATGCCGGATAACTGGATAACCTCGAATTGCACTCTCACCCATCTACACCCGTGGGGATATTTGACGTACGAATTTAAAATCAACGCCAACACGAACATTAACGGTTATCATAACATTTTTTTCTGGTAATCACCTAATCGGAATCGTGTATTTAGGAGAAAGCTTAATCGGCATTTTCAGTTTGTACGTTACGAATTTGCCGGCGATTAGTTTGATGGAAAACGAGGAACTCACCATTGTAGAATGCGACGATGTAGCTGGAAAAACGCTCAGCCAAGTACAAAATTAAAAATTTGCTTTAAATATAATTCCTAACTAAAACTGTTGCAGGCGGTGGACGTGTTAATAACAGAATTCGAAGTTTGCGCCATGGTCAACATAGATCCTCCGAAAGTTTACTGCGAGTACGTATTTTTTTCTATTATAAACAATTTTATTACGCAAATGCATAACAAAGGAGTATTATCGTTAATTTAGCTTTTATAATGACATTCGTTCTTCGAAAGACTCGATAACAAACAATTCGATCGAATCAAAACCCGATATTGATATCTACCAGACGACCCGGAATCGCTCAGGCTAGACTAGCCGATTAAAAATATCCAAACGCGGCGATTTGCCGGTGAAAATACTCGAAACTCGCAGGAAATGTCGAAGGACGTGGCTCAGAAAAACGCCGAAGACTTCCAAGTTTACCTGTTCTTTTTGACCGTGTTTATATCAGTGCTATTTTTCGTAATGGCGTTCATAGCAGTAGATCTTTGGTTCCTGAGGAACAACCGCCCGGACAGGAACCGCTCCTGCTTCTGCTGCAGAGATTTAAACTTCTTCGACGATGACCAAACCAGTGAAGATGATAGCGACAGTGGCATAGAAGTAGAAAGCATTGAAAATAATAAGAACCGTGAATAATTAACTGTATCTTGGTATTTTGTGAAGATGTTATTTTTATCTTCAAAATATTATCCTAAAAATCTAAAGTGTAAATTTAGTGTATTTAGTGTTCAATTCAAAAGCCAATCCAGCTTACTTTCTTTTATACATTATATACATTTTTTTCACAATTTCCTGCTTGTTTAGTTGCGCTTGTGATGCTCCTGTTGACTTGTCGACGAACATGGGATTTTCCTGTCCTGTTTTAAACTTCGGGATCGTGCCGTCCGGGCTCAACGTCCAGAAGCACTTCTACATCAGGAACGACAGGAACTTCGATCAGAACTGGTCGATCCTGGAGGTGAAGTACAATTTGGACTCGAAGCCGCACATGGAAGTGATCAAATGCAGCCCGCATTTGACCGAATCCTCCGGGTTCTGTCGAAGGAGGAGGAACAAAAGGTTGTTTTATAAAATAGTCAATGAGAAGCCGATCAGTTGGGTGTCTATATTGGTGCTGGTAGCAGTGAATTTGAAGGGTGACTCGACGATAGAGGATATTTGCATTGTTACTTATGAAGTTATTAATTTCGATATCGTCGTGAAAGGCGATCAATCCAAATATGTAATTCCTGCTCTAATGCCGATGCACGTGATGTATAGAGGAATACCCACGGAACTGAAATTTGGCGTGGAAAATCGCAGTCTTATTACCGGTGAGCATCACTCAACCAACTCCCATCTTCTATTTTACCTTGTTTTGTAGGTTACTTCCAATTTTTCCCCGCATTTGGAGAAGACAGAGACAAGCTCATGGTGAAATTGTCACCGACTTCGTCCGTGATAAAACCGTTCGAGACCATCACCATCACAGCGACGCTTCTCTGCTGCGAAATCGGATTCATACAAAACTTTTTCCTGCCGTGCTTCGTGGGCATCGGCCAGGAACCGCTGGTGCTGCGGGTGCTTTGCACCGTCGACGGCCCGCACGTTTTCTTCTACCTCCCAGTCGAGAAGAAGATCTACAAGAAGGTCACCTGGCCGCCTAAAATACTCTACGAATACGACACCGATCCCCTGTGCGTTTGCACTAACGTAAGACCGAATTCTCCCTAACTCTATATCTATCATCAAATCATCTACTTGCAGAAAGAATGCTTGAAGTACGAGGACCAGGACGAGTATTTGGACGACTACGAGGTGCCCTTCGAGAACCTGATGAACGGCGCGACCAATCGCACGTACATCGTGAACGACTTGGACCTCAAGCCGTCGGCCTCCGGGGACACCGAGAAGCTGATGAAATCGGAGGAGAGCTCCCGATCGACCGACTTCACCAGCCGCACTCGCCGATTGGAGGGCCTCATCTCCGAGGAATTCGACACCGACAACATCCTGCACGACGACATCGTCGAGGTTCATTCGGTGCCGATTTTGACGCGTAAGTTTTTCGGTACAAAGTACCGATGGTGTTAAAGTGAGGTAATTTCAGCGACCAAAGTCACCATATACATTCAAAATTTCACGCCGATCGCTACCAAATACAATCTGGAGCCGCAGAAATTCGTCGAAAATAAGAAATTCGATCACGTTGCTGTTAGACTTCGGTTAAAAAAGCGAGGTATTGTTGCTCTTGTTACCCCTTCATTCAGTCCATTTATTCCATCTGCTCTTCTAATAGATACCAATCTAATGCTTCTCTTTAAACGGTTGTTCTTCCTTCCAAACCGGCTCTTATTTTTTGACCATTGACCTATTTTTAGAGGACCTTTGGAATGACCTGATGGGCACCGATTACGGCATTTTGGTGCAACCAGAAGTGTGCAGCGGGGAATTGAACGCGTACGGCAGCGCCCACGTGGATATATGGGTATACGCGAACACTTACGGGATATATTCCGAAGAAATAGTAGTAGAAATGGTGGAAATACCTTCCTACCATTTCTCCATGCTAATCGAGGTGATAGGAAGCCCGGCGGTGGTGCCAATGGGCGTCAATTCCATTACGAATTATCCGACTATAAGGTAATTAGTTTCTCCATTAGCGTGTTGTTTTGGAGTGTAAATGAAATTATAGGTTCGGTACGATTCCTTTCAAATCCGAGCCGATCAAACGACAAATCAAAATCAGCAACACCAGCTCGATTCCTATCCATATCTACTGGCACGCTTTGTTGAGGCAACCGAATGACCCCGGATACGCCATCAATGAGGGTTTCAACATATTTTTAGACGAAGCTGGTCATGAGAAACCGGAGCAGTTATTTAATTTGGTGTATTCCTTGGAAAATTATTGCGGCAGAAACGTCAGCGATTTTTGTTACGTGAGCACTTTTGTACGATTCTAAGTTGTGGGACTCAAAATTGATTCTAGGTTGAACCGTCGGAAACCGATATTGCGGAGCATTCGAATGTGCTGGTACAGGTGGTGTTGAGACCGGCGTATTTGTCCAACTCTTCGGACCTAATAGAAGCGGCTTGTTGCTTGATAGGCCACATTTTTTTAAAACCTGAACATAAGTAATATCGTGTTTGATTCCTACTACTTGGATATTAAAAATTGCTTCTATTTCGAGGATGAAGCCCAATTATTTTGTGAGGAAGACCGGCCCGGATGTGAACAGGATCAGAATCGAGGCCACAGCAAGGATAGAAGAGCCAAAGTTTAATATCGAATTGGGCGATTCGAACAGCCTGAAAATCAGAATGTACGCCAACGAGGTGTTGCTGAAGAAACTAGAGGGTATAAACGAGTACGGTGTAATACGCAACCTTGGTTAGTTATTTGTTTGGATTTACCAAAAATTGATAATACAATAAAATCGTTATATCTTCAAGGAGAATCCCCGTGCTGTCTGGAACTCTCGGTCAACGTCCCGTTTTACTTTAAAACTAAGAAAGGAAATCTTATCACGGAATTGTGCACCGAGGTGGCACCTCTGAGTACAGTTGATGTAATTTATCATACAAAACAGTAACGCAAATAATTCATTAGATTTCTTTCAGTTAAATATCTGTTGTAACATAAGTTTCGAACAAATGTTGGCTTTGAGCAAAATAATTTACGAGAACTTCACCGATTCCTTGACGTTTTACGATGATTACGGGGATATCGCGGACGTGGATAAATCGGAGAAAACCATTGTAATGCATAAAGTGATGAAAATAAAGAATAACGATCAAATCGAACAGGTACAGGGGTTTTGCACGGTAGCTGTGCATTAGAACTTTTTGGAAGAGTTAGGAATTTGAAAATTTAGGAATAAGTGTGAGTTTTTCTAAAATATTTTCAAATAACCTCGTTATTTTAAATGGAAAGTACCATTTTTGGATTCTGTGGCCTTTTTAACTGGACTTAAGTATAATAATAGTACCATATGCCAAAAATGCACCATTTGTTGTCTTGCAATTTGCAATTTTTTTTTTGAAAAGTGATCGAATGTATTTTCTATCATATCTCTGATAATAATGCACCTATAGTTTTGATTGTTGGTATAGGTAATGCCCAAACATAGTACTAAATGAAACTAAACTGAATTTTCATGGCCAATTTACAGGGCGTTTAAAATTGTCTGACAAACTTGGCTAATTTAAAGTGGCCATAACATATTTTTAGGCATTGAGCTATGAATATTTTTAAGCTCTTTTGATCCAAATAGGGTCTCTCCAAATAATCTATCTATTCCTTATTCCCAAATCCAACCATTTTTAAAATAATCGAACTTTTATTAATTATGCTGTGATAATACTCTTCTCGAGTTATCTGGAACTCTGAAATGTTCAAATGCACGGCTACGGGTTTCTTAGTATTGTGTGTTCGATAAAAATGAAGGAAGATGAGGAAAAAGTGGAAAAAGTTTTATTTTGGCATTTCAGTTTCCTTTGGAAGTGCATTTATATTTTCCAAACATATCAGTATCACCAGAAATCGTCAATTTCGGTCATATTCTATTACGTTCGACAAGAAAGCAGATGATTACAATTTACAATTATACAGGTATTATTTTAATGAATCTTCTTATTAATACTATACTAAAAACTTTGTGAGATATAGCCATTGTAAGTTTTTAAATCGTCATACTGTATACCTAATTACATTTTTCTTTAGGTTATACGGTAAAATTTGAAATATATAAATCTTCAGGAGCGACTTGTTTCGTCATAGTGCCGCATTATGGAGAAATTCCCCCGACATTAGGAATGAATTCAGCTTTTATAAACGTTTTTATTTATTTTTCTCCCAAGTAAGTCACGAATATTCGATTGGAATAATGTGTAATAATGTTGGTTTAATTAATTGCAGTGAATGTAAATTGTACAAAGAGTCGTGCAGAGTTATCACAAATATTCCCAGTTATTGGAAAGAAATCGACCTGCAAGGTATTGGTTCGATGAACATGAAATACGTGAAAGATTACAAAATATAAATATTGTATAAAATATACAAGATATGATGAAATTATAATTTGTTATTTGTAGTTTAAATCGAAAAAATGTGTTTTTTTATATAATAACATGTACATATTTCATTTTTTTACCAAATCTACATAGAAATGACAATTTTTTAAGATGCCCTTCAGTAACATACGTTTTGTTATCTAAATAAATTGTATTATCACATAATTAGTAAGCAATTAAGAAAATTTACAGGCACTTTTTCCAAGTATATATATAGCATTTAACAAACAGAACTATAACAATAATAATAAAATGTTGAAATTAACGTTAGCTTTCGCCTTTGTCTGCGCCGCTTTATTCATGGAGACATTAGCAACAACTCCAAGTTCGGAGTTTAGTTGCTCTAATCCGAATTTCTGTACGAGATATGCAAGCTTTATATGCCCACGTATAGCCCTTGAATGTCAAGAGGACCAAATAATTCCTTCAGGCCCATGCAATTGTTGCAGGACATGCAAATAACACCGGTAAGTAGACAAATATTGTTCGGTTTCGAACTGGCACATGGTTTATCTTTTTAGATTCGAAGAAGCAGTCGCAAATGTTTTATTCGATGTACTAAAATGTGAATAAAGAGTCTTTCGTTTAATTGTTATTATATATATTATACAGGGTGCCCCACGACGAGTTAAAACTATCCGTATGTATACAGGATGTTCCTAAACATCGTGCCCATCCGAAAGAGGGTAATTCTTTGGCTTATTTCATGACTTAAAGTTCATTTAAACGTAGATCCGCAAACGCATCGTTCCCAATCTACAGGGTGTTGAAATTTCAAGATATTTTTTTTTCTTTATTGTTTTCTCAAATTTGTAATCTAGATTGTTTTAAAGGGCATACATTATTGGGTATGTTCCCTGTTCCATGTTCCCCTTCTCCCCTCAGAACTTTTTTGTTGTGCGCTGCTGGTAGATTCTAAAATACAAAGTGAATTGTCTGTTTGTTTAGAAACTTTTTTTGTTTTAAAACTTTTTTCTTTATATGACTGTTATGGAGTAAAAATTAAAACGATTTTCTGTACAAATGATTTATTTTACAATACAAAAAACCTAAATAATAATTATTAAACTACATTATAACAAATGTTGAAAGTGACTATCTCCTACTCAAATTATACCCTAGCTGGCCTATGTTATACACCAAATTTGAGCTAAATATCTCCAAAACTGCAGGAGCTCTAAAAAAAGCAGAAGAAAATCTTAAAATTTCAACACTGTGTAGATCGGTAACGAAGCGTTTGCGGACCTATGTTTATATGAACTTTTAGTCATGAAATAAACCAAGAAATCACCCCCTTTCGGATGTGCACGATGTTTAAGAACACCCTATATGCAGACAGTTTTAACTCGTCGCTGTATAAAATATACATTACCTATATCTTTTTCCTAAAGCAGGCAAAGAAAAATCCGACCGAATCAATCGTTTGATCTGGTCCGAATCTCTGAACACTGTCTATTTCTTCCGTTGTTAAAGAAGTACCGCTCCAGCCATTACCTCCTAGACTTAAACTAGGTTTAATTAACTCTATTTGGGAGAATTTCCTCAAAGCCCAAGCGACTAGTCCTTCATTTTCCGCTAATGTAATTGTACAGGTACTGTACACCAAGGTTCCTCCTGGTTTCAGTAGCTGCACAGCCTAAAAAAAATATAGACAATATTACTAGATTCGATAATATTAAATTAATTTACACGAACCGTTTCAAACAATTTCCTTTGTAACGGTACGAAAGACTTGATTTCATTTTCCGACATTCTATTAATCAATTGCGGACGCTTGCCTAAAACACTACAAGGAGCGTCCAGGAGAACTTTATCGAAGGTTTCAGAAGCGAATGGCGGCCCTTCACGTACGTTTCTCATGTTATTAGAAGAAAGGTCTAATATTTTCGTGGAATCAGCTTGGAATATCGAAACCTTAGCCCCGAACTCATCGCAACGTCGTTTCAACTGCTCAACTTTCCTCGGCGTCTTATCTATAGCGACCAAAATCCCCTGTTAACAAACATAAATGTATTTAGTTTTTAGTTATATGATGTATTCTTTAAAACAACTCAGTGACGTCATTAAGTTTAGCGAATCACAGTTACTCGAGAATATATAGATATATTTTCTAACCAATAGGAGCTCCCGCTGATTAGTGAAGTCACTGCCAAGAATTACAGCCCTTCCAGAATCATTTGGAAACTGTCTAGAGCCATTTAGAACGCTCCTGAATAATTTAGTACTGTCTAGAACCATTTAGAAATGTCTAAAACCATTTAGAATTGTCTAAAATCTTTCGGAACACTCCAGAATCGTTTAGAACTGTCTAAATTCGTTCAGAACGCTCCAGAATCATTTAGAAGTATCTACAACCGTTTAGAGCGCTCCAGAAACATGTAGTACTCTCTAGGCCATTTGGAGCTAGAACGTTTCAGTACCATTTAGAACACTCCAGAATCATTTAGGACTGTCTATAATCATTTAGAACGGTCTAGAATCATTTGAAACGCTCCAGATAATGTACAAACCACAATGTATAGTCAAAACCAGTCAACTTCATACAAATAGCGGAATTTTGAAACTAACGATATGGCAACAACGCATCGGCAATTCAACCCCGCTATGTAAAATTCCGCTAGCCTAGTCAAATCGCAGATTTAACAATGGCACTAGGGACATTTCGAACTGCGCGGAAATTACTAAAAATTACGTCATTGTTCATTTTAAAACGTACAAACTATACCTCATTTTTCATCAATTCGGCTATGTGGGTGGTTTTGTTCCCGGGTGAAGCGCACATATCGATTACAGTATCACCGGGTGCTGGTGATAATGCTAGGATGGTTAGTATGGATGGTAAATTTTGAAGCAAACCATATCCTGCGGGAAATATGTCTTCTCCAATTGGATAACACCCTGAGAGAATTTCTTTCACTTCCACAGCAATGCCACTACAAAAGTACATAGAAAATAAAAGAGTTTAAAGAGTGTCATAATACAAGGGTAAGGTGAAAAGTTCTCGGTCTGACAATGAACAACCTCGATTTTCTGTTGAAAAATTACATTATTCTTCTTATTCAGTCAAAATCTTTAGTTCGGGACAGTTCTAAATGCTTCTGAAGCATACTAAATGGTTCTAGACAGTTTTAAATAATTATGGAGCGTTCTAAATAGTTCTAGAATGAATTACATATAAATGTCCCAAATAGGAAACGAGGAATTTTGCTCATTGGAGCGCCCTCAGTATATCAGGCTACTTGTAGATATGCAACAATTTTAACACAGAGTAACAAATTACTTTAGGAATTAAAATATAAAAGAACTCACTTAGTTACAGCTTTTTCTCCAAATAATTGATGGCGCTGCAATAAAACTCTACCGTTTCCAATGAAAACTTTTGGAGATTCGTTGTACACTTTGTGAAACCCCCTTTTGCATTTTTTCCATATATCAGCGTATATGCTGACATTATCGTTCACTTGGCAACCTGCAATCAAAAAATTAAAGCCTTTTTAATAAATTTTATTGCATCAAGTAACATGAGAATAGTCTTACCGGATACCATTCCTAATACTCCCGGTGCGTAAATATGCGCTCCCCTGAGCACCGCAGAAGCACATTGAGCATCTACAATTATCTCTTTTTCATATGTGTTAAAAGTTTTACCATCTACAGGTTCATTCTCAATGATAATGGTGTTTGAGATTAGAGGATGGAGGTAAATTGTGGGGGAATTACCTATAGAGTTCTTTTTAAAATGATCTCTAATTAATTCCATAAGGTCTTCATTATTCGATTTTAAAGTATTCACTCTAATCGATGTACTTAACGGTGCAGAACACAACCAGTTTAAAGTTTTCCCCAAATTTTCATTTGAATTTGAAATCTGAAAAAAAATTAACAGAACTACCAACATTATTCACCACAACAAACTACCCTAAAACACTACCAACTTAAGGTTTTTTGACACAATAAAATTTTTACTGACCTTTTTTCCATCGTTTTCTTCGCTTTGGTCGGACAACAAACCGGTAATTAAATTATAATTGAAATTTGCGATAAAAGGAGACTCGGGATACGGCATTTTCCAAAGCGACAGCGTAAAATCATGTTTTTCCCCAGCGTTTGAAACGTGCCATGCTTGCAGGTTAGAGAACGATGACTAGAGGTCACGTGACATGCGCCGACCAATGCGACACGGCGATTCTCAAGACGTGGCACGAACTGCGATTCTCTTTTTAGTCCGCCATATTGACATTCGACAATTTTTTGGGAGGACTGGTGAATGTGTTAGCGTTTTTCAAAAGTGTAAAGTGTTTTTTTTTCGAAAGGTACGTCTCAAAATGTTCTAGAAAGCTCGCTTTGTAAGTGTTGATGTTGTCTGAACGTTTGTTCGCATAATTTAGGCGTAAATCGATCGTTTTAGTTGGAAAACTAGGGGTTTGGTGTAAAGTGACAACAAGTCAAAAAATCGGCTTCATCTTATTGTGTACGTAATAACTAAATTGTGAAAAGGAATCGGTCGATTTAGCCCTCGATTTGATTAGTTTTCGTTGGGGGATTCGTTTCTTATTAAAAAGGGTTGTGTTCTTCGGAAACAATTTCAATCAATATGTCAATTTTTCCTCAGGACTCCCAACTTTTAACCCTATTTTCAATATTTCCTCTTTGTTCTAAATTTAGAAATCCCACAAACGACGATTAATACGAAAACCGCAAATCCTATAATTATTTCTTTTCGTTTTAGGTTCATCAAAAGCAACCATAATGGGTAATGTGTTTGCTAATTTATTTAAAGGCCTCTTCGGCAAAAAGGAAATGAGGATATTGATGGTAGGTTTAGATGCTGCTGGTAAAACCACAATTTTATATAAACTAAAATTAGGAGAAATTGTAACAACCATCCCAACTATTGGTAAGTACAACAAAAAACAACTTTTTGATGACACAGTAACGTTCCGTCATTCTTATCAATCTAATAATTTCTGATCGAATTAAACTACGTCTTATATTAACGTTATTATTCCCAATCATTTGCTGAATTTGTAACACATAGGTTTTTTGATAGGAATTCTATGACTCACAGTTCAGTGGCCTTGGTGTGGCACCCTGCACAGTCACAGTTATTACACCATATTTCCATGTTTTCCATTAATATGCAAGTTATGTGTAAATACCCACATTGTGTATCATTTGGGCCATTATGAATATCTTTTTTTAGATATTTCTCGGAAAATTAAAACAAAAAATCTTCGGCCCATTTCAATCTACTATTATTTAAAGTACGAATGCAGTTTGTCCAATTCCCTACACAGATTGATTCATTTTAGTTTTCAAAATAGGTTATATAGGCTGTGGGTGCGATAAAGACAACTTCCATTCGACACTAATAAAGAAAAAAGAAAGTGATACGGTGTAACTTTAACCACTGTTATTATAATAAACTTTCTTTGTTCAACTCATAGAAAAGACCATATTGCAAACTGAAATGAACCAAGGTTATAATTTTGTGTGTGTAAAAAAAATAAATTTACAACTAATAGCAATTAACTAATCAATTACACAAATTTCTTGTTGTTTTTGACTAATTCTTTGTAAGTACAAAGCCTATCGTTAGAGATATATTTATATTGTTTTGGCTTTTTTTTAAATACCATTTACAATCGCATCGTACGAAATGATAGGTTCTTGGTAATTTTATTTGGTATGATTTTTTAGGTTTTAATGTCGAGACTGTAGAATATAAGAATATCAGCTTTACTGTGTGGGATGTCGGTGGTCAGGATAAAATTAGGCCATTGTGGAGACACTATTTTCAAAATACGCAGGTAAGTTAAAAATGCAATCTATAATTTATTTAAAAACACATTTAATGAGAGTGGGTAATAAAAAAAAATCTTTGTTCTTTATCCTTGATTAAGATAAGGTTTTTTGTTTTATCAATTAGCAAAGTAATGTTGAGGGCAATTTAATTAGATTTTTTTTAAACTTCCTTTAATAATAAATTTATAGTATTAATTAAAAATATTGCTTATTGTGTGTATTATTTACTTATTTCTGAATATTCATTTTGAATATGTTTTAATGATTACTAATAATACCTGTGTGGTATCATAAAAGCGTTCTTAAAACTAGTTTTAAGTTCCTCAAATTTAAATTAATTAAAACGCACTTAAATCTTTTTAATTACTCGATTTGATTATAGTTAAAAATATATCTTATGGTTATTTAATCTTACGTTCGAATTAAAATTCTAATATAATCGGTTATTTATAGTTTACCATATGGTTGGTTAATATTTCAATATTAAATCATCAAAAATTGTAAATGTATCTTAAAGCACATTCGTTTTATTTTAATTGAACAAACCTATTGAATTGTGATAGGGATTAATAGTATTGTATTGAAATTATTTGTGATAAATGAATCAAAATTCCAAAGATTTTTTGAATTAGGGGATCATCTAGACACTAAATAAAAAATGAATGAAAATGGTTCTATCAGAACTTTCTGATTGATTAAATAGTTAGTAATTGTACATGATTGTTTATGGAAATTGCACGAAAAAATAGATACCCTGGTCAAAAAAGTATCCAGAATTACTGATTTAAATTACCTGCACTTAATATTTTTAACTATTTCAAGTTTCTGCATATAAGTAACACTTCTTAATTAGCGCGCAAAAAATTAGAGATAGCTCAATCAGTTTGGTTGTAGTAACTGATAAATCAGTTCATGTCAGTAGTGCTCTGCTAATTTTGCAATGAACGAAAATAATGAGCAAAGAGTTTGTTTCATATTTTGGGTTTTGAATGGAATTTCGTTGGCCCAATCGATGCAAATGTATACTGAGACTCTGTTTTATCGAAAACCCATATTTACGAATGGTACAAAACTTTTAAAGACAGTCGGAAGATCGCTAAAGACTTGCCTTGTTCCGGACGATTTTCGATCTCTTCAACCAATGGTAACGGCGAGAAAATGAAGGAAATTCTGTTCAAAAATGATCATGATAGTATTAGAGAAGAAGCACTTGAGTCCAACATATCTCGTGAAACAGCCCCTTTGATTTTGCTCAATCAATCAGGCATGCTGCGAATTGAAGCTCGGATCGTTTCGATTGAGCTGAGTTTCCTTCAGAAACGATATCGTAAACTGGTCGATGATTCATATTAACAATAAGTATCATCGACCAGCCGCTTTAATCACAAGAACTAGCTACTTCGGGGTCAAAAAAATCGATCAAAAAAAATTCGCAGAAGGAGCTAAAAGCCTTACCAAACCGGGCCTATAAAAACGTTTCGATTAATAGAAAAGGCGTCTATGTGTATCTCTTGAATAGGACCACATTTTGAAGGCGGTTCAAGAAATATTTATTAACTCCAATTTTCTGGGTACTTTTTTGCCACTGTATACGTGTTGGTTTCGATCTGTCGAATCTGATGAGTTTCCGTTGATTACAGGGCCTAATCTTCGTAGTCGACAGCAACGACAGGGAGCGTATCACCGAGGCCAAAGACGAGCTGATGCGCATGCTGGCCGAAGACGAGCTCCGGGACGCCGTTCTTCTGATATTCGCCAACAAGCAGGATTTGCCGAACGCCATGAACGCCGCCGAAATCACCGATAAGCTCGGATTACATTCGTTGCGCAACCGTAACTGGTACATACAGGCCACGTGCGCCACCAGCGGAGACGGTCTCTACGAAGGTCTCGATTGGCTGTCCAATCAGCTGAAGAACGCCAATCGTTAGTGTGGTAGAGGTGTCTGTGCGAGTGCAGTTCTCTTAAAAAAATTCTTTCATTGTACTTTTGTCGTGTCTATATATCTCGCGGACGATCTTCTTGTACCATATGTTGCAATTTTTATGTATTTTTTTTTCTTCTTTTTTTATTAACCAATCGACACGGGGACGCAAGTTTTATCTACGATGGTCCAGAATGCTGATGGTTTTTTTTGCGTCGAAATTTGTTTACGAATGAATGCTTATTTCTAATATCTCTGCAATCGACCGGGGTCCAAACTAACCGATTCTAAATTATTCGTTTCTTAGATGCCAGCATCCAAAACAAATAGTACGTTATCTTTATCTAGATAAATATATGTAATTTTAATGCAATTTTAAATATTGTAATTAATTTTTTAATACGTGTCTAATTATGAATGAGCATAATTGCTTGAAATAATTTTTCATTCGAGACGAATTTTGTAGCAATTAACCTCGAAATGGGAAGCATCTTGGAAAATGCACTATATACTTTAACGTTATTATTTATTCTTTTTGTACTGTCAAGGTGAAAGAAGCTTATTTTGTAACATATTTTTTTTGTATTAGGCTAAAATGTACAGTAGTCGCATTATTTAATTAAACGATTCTGTTCTGAACCTCAGCGTTGTAACATATGGTAAGCCGTTCGAACCTAAATAAAAAGAACATATTTAAAAAAAATGTTTTTGGGCACGGCTCAAATTATTTTATTGTTTATATTTAAGGAAAGTACGAATAGACGTGCCCGAAACGATCAAAATAACCTTCCTATCGGCGGTTTGTCCCCTAAAATACGGGGCGCAATCTGGTGATACTTTTTGGCGTTAGGTTTCAAGACGGCGTAGTTTTTTTATACTTATATAAATATACAAAGGGATTTTTCAAAGACTGGCCAACAGACTGACCAGATTTGAGTCCCGCAGATCTTAACAGAAACGGCTGATGATCGGGTATTTTGACATCGATTTCGGGTACGTCGGGCTGTACATAATTTTTTGTTTACTTTTCAAATTGTAACTTAATATCGAGGCATCATTTTATTTTGACAAACAGTGGATTTGAGGTTACATAATAAGTAATTTAAAAAAAATGTTTTCTTTTTGATTTTTCGTGGACATTCCCCGTTTGTCAGCTGTATTATCAAATAAATTTATACTATTAAGATTAGCGTTTTTTATTTACATACATAGAGTTACTACGAGGGTAGGGTGAAAAGTTCTCGGCCTTTTTACACTGAAGGTCCTTTAATCAGCAAAAAACTCTTATTTCCTCTTTGGGACATTTATAATTAATTCTAGAACCATTTACAACGCTTCAGAAACATTTAGAACTGTCTGAAATCGTTCAGAACACTCCAGAATCATATTGAACGAATCTAGAGACACTCATCAAAACGCTCCAACATGATCTAGTACTGTCTAGAATCGTTTGGAGCACTCCAAACTTTGAACGCTCCAGAATCATTTAGTACTGTCTAAAATCGTTCAGAACACTCCAGAATCTTATATTTAGTATTGTTTAGTTAGGTAACGCTCCAGAATAATTCAGTAATGTGTAGAACACTTTAGAACGCTCCAGAACCATTCAGAACTGTCTAAAATCGTTCAGAACACTCCATAATTATTTAGAACTGTCTAGAGCCACTTAAAACGCTCCATAATAATTTGGTACCATCTAGAACCATTTAGAACGCTCCAGAATCACTTAAACCTGACTATAACAATCTAGAACGCTTCAGAATCGTTTAAAGTCATCTTGAACTAAAGATGTTGAATTAATAAGAAGAATAATGTAATTATTTCCTTTCACCTTACCCTTGTAATATCCCTTTGCGATATTGCTAAATGAAAACTATCCCTTTGAATTAAATTCAAGTATTCAATATGTAACTAAAGCTGTCAAAGCCCTTATAAAAGAAAAACAACCAAAAAAATATTTAACAATTTTATTCTAGCATACGAATTGCGGTTCATTTTTCTTATATTCGTTAAAAAACTTATCGGACACGTACTCGGCAATTGCCAGGCAACAGGTGGCCGCAGGGCTGGGCAGGAACACGCAGTTGATGATCCTCTTCTGGATGCCGCGCCCTTCGAAGAACTCGAACACGAAGTCGTCGTGGAAGGTCCCGTCGGCGTTGACGAGCTGCGTTTGCACGGCTATCGGCCCGTCCGAGACGTCCTTTTTATCGAAATCGGCCAGCCTCTGCAGCTTCTTGATGTAATCGTCCGGGCAGATGCGGTTCTGCGCCTGGCCGATGCACTTCGAGAGGTACCTGCGGGTCATGTTCAGGAAGTTCTTGGACGCTATGGTGTTCTTTAGGTAAGCCAAGTTTAGCTCCTCTTCGTTGTAGCCTTCGATGCTGTAAGCTGGAACTGCTGTTGGTCCTGAAATTACAACACTTAATTATCGGTCTTTCTGATTTACTAAAGGCTCTATTAATAAAAGTGTCCGTATTTATCCAGTGTCATCTAGAACTGTCTAGGTCTAGATCAATCTACATGAACGCTCCAGAATCATTTAGACCGCACCAGAATTACTTAGAACTGTCTAGAGTCTAGATCAATCCAGAACGCTCCAGAAGGTCCAGAATCATCTAGAACTAACTGTCTACAATCATATAGAACTGGCTAGATCAATCTAGAACGCACCAGAATCATTTAGAACGCTCCAGAGTCATTTAGAACTGTCTAGATCAATCTAGAACGCTCCTGAATCATTTAGAATTGTTTGTAATCATTAAGGACGCTTCAGTCATCTAGAACTGTTTTGAATAATTTAGAACTGTCTAGAACGCTCCAGAATCATTTAAAACTATTTGAAGCCATTTAGACTCGTTTCGACTAGTTTCCCGAAATCGCTAATCTCTGTACCATTTACTTTATTTATCCGAAGCGTTTCCTTGCAAGATTATGAATATGGATCAGAGCAAAACCTTTTCCTCTTACCTTTTTGCTTCTACCTTTTACTTCAAGGTACATGCTTAATTTTTATAAATATGGACTAATATATCTTGCCTAGTAAGGTAGTGTTGTTTAATTTGGGCGACAAATGTACGCCCAAAAAGGGCAACTCTAAGTCGGGTACTTCGTAAACGTTGACTTTCACCGGCTGGCCCTTCAGGACGTGATAGTTCACCCTGAAGGACACGAAGATCCTGCACTTGAAGCTCGATTCCCCGACGATGAGTTCCTGGAGCTTGCCCGATTGTATTCCCCCGCTGACTATTAGGTACTTGCTCTTCAAATAGAGGTTTTCGTTGCATTTTATTAGAACCGGGTAATCAGGATCGTCCGAGTGCTTTATCATGTTCACTTGGTTGTTTAGTAAAACGTCGCCTTGATTCATGCGAAATTCTTGCGCTAGAAATAAACAGGTAAATTTGTTAATTCTAGATATAAAGTAAAGGTAATGCTTCATGTTTGAATTTGGAATATTTGTAGAAATTCATGTATATTAAGAGATTAAGAAGCAAGTGCAATATCAAATACAAGTGCTAGTTCTTTAAGGAACTACAAATTTTGCTCTATTTTGACTGAAAAAAGAAAATTTTTAAGATCATTAACCTACAGAATTTAAGAAGGCCTCTATTAATCTCTATAAATTCTTCATTCAAGAACTTTTTTAGTGATTTTTCAGAAGTAATATAATTTTCTTTACCAGTATTAGGAAGTTGCTGATTTTGCTAGATAGATGGCATGAATGGTATTGAACATTTTATTTATGTTTATGTAAGTTTGTTGTTTCATTAGGTACAATAATATAAATTATTAATTAAACAGAGAAGAACATCCATGAAATGTTGAATATGTATTTATGTACATTTATTAATGTACAAGGGTAAGGTGAAAAGTTCTCGGCCTGACAATGAAAGCCCGCGATTTTCAGATGAATATTTACACGTTCAAAACGGCATTAAATGATTCTGGCGCGTTCTAAATGGTTCTGAAGCATTCTGAACGGTTCTAGACAGTTTCAAATGATTTTGAAGTGTTCTAAATGGTTCTAAATGCTTCTGGAGCGCTCTAAATAGTTTAAGACAATTCTAAATGATTCTGGAGCGTTCTAAGTGGTTCTAGGCAGTTCTAAATGGTTCTGGAGCGTTCTAAATTGTTCTAAACAGTACTAAATGATTTTGGACAGTTATAGAATTAGATATAAATGAGAACTTTTGGCCCTATACCCTCGTATGTATTTGTAATCTCTCTTGCTTCGGAAGCTCTAATCTTTATTCCCGACGAATTAAAACCTTTTTTACTTACATTTCGACTAACATTTCTACACAAAAATTACCTAATTGATTCGTAACCATCTCGAAATCGACGTTTCCAGTGCTCGAGCACCAAATCGCCCACAGTCCTTTGCATTTCGGTTCCTTTTCCAAAATCTTTTCGATGGTCGGCAGCAATTCCAATCCTGTGACGCCGGTCTTGCAGCCTATCCTGTACAATTCCTTCAGCGCCTTGATTTCCTCGTCCGTGCTGGCGACGATCAGCTTTCCCGGTTTTTTATACGGTATTCTCTCATTATCGCAGTACTTGTATAAATAATCAATGCCCTTCTTGCACATGACCGATTTCAGACTACCCGGCCTGAAACAATCACAAAGTATGGTATATACTTTACCTGGCGTAATTTCCAAATTTATTATAAAGGTGTGTTTTAATTACAGGTTTTTTTAATTTACTTGTAATATATTCCACAATGTATAACACCGCTGTTTTTCCTGCTTTGATGCTTGGCAAGTATATCTTCTTTTTCTATGATAATGGTCTTCAAATTCTTGGAGACTTTTTTTAATTGCCTTCCAATAGCTGTGCCTATTATTCCACCACCTTCGGAATATACTGTTAATTAACTACTGATTTATCTGTTGCGAATTATACCTATAATTGCCACGTCGTATCTGAGGGCTTCTTCCAGATTTTTCCCATAGTTTTCTTGCACTTTAAGGGTAACATTACGTCGACAGGTCTGCACAATTCCGTAATTTATTTGTAAAAAATATCTCAGCTTGATCCTCGACAAAAATGGACAAAAATAAAGCGACATTGCACGTGTAAAAAAACTCAATCTACTTTTGAAGCTTGTCAGGATGACTTTTTGGTCATGGAACTTGAAAGTTCCATCACAATGCATTTATTTATTTTTTTAAATCTAATGCCTCAAAAGTTCTCCTTAATAATTAAAAAGTGTGTACAAATTTTCATAAAAATATCTGGAGGAATAAGAAAATTGTGATAGAAAAGTTTTTTTTTCTAAAACTGTTTTCTAAAACACCCTGTAGCTCGAAAACTAAGAGGACATATATTGATATAAACTTTTCTTCTTAAAATCATCCAAATATTCACATCCTCAAGTATCGGCACTCAATTAATTAACACCTTGTATTGCGGTACCAATGAGGTTATGATTTCTGGTTACTTTTCCACTTCCTAATTAATTACCTAAGAAACGGTTCTCTTATAAAATAGGCAACAAGTGCAATAAATTTTTTCCGACTCGCCAGGTTAATTTATTGCATTCACAAATTTTTATGACAATTTATACGACTCTCGTGTAAATTAACCAAATTTTAAGATGAACTTGTCTCGGACAATTATGCTAATTCTCGAGGCATTAACATTTTTATTGGTCAATTCCACGCGGAGAAGTTGAATGAATTCGAACACTTGTTGCGTTACCCTCGTATTCACAGAGTTACCAATCAAAGGATAAATTCCACTTATTATCGAAGATTGGGAATCGTTTCGGTCATTTTTTAAAGCCTTTAACTCTCCATCGAACGTATGGAAAAAACTTAAATAAAAAAAGTAACGTTAATGTTAAAATCTTGATAGAAAACAATAAGATGAATGACATGACTCTTCGAAAAAACGGCCCATAGCCGGAGATACGCGCACCAAAAGAGTTAATATTAACAATTATAATACGTGATTGGTCCATTTTGAGAAAATATACCTATAAATCCGAGTATTTTTATATCCTAATATTTTTACAACACGTCCTTCACAATTATAGTGCGGCCGCTTCGACACACTTTCTTAAAATTATTTTCCCACACTAATACTCTTACAGACAATACCTACCTAAATAATCCAATTACTTTTAACATATTGTTGATTTACATCATTTATTTGCAACATTAGTTACTTAATCTTGTAATAATAAAAATTATACGAACCTCCGGACTAAAAAATCGGAAAAAAACAATAGAGCAATGCAGAGGATACGTGTAGTAAATCGCAGCACGCCAAGAATTCCAGCTCGATAAATATCAGTGGATGACTTGAAAATTTCAATACATACTAATTATGTTTTCGAATCAGATAAGGGCCCGAGATTCATTTGAAAGACCACTCGAAGAATCGAAAGATGTTTAAAAAAAACCTATATCAAAATTATTTGACAGCGCCGGATTTTTTAAAGAACTTATGCATAAAAAGGATTCGTGTAAGCATGGGAAGTGTTCGATGATTAAATGGATTTTTTCGGATTTTTGATTTACCTACTATACCAAGAGGATTGATCGCTCATCAATAATGTATGAAACAGAAAAGATCATTGATGTGATTCAAGTACCTACTCCTATATGGGGATATTGATAAAATATTCGAGGAGTCAGTTTGTTTAATCCTTACAATTTTAATTAAATAATTATTTGAATTTTTAAGCTTACTATTATATTGAAGGAATCTGATGTTCCCTTGGTGTCGTTAAAAAAGTATAAAAACTTATCAAAAATAAAATGAAAAAATACCATAAAATCTGACGTAAAGTTAATGGCAACTAGTATCCCTCGATTTTATTTCAAATCCCACCGTTTCTTCGTTTATGTGCTGACCATAAAGATATATTTATTTCAAAATGAAGAAAATTCGTTGAATATATTATCGAGTTTTTTGTAAAAATAAAATACCAATAAAAGACGATCATAAAACAACAAATAAATTCCTCCAAGATCTGAAATCCATTTAATAAAAAAAGGATTAAAATGCAACTATACATATATCGGATGTATCGACGGATTTCTGCCTCATTTTTACAGCTTTCATTAGTAGCTTTTTATTTTATTATATCATTTAAGTTAATTCGACTCCGTAAAATTTTTCTCAAACTAAAATAAATCGAAGCGCCCAGCGATCCTCGACTTCGATTGAGCAATATAATTTAGTAATAAATTTATGGGAAATATTTCAAATCTCGCCGTGCAGGCCGTTAAATCGCGCGCCTGCTGGATACTCCGAATAATTCGCCTTTAAATTGTATTCGTAAAATCCGCCATTAAGTTAAACGGAACGGTGCGGAATGCGACGCGTTTTTTTTTTCGCCATTTCCGAACGACTTTATTGGCGATACGAAACATCTTAATCGACGGGCATTCGGAAAAATCCAAACAGCGTCGTAGGGTGCTGGAAACCGACGAGGTTTGCTCAAACCAGCTCGTGGATCATCGGGAATATTCGTTGTGACGTAGCCAAGTTATACGAGGAAAGCTCTATGCTTTATATGGGTGCACAGGAATTGAGAGTATAAGAGAGTATACGAAAGTATAAGAGTGTATAAGAGAGTATAAGAGAGTATAAGAGAGTATAAGAGAGTATAAGAGAGTATAAGAGAGTATAAGAGAGTATAAGAGAGTATAAGAAAGTATAAGAGAGTATAGGAGAGTATAATAGAGTATAAGAGAGTATAAGAAAGTATAAAGAGAATATAAGAGAGGAATTAAATTATTAATGAAAACTCCTCCTTAATAAAACATTGTTTTTACCTAAGAAGAGAATAGAATAAGAGTATAAGAACACAGAGTAGTGTATAAAAGAAGTAAAAGAGAATAGAAGAGAGTGAAAGAAAGTACGTATATAGAATAAAGTAGAACAGAATACAACAGGGTAGATGAGAATAAAATAGAGTAGAACAGAGTAGAGCAAAGTAGAATAAAGTATAGCAGAGTAGAACAGAGTAGAAGAGGGTAAAAGTGAGTAAAAGAGCGTAAAACAGGGTATAACAGAGTAGAAGAGAAGTAAAGAGAATTAAACGGGAAAGAACAGAATAGAGTAAAATAAAATAGCGTAGAGTAGACACATTAGGGTTTTTTTTATTTATTAGATTTTATTTTGATTACATTTGAAAAAACACAAAAATTCATTGATTTAATGACATTTAGGAGGGCAATTCTTGATTGGTATGCACGTTCCGCTCGCATCTCTTGCATATCCGCTAATGCAGTAACAGGCATCGTTGCATCTTATATTTATTATGGGACATTGTTCGCCCAAAGTTTTGCATTCTGTTTGGCAGGCACTTCCGCAGTCATAAAATTCAAAAGGTTTGGTACAATTGATCTTAGTTATACCTAAAAGAGCGATACTTATTGTCGATTTTATCCAAAAATAAATTAATTTATAGTTAATAGAAAGCTTGTATTTACCTCCAGGGGGCAATTCTTCACTGAAAACCACGCCAAAAATTGTTAACACTACGTAAATTACAGCGTACGAGTTCATTATGAATCTGATTAAAGTTTTTCCAGTGTCTGATGTTTATATACGAGTAGTAATTAGAATATTTAAACAAGAATATGCATATTTATATTAAAATGTAATGCGTAAACATGGCAAATAACTAGCTGATATGAGGTTATTAATTCAATTATTAGATAATTATTTCGTTCGTTCGAGGTTACGTTTTGTTATCGTTCCAATGCGAACACACAAGTAAATTACCGAATGTTTTACATCTTCAACGTAGATATGGGCGTTATTTTCGTTTCGTCCTCGCTGGGACGTTTTTATTTTTAATATGATTTACCCTCGGCCGAGCCAGAGGAAGAAGGGGGTCGTCGAACTCGAGCAACCCTTTAAAAAAATACGGAACAATATTTTACGGCTACAGAAAGGCGGATTTCGTTTACTTGGACTTAAGAGGATTCGTATACGATTCGAATTGACGAATCAATTATGTAAAAATGGTATTAATTGGGTGGGTGGTTAATTATTTGTAGTGGATAATTTAATTAAGTATACCTATCGATTGTTACAAAATTTAGAAGCTTTTAGAAATTTTACAATACAATTTTTGTTCGTTTCCTAAAGTGTTTTTTGCAAGATATATTCTTAGTAATTTTGGCGATTTATTGAAACTATTTAATTAGTAGATTTTTAAAAATTTTATAACAATAATTGACTATTTTTTTATTACAAATGTATATCTACTGTATTATAAAATGGTTCTAAATGGCAAATGCAAGTTCTTATACTTTTAAAGAGAGCAAGTTTTGATAGTAAATTAAGTTCTTAAATTAAAAATCTTGAATACCTACATTGTGAATTTATTTGAAAATTTTGAACATACCATCTCGAATAGATCCTAATCATCTTAAGCACCATTTTAACCGAGCACTTCGCCCTATTAATTAAGCGCCCATATCCCACATCCACGTCTTCATATGCGGAGATTATTTTTAATTTTAGTTTTCGAGAAAATTTATCGCCTTCGCAGGAGCGCTTACGCACCCCTAATTCCCCGTTGCGCGACTTTCTCACGGGGTTTTTTTCGCTCTTACCGGCTTCTTCGGGTTCGACGTAACTCGTAGAGCCTCCCGCCCGATTGTTTTTCGAGCCGTTTTTTACGCTTTTTCTACTAAAACATTGCACGGTTTCGGATGTTTGACATGCAAGGGGAATTTCCAAACGCTGTTAAAATCCAGCAAATTAATAAACACGCAGGATTTATGTGGGAATTTCTTTCACGTCGAGTTTATTTAGATGTAGGTATTTTGGATAATGGAGTATAAGAGAGTATAAGTGAGTTTCAGGAAGTATAAGAGAGTATAAGAGAGTATAAGAGAGTATAAGAGAGTATAAGAGAGTATAAGAGAGTATAAGAGAGTATAAGAGAGTATAAGAGAGTATAAGAGAGTATAAGAGAGTATAAGAGAGTATAAGAGAGTATAAGAGAGTATAAGAGAGTATAAGAGAGTATAAGAGAGTATAAGAGAGTATAAGAGAGTATAAGAGAGTATAAGAGAGTATAAGAGAGTATAAGAGAGTATAAGAGAGTATAAGAGAGTATAAGAGAGTATAAGAGAGTATAAGAGAGTATAAGAGAGTATAAGAGAGTATAAGAGAGTATAAGAAGTATAAGAGAGTATAAGAGAGTATAAGAGAGTATAAGAAAGTATAAAAGAGTATAAGAAAGTAAAGGAGATTATAAGAGAGTATAAGAGAGTAAAGGAGAGTATAAAAGAGTATAAGAGAGTACAAGAGAGTACAAGAGAAATAAAAACTCCTCCCAATGAAAACATTAAGTTCCTATACCTAAAGAAGAGAGTAGAATTGAGTAGCACAGAATAGAAGAGTAAAAGAGAGAAACACGCCGGATTTATGTGGGAATTTCTTTCACGTCGAGTTTATTTAGAGGTAGGTATTTTCGATAATGGAGTATAAGGGAGTATAAGAGAGTACAAGAGAGTATAAGTGAGTTTCAGGAAGTATAAGAGAGTATAAGAGGAAGTATAAGATGAGTATAAGAGATTATAAGAGTATAAGTATAAGTGAATAGAAGAATCGCAGAAGAGAGTAGAAGAGAGTTAGGAAATTAACATTGTTTCAATATCTTAGAAGAGAGTAGAATAGAGTAGCACATCAGAGTAGAATGGAGTGGAAGAAGAGTAAAAGAGAAAAACACGCCGGATTTATGTGGGAATTTCTTTCACGTCGAGTTTATTTAGTTAAGAGTATTTTGGATAATGGGATGTAGTGTTAGAATAACGTATGTAGGTTTATTCAATGATTCTAGAGGTAATTGCATCATTAAGAGATGGGTTTTTTGTTTCCAATACGATAGTTTTGCAAGTAATAATTTATTGTTTCGCCATGTTATTAATCATCCATTCCCACGGAGATATTTTGCACAATCGCAAAAACCCCTTCGCGAATTAAAAAGGAAACAATGAAAAAAAAAGATGCAATGTGCACAAAACGGGGCACTCTGACTCCACGCGTTTTAAGAACATTTTCAAGGCTGTCAGACGCCCGAAATGATTAATCTTGTTTAAGAATTTTTAACCGGCCTTTTTTACATTTTCTGTATAACTTTTTTAACGAAATGATAAATGATTTGGAATAATAAAATATTCCTCATTGACGTACGGCCGAAATTCATTTATTATGTACTCAAGCTGCAGCCCGCAGAGGCGTATTGTCGCAAAATATTCTAATTATTCAAGTAATGCAATTAAAGTAAATTAAATTTAAATATACATAGAAGCATGTGGTATTATTACAATTTTGTTTACCTGAGAATTATAACAATATTTAATTACTTAATAATTCATAATATTTAAATAAATTATATGTACGATAAAAGTAGTTTTGTGCGGCACTGGATCGGTTCGATTTCCATTCAGTTTACGAATTTAAGTGGAAAACTAACCGTAGTATTTTTATTAATGGTCCCGGCGATTCGTACATGAGAAAGGTTTAAAATAAAAAGGGTTGAAACTAACCTAATGATCGAAAATATTAGACACAGTCGATAATTTGAATATCTGAGGGGTTCGACAAATATTTTCGGGTCCCCTTTTACCCGATTTCGTATTCGTTTTCGATAAATCATCCCATTGATAACTCGCATAGAAGATCGTCATTCGGAACGATTCCATTCCGCATAGACCATCAGCATTGTTAATGGATTCAAATCGAACGAAGATACGCCGAAAAAAATACAACTCGCACATTTCGCTCTCTATTCGATATCAATCGCAACGCCTTCAAAAACTTATAAATACCGGGAACAAGTACCGCCGCAGCACCGCCTGTAAATCTCGGTAATAGATTAAATAAGAGCAAAAACCCATCGGAGATACTAAATCGTCGTTACCAGATTAACGTGTCGTTTCATTAGAGTCGAAGAACGAATATAAATGTCCGTTTTATTTGCACTAGTTGCATAAAGAGCGCACACCATAGTTGGACTACAACTAGTACGGTTAATATTGCACTCGCTCATTCCACTTCTCTCTGGGTTTCTCCCAAAAATACCTAATTTAATCTCAATATTACCTATTTCCTACTAGACCCAAATCCTACTAGATTCATTTCATAATAGTTCAATTTCCTATTATTTCTATTTCCACCAGGTTTAGACTAGATCTGTTTCATACTAGGTCTATAATTTCCTACCAGGTATAATTCCTACTATCCCTATTTCCTATTAGATCCATTTTCTACTAGATATATTTCTTACTAGAACCATTTTTTACTAGATCCAATTCCTACTAAATTAATTTCGTACTAGATCCATATCTTACTAAGTATTTCTGTTTCCACAAGGTTTACACTAGATCTATTTCATTCTAGGTCTATTATTTATTAGTAGGTCTAATTCCTACTAGGTCTATCTATTTCCTATTAGATCTGTTTCCTATTAGATCCATTTCCTACTATTTGCATTTTCACCAGGTTAAGACTTGATCTATTTCAAACTAGGTCTGTTATTTTTTACTAGGTCTTATTCCTACTATGGATATTTTCTATAGATCTAGGAATCTAAGATACTAGGTTCTTTCCCACTAGGTCCACTCTCCTACTAAATCCATTCCTATCCATATACAAGGTTTATATTGTATTTTTCTAGGTCATCCTATTATGAGTTAACCTGTAGACATTCTTCTCTTATTAGGTTTTCTATTACAAGGAATCTCTTATTACTGGGTCTGCTTCATAATATTTTTCTGTATTTCATGAAAACTTTTAGGTTGTATGGGAACGTGTTTTAAATGGATTTTGTAATTGAATATCCGAAATTGACCGTACCATAAACGCGAATTTCATCTTAGGTGGTCACTAATCGATCTGCCGTCTCTGTTTAGTCCACGGGTTTTGAATGTCTTTTCTTGTGCGATACCGAGTTGCGGTAGTATTACCATCGGATTTCGCTTTTCTCGATTTTTTTAAAGCGAATTTTATGGACCCGTTTTTGTTTCTCGGCTCGGTTTGAAATATTTATATTCGGTTTAATGAATTTTCCGTTTTTTTACGCGCTTACGTAGGTATAAAGGAAATCGTTTCTTCTTTCATTTCCTATGCGTATACGATTTTTTTTAATCCGCGCACCCTTCTGTTGTGCGTTCGGAAAGAAAGAGATTATTTTACGTGTGTCATTCGTCTCCCCCTGATCGTACGTGACTAACAGAGACGGATGTACTCATAATTTTACCTGAAATCTCGATATAGAGAGGAAGAAATTTCAGTTCGGTAGCGGCTACTGGTCGACCGCACGGAAGATTTATGGAAACGTTCTCCGACAGTCACAAACCAGAATTATTCAAACACACCGAGAAATTGAATAAGTTTTACATTATATTAAGAAATGGAATGAGTGATATACCTAATCGTATACATCAGGGTTTTATTTGACGAATAAGTTTTACGAGGATAATTTTATTATTCGTACCTAAAGTATTTGAAATCGGCCGAGTAGTCACGGCGGTTCCATAAATTTTTTTATACCTGTTCTTGCGTACTGTTTGGTTTAGGATTTCATAAAAAATGAAATTCTAGCCTCAGCCCAGACGACCATTAAAGGGTTTTTATGTCTTTTAGGCTTAAAAATGTTTTATTTGATGTCAAGTGACGTGTTTTCACTTTTTAAGGGGTTGGAAACTGTGAGAAAGTGCGGGTTTGGTTAC